TATATATATATATATAAAGTCGGAAAACAAAATAATGAAAAGATATAATTTCTTCATTAGTTCACAGAATTATATCCGTAAAAAGGAGTGCTTCCTAATATTGCATCAATATAGCCAAAACAAAATATATCAATAAATTCATGTGAGGAGCACTAAAAAAATTTAAATGAAAATAGAAGACATTAAGTAAAAAATATATACGAAATAAAACATACCAAGCAAAAAACAGAAAAAATATAATGAAAATACAGAACAAAGCATAACAGAAATCTATAAAGCGAGTAGCTAATTCAAATGAACTTACACATACCGGAATCTTTCAAGAATGATTTAAAATATTTTCGTAATAAGATCCCATAGAAAACTTATACAAATTTACTATAAATTGAACTTTTAAAAAAAAATGCAAATTCAAAACAAGAGTATTTTTACAGTTGGGGAGGAGTAAATGAGCAATATGTAAGAGTTAAATTAAATAATTGAATCGGTGCATATAAAGTAAAGTTATTTATGTATTATTATTAAAATGGATGGGTTGCATAATTGGATGTATCTCTGGATATAGCCATGATTAAAAATAGGTAAATGATTGAAATGTCATGATAAAACAAATTAACGCCGAAATATATAAAAGGGTAAATAAATAAAATTAAGGGGAATGTGATCGTTAATGAAAGTGGTAGTACAATGCTAATGTGGGATAACAATAACCGAATAGGTTCAAAGGGTCACAAAGTGTGAGGTTTGAACAAATTGGATAATTTGGTATCACCAAATTTGGAAAAAGGGTAAAACTATTAAATATTAAAAACTAATTAAATATTAAAGATAAATAAGATAAAGTCATGCTATATCCAAACATAAATATGTGATTTAATACAGTAAGTTGATGTTTCCAATGAAAAATTACAAATTCCCTTAACAAATAAAAAGGTACTCACCGTGTATACATAGGACATTTTAAAAGACAACCATCAAAAGAAGACAAATGAAACACACATTTTTAACTTGCGTTTAAGATTTATTTAAGAAAAATATCTAACAACATAACTAGTGGAAAGACGTCTTTAAAACAATTATTAACATTAGGAACACCTTTAATAGAAATGGGTGACGAAAGAAATGATGTTATGCATAAAAGAAAGGAAAGCGGAAAGGGTTTAACTATTGAAAAGACATGTATAGAAAGAAAGCTTAATTTAAGAGGGTCTTTAATATAAAAAAAAAATTAAAGATAAAAATGAAGCTATTAGAATGACAGAAATAAATTTCCCAGATTTAATTTAAATTATAGGCTGGCTGAGAAAAAGATGTAAAACATAAATTCCCTTGATACGGACCGAAGTCCGCATCTCGGAGAAAAAAGGCAACCTGCCCGAAGGTTCGAGAGAGAGAATGTATTTAAAAAGACTTAAAAAAATTCCTTAACTGGGGTAGACCAGAAAAATTACGGCCAATTAAATATAAAGAGGCGGAGAGTTTGAAATTTAAATGAAAGAGATTGGTTAGTTAGCCCCCCTAAAATTAAAAGAAGAAAAAGAAAGGCGTGAATAGAGGGGTTGGTTGACTTTCCCCACAGGAAGTGCAATGACCACGAGAAAGGTCAACAAGAAAGTTTAAAAAAAATTGCTAAATTGAAAAAAAGGAATAATGTTTAAAGAAAAATTAAAGGCTTAGGTAAAATTAGAAATTAAATTGTCAGATTACATTAAGTGTAAATGTGACATAATACATGGGAGAGGATGGAAATGTTCATTGTCATTGAGGATAAGAAATAAGTTGGAGTTGATTTTTGATAACATCTTGGAAATAAATGCATTTCATTTTAAATAAAAGTTTCATTTAGTCTTTTATTTTTTAATAAAAGAATTTTTACTATCTCACTTGTTTTTTACCATCAAGATTGTAATCACTCAGAAAAAAAGTTTGACAGAAGTTATTTAATTCTTTTAATTTGCTATATTCTCTTTTATTGGTTTAAATACTACTTACAAAGGTTTTTTTAATCGAAATTTGGGTGGTTGGTTAATGGTTATTGTCAGCTAAATGCAGGTGGTTATACTTTATCTATCAATATATTTTCTGGAAAAATAGTTGAATGATAATATGCATCTTGCTGCTACTTAATCTGTTGTTTTGATACAAACAGTAAGAGAGAGTTTTGTCACGTGATTTGGCAACAAACATGTTAGTCTGTATTTTATGTTCTTTTTTATATTTAGATAATATCTCTTGTGCTGACATTGATTTGTCTTAATATGATTCTAACCAGTTATGCAACATATCTAATGGAAATTACTGAATTGGAAAAAAAAAGATTTGTTCAGAAAAATTCATACTGATGTCATTTTCAGGATCGACGGAAATATATATTTTTCTTTTCAATTAAAAAAAATCATTCGCAAATACATTGCCCAAAATAATTTTTTTTTTCTTCTTCGGTGATGTTTTTGCTTTCCATTCACTTGACTGACGTTTTGCCTGAGGGTTCTAAAGAAAGCCCCATGTCACATCACCTATCACGATTTTCTTCAAGAAGCTGCCATCTTCATCAGCCATGTCAATCAAATTCCTATACTTTTCACTCTCTCTCTTTTTTTTTTTGTTCAGGTGATGATACTTTGGAAATTACGTGCAAAAAAATATGATACATGTTCAAATAGTCAAGAAGTAGGCTGCGAACACTTCCATGTGAAATTCTAAGTTCAGAGGCATTAATGGCTATTCATCTGCCAGACTTTCCTGAACTTCTCTGCAGAATTTCCTAGCATACACTTTCCTGAACACACTCAAAATTTTCATCTGCAGCGGAAGAGGGGGGTACTCAGTCCAAGGGTTATCATCAACGTTTGCGTGATCTTCACAAAAACGCTGATGCCACTTGTACACAGTGTTTTTTTTCCATGGCATTATTTCCTTATGCTTTCTATCGCATCTTTTGTACCTCAGAAGGTGATTTTACAAGCAAAAACAAAGAATTTGATGTTTGTATGCTGTTTTAAAAATGACATATCCAAGTCCAACAAATGAAAAATACACTTTGCACAAATGATCTTCATCTAAAGCTTATAAAACCAGAAAAGAATTCCAGATTTTCATTATTAGTGTTAACCTCGAAAAAAAAAACTTCCCTTCCAACAAACATCTGCATCGATCGAAACACAACATGATCTAGGTGTCCCTTCAAGGAATTTAATGAATATACCTCATTTTGGATACGACAATATGAAATGTTGCATATTTCTAGTTTAACATTCTCTAGAGATTCTCTGAAAGAGCATTCGGAAATTAAATTGTTATTGAAGCCATCATTAATTTTTGTATTATTTTTTTTTGCACCACATAATTCAGTTCAATAAAATCTATTCTAATTAAAATATTGATTAGTTTTGTAGCTTTCTCTTAACCAAGAAAGAATATAGATAAACATTTAATAAATAATAAGAAAACCACAAACCAAATGTAAGGTCATGATAGTATTTCAATGAAGGCATGCTTCTCTCTATTTCTGCATTACTCCAAGGCATATCAATCTCAACTATAGACGTTCTCTTTGCTGAAAGAAAAGTCACAGATTTTATTTCTTATTAAAAAGGCAATCTGTATTCCATTTCACAATAAAAATTTTGTGCATTACTTAAATGAAATTTATTAACGAAATTTGATAAAATAAAATAAGAAATACAGCTGAAAAATAAAAAATCATGTTTTTGAAATGGTTTTATTGATGAATCATACCTAAAAATTTTAATGTAATCCCCAATATATGTCATGAAAAAAAGAAACATACTTTGTATATTAAATGTACTTCACTGAGTTTCAATATATTTGCAAAAATATATAAAAGAAGGAGAATATGTAAAGATCATATTTAAACTGCAAATAGTTATTAAAATAATATAAATAAATTTTGCATAGAAAGGAACTGTAAAACTAAGTCTATAACTAAGATATAATCTAATATTATTTCATAATCAATAGCAGTCATAATAAAATATACTCTTAATCTTTAGATATACACTTAAAGTGTTCTTAATACGTAACAACAATTTCCCATTATTTTATGCCATGTAAATAAAACTAATAGACTAATAATAATGCAAAAAAAAAATATTATCTTTAAATTTTAATTTTTTGATAATCATTTGAACAAATACATTTGCAGTTTATAATTTAAAATGATATAGTTTAAAATAATGTAAAAATGTAGATATTTTACAATTTTAAAATATTTCAATCATAATCAAATCAAATCAAATAATAAACATTTATTGATAATTATTTTTTGTCTGGAGTTATCATGGGAAAAACAAATTTGTTGTTTATAAATTAGTTTTTCAAATACAATTTATTGTAAATTAAATAACTTGATACATTGTTTAAATCACTTAAAGTCAAACAATTTCAATTAATATATATATATATATATATATGGGTCATTCTCACAAAAANATATATATATATATATATCCTTTCAATCAATCTTGTCAATTTCTTACATACATCTCTTTTATGCCTGACGGAAACAACTGTGCATTTTTGTAATTTACACTAGAATTTTAAAAAGTCCAAATTTAGGATTATCTGAAAAGACAAGGTTTCCAATTGCTTAAGATGAGTGATGTGTGCTTAAACTATGCCTAAATGAAAAAATGTAATGTTTAAAAAAAAGTATCAACCTCTCTGAGAGGCCTCTTGCTCAGCACCAATTAGAAATCCCCAGAAGTGCAACTCCTTGATGTTGAGAGGAACCTGAGGGAAATCCCTCATCTGCCACGTCCACGATGACGCCGAACACCTCACCTTCCTCGCCCACAGAGTGGAGAACTCAATACCTTCATCTGGATAAGGGCTGAAAGCAGATTTATTTTATTTTATTACCGTGAATCTGTAAATCATGCTATTATCACTTAATTCAGAATTCTTCAATCTATGCTCTTATAATTACTGCGTAACAGTTACACAAAACAGTTATAGAACTGAAAACAAAATGTAAAAAATATATAGATGGTTTCTAATATCTTTCTTTGATTAAAGGTTGAATTTGATCTTTTTGGTAACTCAATGATTGAACAAAAACTTAAGCTTAAAATGTTGGGGGTAATCTTTTAACAGACCCAAAGTACAAACACAACAATTATTTATTATAATTTAACAAAGCTGTAGTAAGAGTTAGGCATTTTGGAAGAAAATATTTAGCAGTTCTTACAGAAGTTCTAGAGCAATATACTTTTAGAAACTTTTTTAAAGTATTGTGTTTGCTTAATCTCCGAAATGATTGGAAAAATAAAGTAATTTTCATTTAAGAATATTTATGCACTTGTTCAAGAAAGCTATATTAAAGAATGTCATAAACTATATGTTGTCTAAAAACAAAATAGGGGATAAATTAATAAAAAGTTTCAGTGATGTGGTACTTTGATGAAATAAATCCTGTGATGAAGAAAATGGCTTGAAATGAAATTCTATTATAAATGACTAGAATTTTGAGTACACATATTTTTGATGAAAAACAGGTATTGCACACCTGTATTGCAAGTGAAATTTTATCTCCCTATACAATTGCTTCATGAAACAATTGATTAAAACTTACAGATGCATGCATTTTTGGTATGCCTACAAATTTAATAGTCACAGTGTGACCCAAACATAAGTATTTACCTTTCTGGATCAAGCTGTTTCATCCAATGAATAACACGCTCGGTGCCATGATATGATGTATCTGCAATTGCAAGGATGTCAATGTCTTCAAAAAACCATGTACACAGTGAAGTTCGCATTGAACCTTTTTGATACAGTTGTTGAGAACGTTGAATATATATCTCTGCACTTTTTTTTGCCAGTTTCGAGTATAACAGATTAATTTTTTCATCTACAGAAAAAACAAACAAACTTGAATTCCATTTTCAGGGTTTAAAATATAAAGCTGTAGAAAATGTATTGCAACTCTATAAGTACCAGGTAAAAGTAGATTTGTCCTTCTAAAGGTTTCAATTTTCTCATCTAACATTTTCTTTCTTTTCAGACTTTCATGATATTCATCTTCTAAAAGCTGTCCAAATTATGAAATTTATTGTGAAGAAAATAACAAATTGTACATGTTATTCAATATTTCCCCACCATCAATATATATTTTTAGAATCTTAATAAAAACATTTTGAACATTTAGGGGGTTTAAATTAACATTTAAATGAAAAGGAGAACAAAAAAAATTATTTAGATCAACAAGAGCAAAGAAAATATTAAAATAATTTAAAACCAATGTTTTTGACAATGAGCATAAAAACAACTCTTAATGAAAAGTATATACATTTCAGTTCCAATTAAACCGTGCTTAGATCATTTTAATGATTTGTTTCCTTATCTCAATATCATTTGTTCCAAGCTTGGAAACATTTTAGTTTTTTCCTGATTCGGCCCTCAATGTGCATAAAGGATGTCAAGAAGAAGAGTTCAAAATTCAACATCTCATAACAGATGATAGAGGAATGAAAAAGCTGTAAGTAAAATGTGAAAGCTTAAACATTTTATACAGAAATTTTGGAATTTTGTAAAAAAATTGTCAACAGATGGCGCCCTTCCTTTGTTTCAGAGATTTTTATTCATGAAATGAATCAGCACCCAGCATTTTTCTTACTTCATTTTCTACTGGAATTTTCAAAATATATATTAAGGGCAGCAGAACAATCTGTATACGATAAATATGCTTCTTATCTTTACAAGATTTAAACACAAGTTTTTCTCATGTACTGTAATAAGAAAGTGCTTCATCACAAAGTTAAGAGTTATAAGCCAATTTACACTTTTTCATAAGAGTGAAAACATTTTTGCCCTAATGATTATTTTTCTACTTGTTATGAATTTAATAAATTTGATACATAATGCTAAATATATAAAGAGAATTACTACATCATACAACAGTATATAGGTACATTTTCTTTTTTACTTTAACACCTGCCTGCCTGCATGCATTTAGTTGTATAAAGAAATAATTTTATCATATGTATCTAAGATGTTTGCTTAAATTGATAAATGTTTACTTTTAAATAATATTAGTCTTTTTATTACAAATATTATTATCTCAAAAATTTCCAATAATTATTTTACATAAATTTGTATTGCATTGCTAAATATTCTATTAACTCTTCTTGCTTTATACATAGATTTATAATAGTTCATTGAAATACATATCAGTGACACTTTTATTTATATCATCGTATAGTTGTATAATACTACCTGTTTCATATTATTTTTTTGAAACATCAACAAAACAAAAAAATAATAATAAATAAATTAAAAAACTTTTCGATGATAAAGAAATGTTTAGCTTTTTGTACCTTAGTGAGAGTGTTGAGGAATAATTTTACTGAACCTTGAACTTTACAAAACTTATCGGATATTCTCTTTAAATAAACACATACTTCACTAAAGATACAAACTTCGCCCTCAGATAACAAATATTAATTTTTTGGGTCAAGTCCAGTGCAATTTCATGAAAAATATCCTTTTCATACAGAACTGTTGTATATTTGGTAAAACTCTAGAAAATGAACTTCAGATTACTTTGGGGTAGAAAAGATAACTTGAAGCAATTTTGTAATAAAGTTATGATTAGAAGCAGCTAAGGTTGAAATAGAGCAACAGTAAGATCACACATTTCAATACATTTTTAAGACAAGCTATAAACCAAATTTACTTGCAAAAATTATAATTTTACTTTCTACATAATTATTTGATTTGTTTAAAATAATATTTACCTCAAAGTTATCTCGTAATTTAACTTCAAAAGGATCATCTTCAAGTTCTATAGACCAAACCTAAAAGAATATATGATTTTTAACTTATTTAAAACATTTATTATTTACAATAAATGAAGAAGGAAATAAAAGAAAAGAAAGGAAGAAGAATCCTTACTTTGCAAACAATATGAAGATCAGGAGGTAGTTTACTTTCCAAAGTAAAGGGAACTTTTTTCTTTTTGTGTAACATTTTCCACCATTTGAAAATGTTGATGAACTGGAAGTGCACACAAAACTTTAGTTTTTAAACACGTGTAAAATTTTTAGCAAAAATATTTAGAAAGGTTATGTTAATTTCATAAAAATGCAAAGTTATTATCTTTTGTTGAGAATGAAAAGTCATACAAGGAATATTCAGAGACCTTGTTTTTTTTCATGAGGTCTTTTTTTGTTTGATTTTGTAAGAAATGTTCACAACTTAAAAAAAGTAACAATACTAGGTATAAAAGTAGAAGATCTATACAACGTAATTCTCAGTAAACTGATTAACTTCACAATCTCTAAAGTAAACCAAAATTGGTAAATGTATTAAAAAATAACGCATCTAAATTAAAACACAGGTGTGTACTGAACATTGGTTTCTAATTACCTGTTCACTAAATGCTTCAGCAAAGTTATATTTGTGAGGGAAAACAAATCTTACTGCTTCAAAATGAATACTTCTAAATACAAAAAAAAGTAAAATAAAACAACCATACAAGTTTCTATAATAAGATGAAAAATAAATGAGAAAAAAGTTTCATACAATAGCCTATTGCTAGGCAGTTCAAGGTCTTCAAAGCTCTGACGACACACCTGGTGTTGTTCATTTCCTTGCATAAGTGAAACAATGATTTTCTAAAATAAAAACAGCAAATATAGAAAACTCTTTACCATACTAATAATATCAATCGTTATGATAGTTCCTCACGAATTAACTGAGATTATTTTAATGTTAAAAAAAAAGTCTGATGAATTATTTAATAACTTTTTTAATATATCAAATATATATCACAAATTGTGATAGTTAAGTTGAATAGAACTGTAATTGTGAATGACTAGGGTTTGATCAGTGGTGGCTTGAAGCTCATTCAGCTTCAGATCTATGGGTACCAGTTTGTCATGAAGAAAATGTAATTTGTGTGATGCTAACCACATTGCCACAATAATGACAATGAACATGAAATTGTAGAGCCTTAATCCCCATGGCACCCATACATAACAGGTTGTTGCGAGAATGCTTGTTTGTTATTTATTGCAAAAACATCTGAAAATCTGTTTTTGTTTAATGCATAATTCTTCGAATTGATTGAACAATTTTATGGTAAAAAACCTTACACATTTTTGATAAAAATCATTTAAAGAACTGGAAATAACAAGTATGAGCAATTTCAGAAGCATTGTATTTCTTACCTCAAAAGTAAATATCTCATAATTGTCAAACAACACCATCAACTGTTCAGAGTTGGCTGAGAATAAATGCTGATTGTGAGTTAAAGTTATGTCGGGTGCAGAAAAAACAACCCTGAAATATGGTTATTATAAGAGATAAGGTTTAAACAGAAAGTTTTATTGCCAACAACATTCAAAACATTTTGTAATGAATTATTTTAATCTAGACTAAAATAAAAGTTTACATACAGGTTGTTAGATCAAAAGAGAGTAGAATCTCACACAATCCTTTCTTGCTTGTCCTTTTTATTTAAAATGATAATTGCAGAATAATAATGAATGTGAATGAACATAAAATACCATCAAGTGGGATTATTATTGAGTCATAATATATATATAGTAAATTAAGAATATCAGCATGGCCACAAACTCTTAAATCAAAATTTCTTGACTTTCCCAGACTGATTTTATTGAATTTTAATGATATTTGTGACAAGTAACATAAGTTATATATAAAAAAAAATTCAGTTATGCCTTATTCCACGGTTATAAAAATTAAGGACTTAATTGCCTCTATATATAAGGGCAATTTAAGGATGCTGATTCTTTAATGGGAGCAATTTCTAGAATACCAACATGGATTCACAGATATACAATTAGTAGTAATTCCAGTAGTTCCTGCACTTAAGCAAAAAAGGAAACATTTTTAAGAAAACTCAGATTTTTTTATCACACACACACACATATATATGCTTCAAAATGAATACTTCNTATTTTGGAATCATCATCAGGAAACTGTCAAACAGTAAGATAGGGAGAGTGTTTATGCATATATATATATATATATATATAAGTGGGAGAAAATAGTATAAAAGCGGATATTGTTCATAGTAGCAAAATACGGGGATTCTCTCATGAAAATCAGTAGAGTATGATAATAGACAGAGATAGAAGAAGAGCTTTTTACATATTTTTCTCAAATGTTCTATAATATCAAGACAGGAGTTTCTAACAATGAAAGTATACTAATATCATACTTGACACACAATGAAGAGTTAGGCGTTCGTTTTGTTATATACTTTATTTCAAGACACATAACAAAATTTCTGAATTTAAAATTTCTTCTATTTTCTCTTAGCTAAATATTTATTCTTGCTGTTCAACAAAAATTTGGAAAATAAAAAAAAATTCAGGACATTTATTGAAATTTTTAATAACTAAGCACATTTAAGGACACTTTCTTCCATAGGTCTTAAATGTCAATAATCAATATTCTATAACAGTTACACAATATCTGAGAATATATGTGTCTTTCTAAATAATTGTATAGTAATAAATAAACAATAAATTTAAGGATCCTGACGAGAGATGAGGGTAAATGTTGGGCCTAGCTCTAGTGACGTTGTAGATGCTAGGGTGAGCTCGTGATTGGGGACTCATCGGGGGAAGAGTGGTATGCCACCATTGCAACTGTCTGTTTTCCTGGCCACAGTACTTCTTTCTGATAGATGCCCCCTCCGAGGGCATAGGCGCAGAACTGTGTGCCGGCATCCAAAATTGTACTGATACAATACACAATTATAATATTCATTTAACAAAACTGCACCATAGGACTTATACTTCAAAGTGAAAAATAATTGAATCTAAATATTTAACTACTGAGATTTTATCACAGCGATAATGTTAACAAGTGTAACGTTAACATAAAATAATTTGGGCAGTTGATGTTTGAATTCTAATGGCAAGACACACTTATATAAAGTCCCTGTTTCGGTCATTATCTAAAAAGTTGCTATCAGCAAAAATAAAAGTTTAAAAAAAGTATCTTTTCCTTCTTTAAGGAATTGAATTTAACTTATTATGGTTTGCATAAGTCAGAACTTAAATGTTGCTTAAGAGAATTTATGCAGCAAGCATATTTACCAATGAGATAATTAAAAAATTATTGATTTTTTTTCCTATAAGTAATATTTAATTTGGTTTTAACTATTTATTGTTTTTAATAGTACATGCAAGCTAATTAGAGTACAGTGCTAAAAAAAAGGAAGCTACTGAATACCTTTTGATCTCAATGGTTTGAAGGTTTAACCTGCAACATGCTAATTAATTAGTACTGATTTTGTAGCTTTGGTTTATATTTTAAGCTATAGAATCAGAAACAAAACTAGTTCTTGAGAAATCACATCAAATCACACACAATTTTTATAAAATGTGATAACTTAGAAACTGCTTGACTGATGGCGCTCAAATTTTGCATTTTACCATTTCATAAAATGATATAAAAATTTATACATCTTACAGTTCATATTTCTTTTAATTTTTATTTAATAAAAGAATAAAAATTATTTTTTACATGAAATTCTTTTTGGATAAATGAATTTAATAGTTGTGTGCAAAAACTTTTCTATTTGCTTAAAAAGTTTATGAGATGTGGCAAAATATGCAAGGAAGTAAAATTAACATTAAGAGGTTTATACTTTTGACTACTCTATTCTGACCATTTTCACCAGATTGTGGCTTCACCCATTTTTTAAGGTTCAATAATCCTAATCCATCAACAACAAAAAAATATTTATTCAAAAAAAGTACCTTCTGTGTTTGATTTTGTAGCTTAAAATGTCATTTGCACTAACAAATTAGATTGTTTGTCAACAGATCAGCAAACCATTACAATTGAGTTTTAGTATGCAAAAATACCATCATTAGAATTAAAGTTATTCAGGGTATTCCATTAATACTCAACATCATTTGAATGCAGCAAAAATTTTCCAAATTGTTAGTTTGGCTTTTTGAAACAAATAAATAAATAATCAAATGATGTATTTACCTGTGAGCTTTTGAAAGAATGAATCCTACATCAATATGACCCTTGGCTTGCAAGCAAATGCTTAATCTAGTCTGTTGCTGTTCTTCTTTTTTAACATTCTCAGTTTCATTCACATCTATAAATAAATAATAACAACATTTTAAAAAATTTTATGTTTCATATACTGGTTGGTACCATTATTGAATCTAATAAACTAACCGATGCATGCTTTATTAGAACTTGGTAGGGCTTGTTTGAAAGCATTTATTTCCTGTGCAAGTGTAAACAATGTCATGTGCAAAGTCGTGTTCCAAAGTAGAAATATATTTTCTGAAATTCTAATAGTTGCTTCCTGTAACCAAAGTGAAGTAAAATAAATATATTAAATATAAAATTTTTTTAGCAATTAACCATTATGTAAATAAAAAGATATTTCGTGTAAATATAAGAAACAGATAAACTAATTTGTAGAGTGCAAGCCGATATATTGGTTAAATCACACACACCAACATTTAACTCCGCACCTATGCCCCTAAAGGAGCATTTATCTGTTAATGGTTAATGTTGGAAGACAAGACAGATAGAAAAAAAGAGAAAAAACAACAAATAACAAAAGGAAAAAATACAAAAAACGCTAATGAAAAAAAAAAGATTTTTCTATTAGTTAGGGCATTTTGATTAGAAAGTATTCACGGCTAATTGGTCAAGTTCAGTAGCGGTTACTGGTTAAATCATTGTGCTCAAAACACCCAAATTAGCTAAAATTATCAAAAATAAAAGCTATAATACCGAAAAAATTAACTACAAGATGTTTAAAAATTAGTCACATTTTATTGCTGCTATTGACAATGCAATGAAAAATGTGTGAGCTTTGTTTAAGAATTAATGTCCTGCCTATTTTTAGTAATTGTAGTGTAATATTATATCCAGGGGTGATTGTGTCAAAATTCCGGAAAATTCATTGAGTTAAAAAGAAAAAAAAGAACAGTTTGATTGAAAAATTAGAAAAAATTTAAAGAAGGTTTTTTCCTTTTTCTCAATATTTCTTAGTTCACTTAAAAATATTTAAAATTTTACACATACCTGGAGAAGTAATAAAAATTTACAAATATGTCTTTCTTTCTTGAGTTTATGATTATAACAACTATTTACTGATAAAAAATGAATAGTAATCATGAATATAAGCTTATAAAGTATCTCTCTGGCTCTCCCTTACAAACAAATAAAATAAACTGTGTTTTTAAGTTCCACCTTTGAAAATTTGATTTCCGGAAACTTATGTGATCAATGATTTTTTTAAACGTCTGGAACTTCCGGAGCACTGTTAGCGAAAATTCCGGAATGCCAGCCTTCTATATTTAATACATTATCGTGAATACTGGAAAGAAACGAGTTCAGATTAACATTTTGAGGTCGAAGAATTTAAATCTGAGAGAACAGGCTAGTATCTGAGACTGAATTCACAAAAATAAAATGCTACAACTTGCACAGCAAAACTGCCAAAATATATTATTGAGATTACTTATTTACCCATTTCATAGTTCTTAATTTTTAAACTTAATAATCAAAATAATTTTCATACTTAATTACTAAATCAAACAAATTTTCGTAATTTTTTTTAAAACTGATAAGAAAGTAAAGGAACACTTTAGCATGAGCTCAAGAAAGCCTTCTTTCAGATGATGAGTCTGTTTTGGGTACAGGTTCTAGATGGGTCACTATCATCTATGCAGGAAATTGGTGATAGTATTGGTCATATTGCATCATCCAGAGGTTCCACTACATCATCAGAAGATGAATTAAATTATCCCGAATTAATTAGAGACGCTGCAGTAAAATGCAAACTGAAACTTAAACTTTGATTTCAGCTTTGAGCAAGGTAGATTCATAGTTGATTTCTTAGTTGCACCTCGATTATGAGGTTGCAAATTGTAATCCAAACTCTTTTTTTAATTGTATTTGCTATTAGTTCAAAATTTTAGTATAATTATTTAAGTATTGTTTTAATCATGTCCACTGCCCCTTTTATCCGCAGGGAATCAGGCCACGGGATAGGGTCAGGAAAATGATAATATTTTTCAGCATTATTGAATATCGTCTTTGTTCTAAACTGGGTGTGGCTAGTTGCATATTCTTGCTCCTTAGATTTCTCAGTCAGGTAGGACATTTGACTTTTAAAATGTATAAGCCAAAAAAGGAAGATCTTTTAAAACTTGCTACTGAACTGAATATTCAACCGTCGTATGTAACTGAGATAGAAATTAAAACATTGATAGATAATTCCGATACATATAAAAATGATTTTAAGTTTGTGCTAGAAATGTTAGAATATATTACTAAGGAAAGAAAATAAGCAGGGGGGAAGAATCAAAGCAAAAACAGATGGAATTAGAATTAGAGAAATTAAAAATTACCAGACTAAAAAAAGAATTGCAACTCTAACAAATACAAAGTCAAAATTTAGAGTGTAGCAAAGATAGCACTGCATCTCAGTTTAGTGGAGGACTAGAACCAATTGCGCATCAGGATTTAGAAAGTTTAATATGTAGTGTAAAAACATTAACATTAAAGCTAAAAACTTTACATTTATTGTTGAACCATAACAAACTAAAATTTTGAGACTTGATAAATATATTACATTAAAAAGGTACTTACTTTCTTTTTTGTTGTGTAAATAATACAGGCATCTTCTATAAAAGCATCATAGGTTTTAATTTCTGAAGAACGAACGCATTGATATACCTAGAAGAAAGAAGTTCTATTGAAACTGGACTCCAAGTATGATTTGTAAAATAATAATACTAATAAGAACCACAAAATGGGAATTAGTTTAATAATAAGAACCTCACAAATTATGTGATGAGGATGCAGCAATTTTTGGAAATTTGGCGGTAAAGTTGTGGCTGACTTAGTAAACAATTAAAGTAGAAAAAAACATTAAAAAAAATTTATGCTTTATATTGTTCTCTTTCTTTTGATTAGTGTTTCAATTATTACAGGTCAGAGTATTATAGACTAAACCATGCTTCTGTTTCAAGTTATGTTAATCAACAGAACATAATGTGGCAAACCATTGCTGCTGAATTTTAAGTAATTCATGTTATATTCATAATCAACATCCCAGAGATTATTAAACTTTATTAAAGGGATGTGAAGTGAGTCTAGAAGCCGAACATTTCTTCAAAATTGTTTGTAAAAAATATTGCTATAACAGGATACAGCTCTTTCACAAACTATTGAATTCGACAGCAAAATCGCCCAAATTGTTCCTAAAAATCTAAATTTAAATACAAACTTTTTTTAAAATTTGATTTCTCAGTATTTTTTTTGTCTAACTTAGATTAAATTTTGTAATTTGACACATAAATTTACGTTTTTCAAAATGATGTAAAAATTAACATACATTATAATTTACAATTTTTAAGATTATTATTTAATATAATATTAAAAAATAATGAATTATTAAAATTATATTTTGCATGAAACTTTCTTTGGATAAATGAATTTTATAATTGTGTGCAAAAAGTCTTCAATTCACTTAAAAATATTTCCACTTATGGCAAAATATAATTTAATCCTTTTTAAATAAATAAAAATCATTAATATAATCTGTAATATATTTATGCCATAACCTTGAATTGAGTGCAGAATAAAATTTATTGTTAGATATTCCCTCTACATCTGCCAAACACATTAGCATAGAATTCAAAATCCGTTATAGGGTTAGCAATGTTTGATCGTGTGAATTTTTTAGCCAAAAAGTGTGTGCTGAAAGCAAGTAGAAATATTTTTATAGAGGCTACATTATAATTTTATGAACTGTTCTTTTTTATTAGTTTTATTTTTGATAAGATGATTTTTCGTTACCTCCAGATTTTTTTAAACTAGACTTTTTTTTTACTAGAACTTTTTTTTTTACTAGAAAATTCCATTAAATGTTATTTGCTATGTTGTTTTAATCTTTTTATTGTATTGATTATTTGCCTGTCATCATATCATGTGTTCTGTTTTTAATGTGAGTATGGTTGGGGACATTGTTATGGGGGTAACTTATGAACTTGGGAATTATTTCTAGTATTCTAATGAGATTATACCACACATAAATTCAGTAGAACAGAGTACCAAATATTATGATATTAAAAAAAACGCTTTTCATTCTGTATGCAACTATGACTTCTTTTAAAAATTGAATTTTGTTTTATTTTTATCATCAGGATAATAGTTCCTGAATAGAAATGGACAGAAAGTAACATTTACAAATAATTGTTAAGACATTTACTTATACTCACAACAAGCATAACTGATGTGACAAAAGATCTTAAAAAGACAAGCAAACAAGTGAAACAAAAACGATACTTGCTTTCAAAACTGAGTTCATATAAGAAAGTTTAGTTCCTTCCAACAACAGCTTTATCTTTTCAGCTGAGGTAGTCAGATTCAGCAAATCAGCTCTCACCAAGACACCCGTTTTATATTCATTCAGAGCAAACACATTCAGTCCTCTGAAATTCAGTTCCACTGAATAGGAGTTTGAAGGAGGTTCATCTCTCTTCTCATGAATTGGGGAGGAGGGAGAGCTGAAGCAGCTGTTCATTAGCTTGGTTGCGTAGATCAAAAGATTTGCTGAATTGGGGTACCACTGCAGTTGGCAACCATCGAACATACACTCGATGCAACAGTCTAAGTTATTCTTCCTGGCCTAACAAAACGGAAGAAAGTAATATATTTTAAAATGAATAGTAAATACGTTTACTAACCACACTAATGATTAATTTTTTTAAAATAAATTTTTCTCTAAATAGAAGAGCTGAGAGGGAGTGACATTTTTGATCCAGAAAAGTTCTTACTTAGCTCTATAATATTGTCAAGTCTTTATATTCTAAACATGAACCTTTTTATTGATCTGCAAATGGATGGGCATTCAGATATTGCACTTGGTAGGCACGTAAGTTTAAAAAAGTAAAAAAGACTAACATTACAATACATTAAATAAATAATACCAAAAATAATAAAGTGATAAGATATTATTTAATTAAAAAACTTTATTCGCTTCAATAATATACAGATTGGATATAACAATTAACATGTTTCGAGCGCTGAAAAATAAGCATCCATTTTCAAGACTAGCAACGAAACAAAAGTGATTTGAAGTATAAAATGCAAAGTTACCAACAAAATATCAGAAATAAAGCAGAGAATCAAAACCTCAGTAGCTAAGAGTGAAGGAAAATAAACATGAAAAAACAGAACAAGAAAAAGAACAGGAGACACGAGTGGAACAAATCAGGGTAAAATGTATTTCACGTTCTATGAAAAGGTGGTGAGCAATCAGCATTCATGAGATTCCAGGGCATCAAGATGAAACAATGTGACTGGGGTGGAAATAATTTTGGTATTTTCTATGCGCAAGATCCCAACAAAGCGCAGCAATTGATGATTCCTCGTATTTTTGATAATGAACATACCTATTTGGGTTTTTTAGGCTTAAATTTAAAAGAGCGTCTGGTTTGTCCCATGTAGTCCATCAAAGCTGTGTTGTCTAATCAAGTCAATTTTTCCAAGGTGAAACCCTCTATCTCACAATAATGATTGCAAATATAGATAGTATCCAAAACATCTCTTCATAAAAAATGTGCTTTATATTATGTATAAATTATTAACTAATCTTACACTAATAAGTGATTATTTTATAATTCTTACAAAAAACTGGTAACAAAACACTGAAAAAAAACACTGGTTAATAATGCGTTTAGTTAAAAAAAATCTTTAAAAAAATAACTATAAACCAAAAGAGAATTTTAATCCACTCACAAGAAGTTAAGTAAATGAAAAGATTTGGGATAATGCATCTTCCCAAAACACTGTTTCAAAAAACTGATTCCGGCTTTCTATGTTTCAGGTTAAAAGCTATTTTAACCACATCACTCAAAGAATAACATTAATCCATAAAAATCAAATATAATAAATTAGCATTATGATGCTTGAAATTATTTTGATTAATTTATATATCTAGAACTGTCAGTGCATGTTTTGTAACAGTTCAACAACATTTACCTTTAAAAAAATAAGAGTCTGTACTCAAAAAAATAAAGCCTAAACAATAAAATGAGTGTAGTATATGAAAAATAATGCTATCTTTCACATTCAGTTATCTTTAAAATAAATTGAATTTATATTAATAAAGTTATGAAAAGAATAATTAAATTATGCTGTTACACAATACTAAAAAATATTATGAAAAGCAAATTCTATGAGTTGAACCAACCTTTAGTAGAGCAACACCAATAGCAAGTGGAATATTGCTATAATGATGGCGTTTCAACATTCCAAATTCCACAAAGCTGGAATCTCCAATTTTTAAGTACAATGTTTCGAGCAGAAGTTCGACGCTGAAAATATAAAAATATTTAACTATTTTGGGTATACCTATTGATAAAGTTATAAATATTTGTTGGATAAAATTAAATAAATTCATTTAAACAATAAAAATGTAAAATAATGAATCAAATTATGAATGAATGATGAAAAAGTTTAAATATACGATTTTTTTTAAAAATTTATCTCTAAAAAATTGACTAATTTCTTGTATTTTATATTAGATATTTAAAAAAGTTTAATGTTTGTACATTATGAATGTTCATAACAATTATTTTAAAAAGAATGCAATGCAAGAAAATGAGAATTAAAAAATCAGGACAATTGAGCTTAAGCTAAGTAGTCAGGTAAAAAGGATTTACAACAAAAAAGCTAAAAACTTACTATATGTTTATTCTATACATTAATTTAAATACAAACATACATTAGAAACAAACCACTTTTACAATGTACTGTTCAATATTATGAGAAGTTCGATTCAGAGAATTTATATAATAATAATTAAAAAAACTAAAAAGTAACTGAATATAAAAAATTTTAGTTTACAAATTTAAAAAAAAAATAGAAGATGGAATTTGAAAAATTCATGCGATTAACAAGTACGCATGTGTAAGATTTCAAAACTACATACTGAAATCTTGCAATATATAAGTGAATTCTGTAATACAGAGGTAGCGAAGTGCTCTGAATCAGTTCAACTTTTACTTTGTAAAGATTCCCTTGATTGTAGACTCATTAAACAATATAGTTCAAATATTCCATATTATTCTTTATTTGTCCAGTATTAGGCAAAAATTTTGATAACAGTACGCTGCATTTGGTAAAAATGTTGTCTTTTGATATTTAAAATAATTCTTTAAGAAAAAGAAATTTGAACAAAATATATTATTGAATTTAAGAAATAATAATTTTTGATTCATATCTTTTGGAAGCTTAGGAATTATTAATAAAGCACCATTTTACGTAAATTGCACCAATCAGATTCTTAATTTCTTGAAACAGATGTTGTTTGAAATTTTATTTAAATGATAAAGTTTAAGTAATATACAATCTTTACAGTACTGTATAATATTTTCTATTACAGATAAAAATTTGTAACTATATATTATAGATAAAAGTAACTCTAAATCTCTCGTTTAAAGAGCGAAAATTAGTGGGAGAATACCTCCACTTTTAAATAAATTAAATAACATCTATTGCATAGCATATATATTGTTACTTGCATCGATTGCATAGACAAACACTTTGCAAAAGCATAAAAACAGAAAAAAAATCTTAAAAATACTTTTTTTAAAGTGATAAAATTGAACAAAACGTCCATTATATTGAACGTTGGGTCACAAGAGGTTAAAGAATCAGACATAAAATAAATGCTAAAAATAATTTAAGTTTTATGATAAATATTTATAACAACCTTGATCCTGTAATCTGAGATGTGTTTTGAACAGCACCATTTTCAATATCTAAAACGAATAATAATAAAATGATTAGTTACATTTGCTGTTTTTAACACCCCACTTATTAACATTAAAATGGAATTTCATATGTGACATAACAATTTATAGAAGAGTAAGAAAATTCTAACAAAAGTATTTTGATACATATGAATTGAAGTTATTTTTAGTCCTAAGAGAAACATAATTTATAATGTGAAATCAAATTGAGAATATTTTATATATTACATTCCCATATTACTGAGTCTCTTACTTTATTTATTCACTTTAAGTAGCAATTAAAGAAATGTACAAAACTTACTTTAAAATATCTATATAATACTTCATTTTAAACTCAAATTCTTGGGTGTTGCAGTTAGGGTGTGATAAGATATATAGAATCATTAAAACAAAGTAATTTAAGCAGTTAGTTTGACCATGAGCCATGTTTTAACATTACTTAATTCAAAGCAAACTGAAAAAAAAAATTTTTTTTCCAGAACATTTGAAATTTTAAAGCTGGAATTCTGCCATTTCTAGAAAATTTTTGCTATTTATATATTAATTTGTTAAATAATTAATTTGTACATTTAAAATTCATTGCCACAAGAGTATCAGACATATTTCTTTCATGAATTTCTTTCTATTAGAGTTTGGTAACACCTCGGGAATTAGATAAACTTTAAGCTTCATCTTCAGATCTTTTAATCCTTCCCTTGTTCTTTATGGACCTCCATAACGAATGGCCTGAGTTTGAAAGCATTTTTGTCCAATCTCACTTCAATATTGATGTGTGACAAATTTATGCACAATATATTTACCTCATCAAGGATTTTAAATATATATTAATACTATACTTAACATCTTGTATATACAAAATACTAACATAACCGTTCAGATAATGCTTCCTAATAATATAAAAATTATGTAAACAAATGGATTTTAGAGTAAACTTGCTTTTGATGGCAATGAAGTGTTCCAGAGTGCTTTGAGCTTTAATTAAGCCAATGTTGAATGATTCACAATCAGGAACCTTAAAAGAGATGCTCACATCATCTATGCCAATAGTTGTCTTCATTCTGTAGCCTGACAAGATTTCATACACAGATTTGCCCCTAAAAATATAATTTAAAAATAAAAATACAATTTTAATGTTATTGATGTCAATATATAGCTTATCAACATCGTGATTAATGAATTAAATCTCAAATTTTATATGAAAACAATTGTGAATAATGCTTATAAATAAAAAAATAATTTACCTTTTAAGGGAGGACTCAGATTTGGATTTCTCTTTATTATTGTTAAGAAGCAGAGCTTTCAGAAAATATTGTAACACTTCTTTCTCATACAGGACATGTAACAGAGACAGATTAAATTTCATATCTAACATCTTTTCTGCCACCTAAAATCATTAAAATCCACAGTTATTTTCATTGCATAATTATTACGCCAAAGGGATGAGACGTTCACCCTCACACCAGTAGAGAGTACATTGTGATTGTAAAGGAAATGCTCCAAATTGGCCTGAAAATCAGAATTGCATTATATTTTGCAAAGGTGTCTGCAATGTTAATGGGAGAAGATATCCATTGCAAGTGTATCTTACGAGGAGATAAAAGACGCTCAAAACAACCACTCTTGTATTATCTTTTAGTTGGTTGAATACGAGGACGGCCGGGTCTCTGTTATAGCAGAGACTTATATCAATTTTAACCATCAGCTAGTATTATTTAATCATGTTATTATTTTATGCGTATAGATAGAATGTAGATTTTATCTGATCACCGCCACCGAAATTCACCGCCATTATCCACTTGCAATGCCATCATTACAGGTGCCCACGGGCACAACTTCGGATGAAAGTGTGAAGTGTCCGCTTCACGGACAGGTACACTGAAACAAAACTCAGTTCAAGTTCAAGTATCTTTTAGTTCATGCAAAACAAACAAAAAAAAACTAAGTTTTTTTCCGACCCGTACTGGGTGCTCTGCCTGCCAGGCTTTTTAGATCCTATTCTTGATTGCCTCACAAAACATAATCGTTTTGAGCACTTACGAATGGTCATTGACTTCTGCAGAGTGTACAACATTGTGGAGATGGACTTTAGTAAAAACAAAGCAACTAAAAGTCAAAATAAAGCCTTTACAAAATCTTTCTCTATTAAATTTAAATAATTTATTCAGGGCTCGTAGCCAAATTTTTCAACAAAAAATAAATACCTTTTAAGTACTTTAAAAAAATATCATAATTAGTCAGGGTTGGTAAGTTTTTGACAATTGATGGTTTTATTTGCTTGCCAGTGAAGAAGACGTCGATGCCTCGCCAATGATAAAATTAACAAGAGCAGTAAAATTTTCTATCGCTATTAGAAAAAAAAATTGACAATGTTTAGTCGGTCCCAGTAATCAGCAAAAATACGAGAGATTTTTCGATTTGATTCCAGAGGACGGAAAATGAAGTCTGAAATTGAGAATCTCTTGCAAAATGCAGCAGAGTTGGACATGAGAGACAAAAATCCTTCCCACTGAATCCAGCTAAGTATACGCAAAAGCGGATCCGCATTTGCGTATACTGAGGATTCCAACTAGTATTTAAAATGAATGGCGTTTTCATACACTACGGACCGAAGGTACGGCGATATAGATTGGGGTTGAATTAATTGTGAAGACATTGAAAAAGACGATGTCTCTTTGCATAATTCGTGGCGAAAATCAACATGGTAAAGAAAAAATATCTCATTTTGGGAAAGGAAAAATAAGCACTTTTTAAAAACACCCATTGGAAAAAGCACCTTTAAGGGATTTTAAAAAACGAAAATCAAAAATAAGCACTTTTAAGCACTATTTAAAAATGCTACGCACCCTGTTATTATAGGTATAGAGCAGTTCTCAAAAATTGGGAGCATAACATACATTTAAAATTTGAGCTCTGACAACAACTACGTTTTAATTTAATTCACAGTAAAAATTTATAATTTTATCTAATGACAGAAATCAACATAATAAAATATTGTAAAAGTTTTATTATCAATACCATAAACATTTTTATTAAATATTTTCTTTTATAAAACTTATTAAGTACATTTTTTATAAATTTTTTCTCTATCTATATCTCTAGCCTCTATCTGGAAAATACAGTCTAAATCTAAAACGTTTAGCCAGAAGAGCGGTTGTTGAAAGTTTGAAGATTTTAACATTAGTTTTACTTAATGAGTATTTCTCAATATTCTTAGAACTATATTTTTTAAATATTCTTAAAACTAAGTGAATAAAAAAAATAAGTACAATTAATCTAATCGTTCTTGCGAAATTAAAAAAATTAGACTTTTTTTAATATTCTATTACTTAGAAATCATAATAAAAAAACTTTTTTTTTACAATATCAAAACTTTATGGATTTTAAATATTAGATTTTATTGTATTAATAGGAATAATAGCAAAATGTCCTTTTCTCAGATTTATTTTGTCGAATTTTCAAATTTGTTTTCAAATGAAGAGTTTATCCTAAGCTATATAGCATTTTTGAAAGAAGAAAAGTTTGATGAAATTAACTAATTAAACACTTTAGAATTTCAAAGTTAACTATTGTTAATCATTAACTTCAAACAAAGTTAATTATTAACTTCAAAGCATTCTTATCAACAGACATCATCTAATATACTTGCATCAGTACATCAATTTTTGTGAGATCTGTGCACAATTAAGATGTTTCAATTCATTAACCCCTTACACTTTGATCTCAAGGTTGCTTTCAATTGAGTCAATAATTTTTTAGTATTTTCTAAGAGGCTCTATAAACAAGAGTATTTAATTGCGCATCTTTCCATTTCAAACACCTGCCCGGCCAATAATATCGAACAAAAGAATCGGTGTACGACGAATTTCAAAATAGACTTAACCATTTAAAGTCAAAGAACATATGCTCTACCATAACTTTTTAATTATAAACAGAATTAACATCATTCTTAAATAAACGAAGAAAAGCCTCACTTAGTTAGCTCACCTCACATTCATTTTTTTTAAAGAATAGTATCTATAAGTTTACAAATAAATATGAACGGTATATGAATGTGCAGGTCCAAATGTAACAAACAAAACAAGAGTAGTTATTTTAACACAAATTAGAATAAAACAAGTACTTCAAACTTCTTCATCCATCCTTAAAACAATTTTCCATGTATTTAATTATTTTCTATAATTTTGTGAAATATTTCTGCAACAAAATGCCATATGCCTTACAAGTGAAATATAGGATTGTCCAAATTATGTAATGTATATACAAAACGCCAATACCCCCTCCCCCATACATATATTGTTTCAGAGAATTTGGTGTTCTAACATTTAATGTAAAGATTTAGTATACTGCTAATTTTATTGAAATAGAATACATTGCATAAAAAGTGAATATTTAGTACTTATAACATAGAAATCAATCAAATGCAGAATTAGCTGCAGCTAAAATTATTGATTCCACCTTTTGAGAAGTACCCTATAGGTAATTTGTTTTTAATAATTATTTGATAATGTCATGGCCTAATATGATCAAGTCAGTCAGTTTGGAGTTTTTCGTATAGTTTGCTTAGGTAAGTTCCTACGGTATACAATTATAAAAGAATTGAATATTTTTTGTTTTGTTTTCAAGACAATTTTTAAGACTTCTTCATTAATATAAAAGAAAAAATCAAAATGAGTCAGGTCCCATCAGACAATGAGTCAATATGTGCAAAAGCAAAATCTATTATCACTTGCAATTAGACTGGTATTTATTGCAATACCTAAGAATAGCAGGGACATTTAGTTATAGACAGATTAAGAGAATTTAACTAAAAGGGTGTTTCAGTCGAAACTATTTTTATACTTTTACAAGCAAGTTAAATGAGTATCCAAATTAAGTACGACCCATATCATAACATTTAAATATGGTGTTTTGAAGTCAATATCTTAAAATCCTACAGAATATACAATTGTTTAAAAATTCAGTTAACAAATTAAGTACTTTTATTACAAATATTTGTGTCACAATTACTTTTAGATCTTATTAAAATTTTTGAATCTCAATACTATTTTAAAACCATCAATATTACAATATTTCATTTTAAAATCAACGTTGAACAGCTAACCTAGTTTTGGATTTACAACTATCGATGTTTGACTTTGTAACCTAGTAATTTTGATCCAAACACAGAAGACAAGAGAACTCCTGGATCAAACATTGGGACTAATGACAAATGAACCTGCATTTGCCTTACATAGAGAGAGAAACAACAAAAACCACTCTCCATAGTTAGTCTGACAGTAAGAAGAGCATCACAAGATTTGATAAGATTTTTAATATTGTTATACTTACAGTGAAATCTAAGCTGCAGTTTACTAATTGTCCGAACTGAACATGATCGCTGGCAGCAGATATTTCTTTCACTTCAATCTTTGAGGTTAGTGATGGAAGGAATTCAGACTCCTTAAATTTTCCCATTTCTAAGTGGAGTGCAACAAACTTGATGCCAAAAGTAAATGTTCTTAAAAAAAACAAAATTAAAATAAGTAGAACAATAAAAATTATTAAACCAGAATCCATCAAAAATAAAGTTAACTAATAAATTTAGATTTAAGGGAAATATAGACGAATGTGTTGCATAAAAATTATGGGGAAATTCTGCTCTAACTATTTAATGGTTATAAACTGTAAAATGGAACACAATAGACTGTTCCAGAGGAGTTTAAAATTATAAATCATGCATGTCTAGAAAAAAGTTTGAGAATTAATGAACATTGCTTCATGATTTGAATTTTATTATTAAAAACTAGACTTCTATTTTAAAGTTAGAGCAAATACAATTTTTAACGAAAACTATCTATATTTGTTTTATAATTTTTTTTTTTTACTCAATTACTTTGGCTTATGAGAATCAACCCCTTAATACAATTCCATAGTATTTCTTCCTAAGTAATCATAGTTATCAAGGAATAATTTTTCTCTCTGTATGATTTAGAATTATTTTACATATATTTTTTAATTACAAAATATAAGGAAAAAATAACTTGATATTAAAAGCTAAAGTGAAAAATTTTCAAAGTGGATAGTGACAAGAAAGAAAATAGTTCAGCTTTAGATTATGACAAACATGTCACATTAATTAAATTAATAGATAGATAAAAGTAGTACATGGCAATGTTTGATAATTTTATGAAAACTCTTCATGCCAGTTAAAGGTTATGGTACTTGATACTTACAAAAATGCAGTTTTTGTAAATTTGAATTTTGGATGCTTAGAATTTCTTTTCATGCGTTTTCTCTTTGATAATAAATCAAAAAAGAGGTAACTGCAAGAATAAACATAGAAGATAAATTTTTAAACTTACCGATGTCCACCTTTCATCATAACTTTCACAGAAAAAGAGTCAACGGATATGTCTAAGATCTGTCAGCAAAGTAAAATAAACAAATTAAAAAATGTACAGTGTGAAAAAAAAACAGAAATAAATAAGCCCAAAAACATGCCTCTTTATTATTATTTTTGTTTTACTCTTGTTTCCTGTGGCTTTTCTAGTTTTGTTTTTACCTTGATTTTCCATTTTTCGTTGGAAACTTTACTTTTATATTTTGAATCACTTTTGTTTCTTCTCATTCAAGTCTGACAAGTTTTAAGACAACTTGAAACATGTTGAGTTTTCATTTCCATCGGCCATTTTGAAGCCAAAGAAGTTTTCGAATAGAATAACATATTATCATTTCAGTTTAGGGGCGTTAAACGTTGGTTTAGACACAAAGAGAGGATGAACAAAAGAATATGTGTGAAACAAGTGTACAAGACAAGTGCAGGCGTTGGAAGAGGGTCGACCTCAGCGAACGTTCTTAGTAAAAGCCAACAATAGGAGTTTCCTAATTAAGTTAGTAACAATAAATTTACCCATATAATTTAAGTTAAAAAAAATAGGTTCTCAATTAAAAAATTTACTGTTTGATAATTGGCTTTATTGTCCAATGAGTTTGATGACCACTGTCATACTACTCTAAAAAATACACAAGCATTTTCCACATCACTTAAGATTTATTTCACTTTAAAAAAAATTACAACAGAAATTATGCTTACATCTAAATAAAAAGCAAAAACATAAATCGGAGCACTCTGAATCTCATAGCTTTCGGTCATCAAAAATTTATTCTTCTTAATCCTTATTTGATTTACTTGAATAAAACCTACCTAATTACTTAAAAATTATTTTCCTATTAGATTTAAATAAGTAATTCCACACAAAACATAACATAATCGGGAAAACAGAAATCGGAGTACTCTGAATCTCATAGCTTTCAGTCATCAAAAATTTATTTTTCTTAATCCTTATTTGATTTACTTGAATAAAACCTACCTAAATTACCTAAAAATTATTTTCCTATTAGATTTAAATAAGTAATTCCACACAAGAGCTATTCTCAAATATAAATTTTAAGCCAACTTTTCATTGAAAAATAGTAAAACAGTTACCTTAGGAACTTTTTTAAACTTTTGTTGGATGTTAAGATCATTAAGTGGAGGAGGTGAATCTTGTGGCTGTTTTTTAGAGTGCATACCATTCACAGCATAGTTCCTAAACTTCACAAGCGAAAAACCTATGAATATATATGTAAAGAATATGGCAAGTTAAGGAAACAACTCAATGAATAATTATTCCAAATATTATATAATAATTAATTATGTTATATAATAATATTATATAAATATTATATAATAATATGATGCAATAATTATTCTAAATAATTATTACACTTAGAATAAGCTTATTCATCACATTTAATAATAACACAATACCATTATTTGAAACAAATAAATTTGAAAAAAAAAAATCTCACCTTCATATAACATCAATTCAGGATCAGAAATATTTAAAGAAACAGCCTAAAAAGGGGGAATAAGTAAATTAATAAATAAATTAATCTTATTTCCGGGAATAAGATTTATTTACTTCATAAAACAGTTTGCTACAACAATACAAAAATTAAACAAAATATTCACTTGAAGTAAAAAAAAAAAACCTAATGTTTCCTTACAAGAGATTGAAAGAAAGAAAATTAGCTAAAATGGATCTATGTGTGAACTTACTTGCAAATAAAAGGAATGATGAAAATTAATGAATGAATTAAGTTAATGAATGAGTACTGATTTCTAAGCAAAATCAAAAAAAAATTTGAAAGATATATAAATGATTTGAGAATAATTAAGTGGAAAATTTCAAAATGATGCATTATTATCCCTTTAACAGAGTAGTTAACATTTAGTTCTCATTTTAGAGCCAACTATTTGTAGTCAAATAATAACAATCAGTTTTAAAGAAAAGAGAATATGTTCTTTTCAAAAACTTTTACACCATCATGACAAAATAACTAGTTTCTGACAAAGAACTCTTTTCTTAATTATATTAGCCACCATAAAAACAATTTATACACAATTTTAAATGTATTCAACATTGAGTGGCTCATTATATTCTATAAATTAATAATTACTTAACCTAATTATGTAAAAAAAAATAATAAAATTCAAAATTATAATTGATCGAACTATTATTTAAAAAGGTTATCAAAAGTATTTTTTAGATTTAAATAAAAGTTATTTATAAAAGCTTATTCAACAAAACATTAACAAGGTCAATATTATTGATCATACCAAATTTATAAAGATATGTAAAGAATTAAGCAAACTTAGAAAACTTTAATGCATTTATATTACAAATGTAAATTATTGAATTTCAATAAAAATTCCCTAACAAATTTTTATAATTTTTTTTTATTGGTTCAGTATTTCTTTCATGAAATGATTAAAAAATTTAAATAATTTTGAAAAGTAAATATAATGGGCATTGAAGCTAAATATTTGTGTCATAAGTAAACTATTATATGGTCACCTAATAATATTTAACAATTCCGAGATAATTAAATTTTTTATTTCAATTGTTTTTAAATCTAATCATTCAGAGATGAATTAAACGCTTTTTTGGAATGACAAATCTGAATAACATAAGATTCTTTGCTGTATTTAAAATAGTGAAATTCCCTCACTTCTTAAAATCTTGCATCTAAATATTGTTGATTTTTTTCATAAAATAACTTAAGAGTACTGAAAATTTTAAAAGTAATTATACAATAATAAAAAGTAATATGTAAAAAAAAGCATTTAGAGAAATTTTTTTTAAAAAGTACAATAAATGTTTAAAAAAACTTTATGCAATTAGTGGATGGTCCCTCAAGTAAAAATTTTACTATTCAGAATCTCAATTAATTTTTATCTTTATTAAATTAAATGAATAAAGGGGAGATGGAAAGGAAGCTTTGTGATTCTTAACTGCTCTGGGAACCCACATGAAAATACATAATTAATGAATGATCTCCAAGTTCAAGGATTATGGTATTAATCTATATATAGAAGACAGCAAAAAGGTCATTAGCTTGCCAGTGACAAAGAAGATAGTACTTAACCAACGATGAAATTAACAAGAGAAATAATATTTTCTTTTGCTAATAGGGAAAATAAATTTTTGGCAATGTTTAGTTGGTTCCCGAGATTTGCAAATGGATTCTGGTTGAATGAAATGTGAGAAGGCTGAGTAGAAAAATGTGAAAACCAGCTTTTTGCCTAATTCGCGGCGAAAATCAAAATGTTAAAGAAAATAATCACTCATTTTGGAAAGGGGGAAAATAAACACTTTTTAAAAATGTAGCGCACCCTGTCTATTCTCCTTACTCACAACCTTGTTCTTTGCTAATAGAATTTTCTTTATTTTTTTGGATTATTTCAAAACTAATTAAAATAGCTTCTGATAATTAAAAAGGAATATCGAATTATGAAAATTCAATAGAGAAAATTGCTTATTAGATTCCCTAGAATTTGCTTCATTGAAAATGTGTCTTTAAATGAGAAACTAATTGACCAAATACAATTCAAAAACCAATCACAATCACTAGATAAACATAATTTTTTGTGTTATCATCAAGAAATTTTTCAAGTCAAAGCAAAAAATCAGTGACTTTCTTACATAAACATAGGGTGGTGTTTGTGATTTGCTGACAAGGGAGGGGTACATTGCAAAAATATGCTCAGGTAAATATTTGAACAGTCCCTTATAAACTACATTTTTAATATTAACAATTAAAGTGATCTCCCCCCAAAAAAATCACGACTTTAAAAATGAGTGAAAATACGAAACATGCATCCAGAAAACAATGAGTGATTAGAATAAAAGGTGTTCACATTTAAATTCAGAAGATAATTTTATACAAGATGAGGTTTGAACAAGAAGGGTGATGACGAGGCATGGAAAAACATTTTTCTTGCTGTGCAGTGTTATTAATATTTCAGGAGATGAACAAAATTATGGAGATACTGATATGTAATCATTATATAAACAAAACATTTCCTCAAAGCAATTTCACTAAAATTAAAGGGATGTATAAATTATGTAGTCACTAATTTGTTAATTTTATGTTTAGTGATTTTACTTGCTATTTAAGAATCAAAATTAGAATGGTAGATAAGGAAATGGCGACCAAATATTTTAGGCTAGCAAGTAAGAACCAGAGTTTGACGCGAGAATAACAGAGTCTGAGAGTTGACACTAAAGATGGTAATTATAATACTTTGAGTTTCTGATATTTTTCTTGTTTTAATGATATTTTGATGATATTGAAATTATTAAGATCATACTGGAATCTTATTTTACGTAAATATTATAATTACTCAGCTATAAATGTGTTCCCGTTTTCAATTTTAGCATTCTTTCATGGTTTTGGACACCAAAAGTTCCTTAAACTGCATGTGTTAATATTTAAAAAAAAATTTCATTTTTTTCATAAAAATAGTGGTGAACAAAGATTTAGTTTTGTTAGAAACATTTAGACTTGAAATTTCATGCCCTTCTATAGAGTATACAAATTATGGAAGCATATATAACTTTTTTGTTCTGTAATGTCATTAAACAAATTTTAAGGGATAAAACTTTCATTTAAAAACATTCACCTAATTACATGATTTTTTTTATTTACAATCAGGCAAAATTTTTATTTATTTATTTAGTATAATTTTTTTTGCTTATCAGAATAGGAAACATGCAGATTGTTACTTCAAAAAATGTGAAACATTGAAGTTGGTTTACTTAATTTGATACAAATCAGATTGATAAAAAATCACATCAGAAATTTCTGAAAGCTTTAAATATGACCCTTTAAATTTCTGATTTTGATTCTACATTGCAATTTGCAAAAGAAATTGCAATGTAGAATACAACTGTTTTCATAAAATTATCATAGTTATGTATATGAAATATAATTTATAATAATAATAAGATAAATATAGCAGGAGCAGGAAGAAAATAGCTTTGTTAAACACAAGTAATGGAAAAGAAATTTCATTCTATAAACTTAATTAAAGAAAATGTAAACTTCTTTGAAAGAATATTTTACCTGTATTTTTATTTCATCACCAACAGTTATTAAAAAAGTAAAATTAACATTGGACGAAAAATGGCATATGCATGCCTCTGTTGAACGTTGTTCATTTTCTTCCTAAACAAAATACATAAATAACTCAACATAAAGCTACAATTGATTAAACATATATTTGCAAAGAAATAATTAGCAAACAAAAATATGCAAAAATAAAAAATTTCAAAACTAAGAAGAACATGAAGCAATAATTTACACAGTAAAAATCCATTTCTTGGGAGAACAGGTTTTACAAAAATACTATTCTGGCAATGAAATTTTTGAAATATTATCAGTTTAATACTTATAGCACCTATGCAACTAAATAATTCGAAGTTAGTAAAGGTTAAAGCTTAATATTTAATTGGTGAAACTAAATACAGTTTTCATAAGTTCTAATTTTAATGGATGACTTTTAACCAAGATGTAAAACTTCAGTTACAATAGGATTAAATATTGAAACAGATTTGTAAAGAACTTTTAAATGAAACTATGAATAATAATAAGAAATCGTATTTTATTAATATGAGAATCAGATTAATAGTTTGATTCTTTATTCTTTGTGTCAATTTTTTAAAAATTTTATTTACTAAGCGTTATTTTTTAAATTCTTTATAGATTTTGGATTCTAAATAACTGCATCAAGATGTAAAAAATAAAAGTGGCAAACAAATAAAAGAGGCATTCAAGAAAAGTATTAATTTCACACTGAAATGTGATAAAGAGACAATAAAATATAACAATTTAAAGCAGCATCATATAAAAATAAATCAGTACCATTTTTAGACAGAATACTAAAAAAGACAGACATTTGTTGGCTTATTTTAGAAATGAAATACATAATATCTGTGAGCTTTTTATTCTGGACATAATTCAAAATGAGAGTTTAAGAAAATGAACACAGTTACTTAAGAAAATGGCCATAGCACTTGATTCCAATTTTCAAATTTCTCTGGTGAAAATTGTCCCTTTATTAAAGACAAAACAAATGAATCCAAATGAATTCCTAATGTGGTGTTGTCTACATGCTTAAATCACTTTACATCTTTTAAATTAGTCTTTCTTGAAAGAATTCTTAAAGTTAACAGTTTTTAGTAGGTTACCACAGGTTTGATAAATTTATACTAATAGTATTAAATTGATACTGTATGAATTTAGATTTTTTAACACTATTTTATTGTTCAGTGTTTTGAGATGACTGAAAAGTCACATCTGTAATATACCCAATCACTCTAACCCCAAAGTCAGGGATTATGTTTAGTATTTAAAAAGTAATGAAAAGTAAATACAAAATTTCTCGTTTAGTTATTAAAATTGGGTTGAAAGGAGCATTGTGTCCAGAGTTCATTTAATGCACTTTTTCAGATGTACCCATTTTCTTGGACAAGCTCTTTTGAGATGTGTCCATTTCTTTGCACATTTTAAAGTATGTCCATTTCTTTCATTCATTTTCTTGAACACACATTTCAAGTTGTATCCAGAATAAAACGTTTAACAGCAATGATATCATTTAATAAAAAATTCTAATGATAATTCTGATTTATAATGAAAATTTGTGACATTATAATACTTATTAATTTATGATATTCCTTTAAAAACAGCACATATACTTACAATTGAATGATGCTTAAAAATTTTCACTGAAGATGAAAGCATTGAAGTACAAACTAGGACACTATAGAAAACAAAGTGAAATCATTACATAAAACATTAATTTTGAAGTTATAAGCTAAAATGAAAATGTGATCATGAAATTTCTACCTATTAATAAACAACTCCTACAGAAAAATGTCAAGCAACTAAGAGGTACTGAACCTCTAGTGCTACTGAATCCTGTGGAATTCCCTTGCACTATCAATAAAAATTTTAAAAAAAAAGTAAAAAAATTATGAGATCGTCACATTAAAAGTGAATGATCAAATGAGTGATTTGAGTTTCCCGTGTAATAAAATTGAAAAAACAAAATATCCAGATTTGTTTTAAATAAGAAAATTCACAGCAATATCTTACAAACAAACATCGCATGGATTAACGAGGTGCAGACCGATGGTGTCAAAGAGTGATTTCTTGAATCCGCGATTCAAACTTCGCATGCCATAATAATATTGAAATATTTTAAAAAATCACAAGAATATCAACTATGACTGAGCAATGAAAGACATCCAAATTTAAAAATAAGCAAGTAAAAATTAGTAGCAATAACTGCCAAAGAAAGAGATTAAAATTCTACACACATTTACGATAGAATCATCAGCACGAGTAGCGTGTGATAAAGTGAAGATTTAAATGCGTAATTTAAAATTTTCACGTCAAATATTGGATTGATTTAATTTCAACTAAATTTTAAAAAAAAAGAGAGAGACATTATTTTGCTACAAATCCGAATTTGTAAGAAAATCCTCATTCACAGTCAAATTTATGATGTTCTTTTAAAAAAATAAAAAGTGAAAGAAAGAACATGATTTTTAGAGTGAACTATCTTTTAAACTTTCGTGATTTCATATTTATATATATGTATACATTATCTAATTAAAATTCTAACTGAAGCCAGTCATTATCGAATTTTTTTATTTCAGATAAGAAAAAAAAAAAACAAGCTTTTCTTTCGCTTCTCTAATTGCAAGAAAGTCATCTTTTAAATATGATTCTGGAGGGTAAAAAGAAAAATCAAAACTTTTTGCAGAAAAGAAAACTCAAATTTTTTACTTCATCATTCTTTATTTTCCATTATTCTCAAATAAGAATAAAAAAATTAAGAATTGATGATTTGTCTATTCTTATTTGAGAATATTTTTCATTATTCTCAAATGAGAATAGAAAAATGATGAGCATTTCTTTCCTTTCCGATGCACAAGAAAAGAATCTTTTAAAAATAACTCTGGAGAAAAAAAAATTGAAAATTTCTGCAGAATACAAAATCAAAATTTTTTACTTCTCAAAAAACCCCCCCAATTATTTCTACAAGAACTCTGTAGCATTCTGCGACAATGTCACTGTGGTACTGCCATGGAGGTCTTAGAATTAGAAAAAGTTGAACAAAAAAAAGCTTGGTTGCTATATTGCAATGCTCTAATGGATATTAAAATAACACTGCTTTTAAGGAATGGTGAATAGGACTTCATGTATCAGTCTTTGTAATAGAAGTTTCACAGTAATGGGGAGTCATACTGCACGGCGTAGACTGTATTTTTATATGTGAAACCCCAAATTCTTTGCTATGAAATGATTTAAAAAGTAATTTTTATAGCTGCAAGAAATACAAAGGATTTTAAAATAGTCTTATCATGATTTTGATGAAATGATTTAAAAAGTATTTTTGATAGCTGAAAGAAATACAAAGGATTTTAAAATAGTCTTGACATTAGATAAATCCCATAAATTATAAGCTCCATTGGTTCAAAAGAAAATATATTACTATGACAAAATATAATGCATTTCTGACACATATTTCATTTAAAGAACAAATATTTGTTGGTTTACTTTGAAAAAAAATTAATAAAAATATTCACCCTTGTGCTTCTTTGTCACTTTCACCACTACAAAAATGCAAACTAAATTCTTGAAAAGACAAATGTAATAAAAATTCTTCATCTGACTTTCCCAGCTGCATCACACTAGCATTGGATATATTAAGCGATAGAAACTAAAACAGACAAAAAGTAAAAATAGGAAATGACGTATTTTATTAATAACACTAATATATATACACAACTTTAGAATAATGGAAGAAACATTTAAACTTTTGGCATTTTTTCAAATTTCTCAAGAAATACTTATATTTTATAACTTTGAACGTGCTTAGGTAACTTGTATCAATTATATTGTTTATCATTTGCAACAACTGATCAAAATTTCGTAAAATTAGCTAAAAAAATTCATGGCAATGTGGACATTTTTGTTAAAAATTCCTTTTTTGTGTTATGTTTTCTTACTATAAAATGTTCAATAAAATTAAACAAAATGTTCGTTTCTAATTTATTGAAGGTTCCTCAAACATCTGAAAGCTTTAAATTTTTTTGATACATAGAAGAAATTGCATTACATAAACACCTCTGAATTTATACAATAATTCTCAAAGTATATCTTGAGAAATTTGAAAATATGTCAAAAACTGAAAACGTCACTTCCATTCCTGTATGGCAGTGTATATATGTATACATAAATATTTATAGATATAGAAACACCAGGGGCTATGAATCTTAAAAAATCATTTCAGGCACATAATATATTTTCAGAAAAATTTAAGCAGCATTTTTCTTTTGAATCTGAAATAATTTCAGGGTATTGTTCCTCTCTCCAGAAATTTTCAGTTTTTGTTAGACTACTGTACATGTAAGCATGGCATTGATTATATCAAACTCAGATAATGTTTAAAAGAAGTCAAGGGAGAAAAATCTCTCTCTTAAGGTGTTTGAGTTCAAATAACATATTTCAGCAATTTAAAAATAATGCAGTACAGAACCCGTTATCCGGAATTCAGAAAACCGGAAAACCAAAAAACCGGAACGAAATTCGATAAATTTCCCCGCAATTTAAAAAAAAAATTTTTTTTTTTCCTCATAAGATTTTAGGATTTTTCTTTCTTTTTTGAAAGATGTTTACCTTACCAACATTTCAAAATAAATCATTAGTGTATTACCTCATCGTTTTTTCTTATTTTTAAGATTATTTCCAAATATTTTTTTTAAGTTGGGTTTAACACTAAAAAAACGGCTTTTTGTAGCGATTCAGAAAACCGGAAAAATCAGTTATCCGGAAAAACGATAATCCCGATCGTTCCGGATAATCGGTTCTCTACTGTACATATATATATATATATATATGATAGTAGCCATGGTTGATTGTTCAGGAAGGCACACAAACACTTAGAAGGAAAGTGATATTTATTTAAGTCATTTTAAAGAGATGACAGAGCTTCACTTCTACTATTTAAATCATTTTCAAGCATTGGCGGAGTTCAAATCGCGCTCCGAAATCTGTGTGCTTTAGTTTTCATCCTAGGGAAGGTATCATAAGTTTCCCCCTCTATTTCATTAGATCTCAGAGAAAAAGAGAAACATTAATAATTATAACACAAAATGCAATGTATGAAACAAGTATATATAATGAAATATATAAATGTAATACAGTAGGGAACCGATTATCCGGAATGACCGGGAACATCACTATTCCGGATAACTGATTTTTTCAGTTTTCTGAATAGCAAAAAAAGGCCGTTTTGAGTAAAAAGTTTTCCGCCAAGGGGAGATACCTCCGTGCCAGCAGCAGCCATTCCCATGGTAGTTAACCTTTTCTAATACGGGCTTTTGCATTTTAAAGCTGAAAATTGGAACTACACAACTGTATAATTTGTTTGTCAAAACTTTATCATCTTGTGCACCAAAAAAGTGTTTAAAATGGAGCTATCACGTAAGCAGATCAGAACAATTATGTCCTATGAGTTCCGAAATAAACTCAGTGTAACTGAATGCCACAAGAAAATGTGTGAAAGTTTAGGTTTCAATTCTGTTTCTTATGATACAGTAAAAGTTTGGTTTCGGAAGTTTAATAGTAGGAATTTCAACATTGAAGATGAACCACGTTCTGGCCGCCCTATTGAGGTTGATTGTGACCAATTAAAGCAAATTATTGATCAAGACAGAAGTGTTTCAACATGAACCATTGCATTTGAGCTTGACGTTTGCCAAAAAACAATAGTAAATGCCCTCAAACGCATAAATCTAACATTTAAGTTTAACCGCTGGGTGCCTCACGAATTGACAGCTGAAGACAAGAGCAAAAGAAAAGCGGCCTGTTTGGTTCTGCTCAGAGATCAAAGAAATGAGAACATTCTGGACAGAATTGTGACCTGTGATGAAAAATGGGTATACTACAACAATACTAGCCATAAAGGAGGGTGGTCAGCACCCAGGGAATCAGCAGGTTCAGTTGAAAGACGAACGCTAACTAACAAGAAGGTCCTTCTCTGTATCTGGTGGGATTGTCGTGGAATTATCTACAAGGAGTACCTGGAAAGCGGGCAGGCTATCAACAGGACAATATACAGCAATATGTTAATCAAAGTTAGCGATGCCATTCACGAACAACGAAAAAACGAGTTCAGAAGGAAGGTGGTTCTCTTTCACCAAGATAAGGCCCGGCCACATGTCAGTGCAATGACCGGCTGGACCCTCTACATGCTGGAGTGCGATTTGATGCAACATCCACCATACAGCCCAGATATGGTGCCTTCGGATTACTATCTGTTTTCACATCTGCAGCTGCATCTTGATGGCACAATCTTCTGTTCAAATGACGAGGTCATAAATGAGGTTGATTGCTTTCTGGACTCGTGCACCCCCCAGTTATTCGCAGAAGGGATTGAAAAGTTGCCAAAACGTTGGCAGACTTTTGTTGATTTGAATGGAGATTACTATCCTCATTAGCTTTGCTGATTTTCTATGCATTTATCATTTTACAAGATTGTTTTTTTTTTTGTTTTTTTGGCGGAAAACTTTTTACTCAACCCGATATTTGGAAACAATCTTAAAAAGAAGAAAAAACGATGAAGTAGTACACTAATGATTATTTCCAAAATGATGGTAAGGTAAACATCTTTCAAAAAAGAAAGAAAAATCCTAAAATCTTATGAAGAAAAAAGTTTTTTTTAAAAAAAAAAATGGCGGGAAAATTTATCGAATTTCGTTCCGGTTTTCTGATTTCCGGATAACGGGTTCTGTACTGTATATATATATTTTTCTTAGTTTAAATTTCTTTTTTCATCCTTTTTGACTTTACTGTCATTTTTATATATATATATGAGTGTGTGTGTAACATAAAAAGATTCAGCTAATCTTTTTATGTTATTCCTTTCCTGTAAATCTTTTGGCTCATTTTATTATTCAAAACGGAAGGCTCTTTCTCACACTTTAAAAATCACATCCTGTTTTTAATCTATTTTTGGATTTAAGTTATGCATGAATTAGCATTTTCTAAGTTTCCCTTCATGATCCGTGAGAAAGAATAATTCCCCCCCCCCCGACCTATTTAATAGACCAATTATAATTATTAATGCTTCCCTTTTTCTCTGAGATCAAATAAAATAGAGGTGAAAACTTATGCTCCCTTCCCTAGGATAAAAATTAAAGTACACAGATTTTGGAGAGTGATTTGAGCTCGGCCAATGCTTGCAAATTTAAATAGCTGAAGTAAAGCTCTGTCATTCTTTAAAATGACTTAAATAAATATCACTTTCCTTCCAACTGCTTGCGTGCCTTGCTGAACATTCGACCGTGGCTGCTATCATATATATATATATATTACATGAATAAAAATAGTTGGTTTTATCAACAGTTAATAAAGGTTTTATTAATAGTTCAGTAAAATATTACTAGTACTTATTTTTAAAAACAAAATATCTCTTAAAATTGTTATAGTTGTGTTCACCATAAGCCAGAATAGGAAACAAACTCTGCCATTAGAGTGGAATATTAAATTTTGATACCCACAAAAAAACTTCCATAATCTAATCAACAGAAGTATTGGAACAAAAGAGATTTTGATAATTAAGGTTCTACAGTGAAGTCAAAGAGTAATAAGGGTTGAGGATAAAATCTGTTATTAGAAATTTGGTAAGGCAAGCAATTAATTAAAACATAGAGATTTCTGAAAATATTTATATACCTTGAGCAAAGGTTTATATAAAAGAGATGTCAAAATTGATTTTTCTTGGTGTGACTTCACAGTTGCAGATTTTTTTCTAGATAAGATCCAGTTAGCATCTCCTTGCAACCTTATGTCACTAACACATATGACTAGTAAGCTCCTGAAAACAAATTAAAACAATCTATTATCTTATCTAAAAGACAATCAATAAAGTGTTTGGTTTATTAAATTTGCTGCCAGTTATTGTATTTCATACAACAGTCACTTTCAGACAACATATTTTATATTCATTATGTTCTTCGTGATAGAGCTATCAGTCATAAAATAAAGGAGCTAATTTGTTTTGTGTTTACATCTGTTCTCCTGGAACCCTAGTGTTTAGTCCCCAAGCATGCTTGGTACTCATTTTATCAATCCCACTGAAGGGATGAAAATCTTGCTCGCGCTGAGGATCGAACCAAAAACATGTGGCACTTAAATACAATTGTTCAGTATAAATTTGTCCGAAATCCACTATACTGATATTTTTTTTAAGGTTGTAGAATTTCACAGATATTTTTTTCAATTTATCTGTACTTCCCGGATAAATTAAAATTATTCAAATTAATTTTGAGGTAATCAACAGAATCATAATAAGTCGGGTGTGAGATTATCAGTAGGCATTTTGTTTTGAATAGCGCCCAGGAATGTTTATGTCACCGTGTTATGTGTTAAGTATATTAGTTGTATCTGAAAAGATTTAATATAGTTATGAAGACAACTTTAAATTAAAATGCATTTATTATTGCTGCGAATCTGTTGTAACAATGATTAAAGATTGGTATAATTTTAGGGAATTTCGAAGGATAGAAATAGGATACACATTTAATAAGTGAGTACTTCAATGTGTTTATTATTGTATTTTTTTTATCATTGTATCTTTTTTTAATCATATGCATGTTTAGTGTTGTTAAGTGATAGTTTTGAATATATATATATTATCATATTTTTGGGAAACATTCAGCAGGGTGGTCACAAAACATGTTTAGCATTGCAAAATGATAGTTTTGTGTGTGTATATTACTATAATTTTAAAAAATTTGTAGCAGACTGGCAACAAAGCTATTGTCTGGAACATTCGATACAAATCTGCAATTTTTATTTATTTATGAAATGCATGCTTTGTGTTGTTAAAATATGACCATAATGTAAGTGAACTTCGAATTTAATAGGGTTTCAATATTCGAGTCTGTTTTCAGAATGCGATGAAAGTGGCACCAAAAAATTTGCCGAAAGTGGTTGGCGAAAAAAAAATTGACAGATTGGGTGCATGCTGATAACAAATCAGCTCCAAAACAAGTTTTACTGTGGTTCAAGAAAATAAGCATTTTATATGTGAACCATCCACGAGTAACTACGTACTACCTGTCTTACAACTCATATATACATTTTGCATGAAAACTTCCCTTCCTCACTCAGTTTAATCTGATGAATGAGAGAATGATATACCACAGGAGAAATCCATCATTTTCAACCTACATAAGTAATTTAAAGTTCACAGAAAAGTGAGTTCAGACAAACCTAGTGTAAACTATGAAATTTTAGATTCTGGAAAAATATTTTTAATCTATCAAAATGCAAACAAATTATGGCAGGATTATTTAGGATTGCACAGTTAGAAAATTATCAAGCTATTATTTGTTTACATTTTGAAATTTTTTTTAGCAACTGAAACTTCATGGTTTTCCTGAACTCACTTTTCTCTTAACTTTAAATTTTAGAATAGAAATGGAGGTAAAATAGAATGAAGCCATAAGGCATCAGTAAAGTGCTATCTTAAATCTGATTTCTATATCCAGATTCCTAAAACAGCAATTTTCAAATCCTAAATAAAAGCACAGAATTACTTAAGTGAAATACTGAACTTGTAAATTGTTAAGGGATTTACTATACAGGTTCAGTTTTATTCCATCATAAGCAAAAATGTAGTCGCAACTGAAGTGAAGGGTATCACTCATTTCAGTTGTTACTACACTACTTCACTTACACCAACACTATTTTCAAACAGACCTCAATGAATATATCATTGAAGATATCCTTCATGAAGATATTAATGAAGATATCAGTCATAAAGATATCATTCAAGGAGATAAAATTGGGTCAACCGAAAGTAACAACATCGAGTCTATACTCAGAGCTGTTGCTAGACTTTGCTGGAATTTGAGTAAAAAATTTTACAGAACCTTTTTTAATCTTCTTTCAGTTCACTCACTCTTAGATTATTGTCTAAACTATAAAAATAAATCATACTTTTTATTTATTAAATAATCTCTTTCTTTTTTCCTTCCTAAGAATAAGGAAATTGAAATTTTTTTTTCAAAATTTTTTATTTTCTAATTTATACTATTGCTTAAGTAGTATAAATGATGCATTAGGAACGGAACCCATGAAGTAAAAATGAGAAATTTTGAGTGTAATTAAATAATAATTTTATTGGAAATATTATTTTTTTTTTTGTTGGAAAGAAGAGTATTACATAGAACTTCAATGGTGGGCTGTATAAACCTTTCAGCAGAGTAAAAAATTTTTGTGAATTCTAAAATTACATTTTTTGTGAAACTCAAGCAACAATATATACGTCTAAAATCTTTGTGTGAACTAAATATACAACTTTTTATTTATTAAAATTGACAAAGGACAAATTAGACAGATAAAATAAGAAATACATACAATAATTCATTCAACTTATAGTTTACTCGTGAATTTATAAAGAAATATATATACAGAGAAACCTCCTGTTATGGACACTCTTTCAAAACGGACGTCTCTCAATACGGACATATTTTTAATTCCCCAGAAATCTTCAATGAATAAACCATTATGTACATTTTCGCAAAGAGGACACTCCCATAACCGAACGTGGACAGTCATTATTGCCCTGAAATGTCATTTTCAATCTCTTCAAACCGGGCACTACTTTTTCTAAATTTGAAAAAAAAAAAAAAAAAAAACTATTTCTGCTTTAAATTGCAAGAAAAAAAATAAAACTTTTCAATATTTTTAAAGAATGTAAATTTTTTGCCTCATCAATTACTGAAAATATTGTTAAGCTATTTCATTACTACAGAATCAATCGTTCTCCTGTCCCCTTGCCTTATCTTTGTAAAGAAAGGAGAGAAATTAATATTGCACTTGTGAAATAATTTGGACAACGGCACCTTTTGATCTTTTCATCTGGACAACACAGGTTACGAGATCCCACAAGTTGAAATGACGTCTTAATTTCTTCCTCACTGAAAATTTCTTTCATTTTCTTATTAATTGAAGACTGTATTTAACACTGCTGGGGTAAAAAAAAAGAGAACAGAAGTATAATCTTTGAGGTGTTCATATAAATGAAATATTTATTCAGACACTTGAAAGATGATTAATTGTGAATAATCAACTTCCATAGGTCCTTATGACTTACAGGTATGAATTGCTTTTTTTCTGTGAATCATGGGAGGTTTACTTTCAAGGAGGTATTAACCACTTTTCCTAAGTGATAGGTAAGTGATAGGGGATGTAAACCAAATAATTGAAACTGACTGAGGACAAAAATCTCCTATTCAGTATCGTATGTCTAACTGAAATATCTAAGCTAATCGAAGAATAATAATAATTCATCTCTAGCTACATCTAGAATTATGTATTTATATGATGCTTTTTAATATATTCTCTTTTATCGAAAAAATATTTTAAAAGTTTACATAAATATTCTTGTAAGTAGTTATTGTAGATTATTTATTTATTTCTATATCTCTGAAAATATTTTAAAAACAATTTATGGTGTTAAACTTCGTTATTAGTGTACTCTTCCCGCACACGGACAACTCTCATAAACAACAATTTTTTTGGACCCAAGAATGTCCGCTTAAAAGAGGTTTCATTGTATATATAAATTAAGAAATATATATAAATTTGATATAAACAATTAAGAAATATATAGAAATTTGAAGGTTTTGATCTTTTCATAAAATCAGTTACTTTTTAAAATAAAAAGTCCTCAAACAGAAAGTGACTTTAATAAGCTGTGGGCACCGTATTACGAAGTTTTTATGCAAGAGAGTAAATAATTTTACAAAAACAATGAAAAAAGATATATAATTACAATTTAAAAATATTTAATTATCTAAACCAATGACAAAATGAAGTAAATAAAATAAATAATAATAGAACATACTTGAGGGAAGAATTAAATAAACGGCTACTTAGACCAACACATTCAATTTCCTAAAATGAAAAGAGCCAGTTGAATATACTTAAATATATATAGATTTAAAAAAATTATTTATCTTATAAAATTTTTATTAGTTATAAGAATGACATTATACATATAGATTTTTAAACTGTCATGAAATTAATCTTTAATAGAAACTTATAATTAATATTTTAGGACAGATAAGAAAATAACTTTAAACGTGTTCTCCCTAAGTGTTTTAAGAAGGGCAGTCTGACCCGCCTGCCCTTTGATCCCTATAAATGCACCCTCTTTGTGAAAATAAGCCACTCATCCTTTAAAAATACTGCCTTTTTAATCACATTCCATTTTTAAAAAAATTAATTCACTGTTTAAATAATATTTATAGACAGGTAAAATTATCTGTGTTTATAGGTTTAATTCTGATTATTACTACAAACATTTACTTTGTAAGGATTATTTACAACTCATTACATTCTTTTAAGTATATGTTTTTTCGGGGGGAGGGTATTACTAAATTTTTAATGGTTTTAATTTTTAAAATCACTTTTTAAATAATTTGTTTCTTAATGCAGCTTTTAATGCTTATTTTTCATAGAATTTTCAGTTTAAATTATATAAAAATCTTTCAAGTTGTTCATCAATTAAGAATATTTCTTAGCTTATTTATTTATTTATTTTTTTGAAAAAATGTATTATCTATTAGCATGCTTTTCATTATTTTTATAAAAGCTTCAGGCACAAAAAAAAAAAAAAAAAGAATGAAAGGGTTTAGATTAAGATACATTAATATTTTTTTAAATACTACAACAGTGTTGGTAGTAAAACATGGTTTTTGAAAAATACATTGTTGAAAAGTAACAGAAAAAACCAATAAAAAATAATAAGTTTTAGAAAAACTTCAAGTAATTTATGATTGAAAACATTTACGCAACACTAATCTAAACATTTAAACTGCACCACTTTGTTCATTTCATTTGTGTCTCCGATTAATGAAAGTAGTTATGTAGTTTCCGGTATTTTGTATACATAGTACTCACCCAAAAATACAAATAAATTTCTTGGTATTTTCATACATTTCTTTACTCATTGTTGTAAAAAACTATTTTCCTTACAATTATTTCATGAAAATTTTTAAACAACACCTATTTTGATAAACTTTAAAAACTGTTATAGTCGAAGTCTGACAATCACTTGGGTTTAATAGGTAGGGGCTCATGATTTTTGAGAGGCTTCAATAAGTAAAAAAACATAAAAACTATTACTGTCCTTTTTTAAAAAATATGTTTCTTAATAAATCTATAAGATAAAATTTCAAAAAATACAATATTTGTTTAAATTTTTTATTTTTTTTAACTTTGCAGTATAATCAAGCTCACGTAAAAATTGAACCGATCAGATTTGAAGATACAGTTATAATTCTCAATCTCCCTGGTGTAATACATAAGTTCATAACAAAACATGTTTTTCATATTGAAACTGCACCCATCATTAGAAATTTTGGAATATTTAGTATGAAATTTATAATTTTTTGTAAAACAGAAAATTTAGAGTAAGACAATTTGCCCTTATTTGTCTTGATTAGTTTTTGATCTTAGTAAACTGGAAAAAAAAAGTCTTACTTTTATCATAAGCGGCCTTCAAAATTAAAGAAATGCAGAAATTAGGAAAGAATAAAAATTTCTTTTTGAAGAAAAAAAAATCAAAACAAACCAGTTTTAATCCATTTCTGAGCTGTATGTGTAAGTTTCGAAAACGGAGGAAACCATAACCACCAACTTTCAGTCTCATACCATATTTCTTGTGTAGAAACCATGACAATGCCTTGGTAGGTAAACTGGAAAATTGAACAGTAAAATTAATATTTAAAATGAAAATGCAGTTCTCCAAAAGTATCTCATTATAAAAATATTAATAGTGATAATATGAAATGAGATCACCCCATATAATTACCATATTTTGGGTGATTAAATTATTTGTCCTGCTATAAGTCAATGGTTTTACAACTATGTCATGCACAAAATAGAACACCTTTAAGACTTCAGTTATATGATGCTATCCTTAATGCAACAGGGATAATTTTTGTGCAAAAAATATTTAATTTACAAAATAAGACATAAAATCTCGGATTCTGCGAACATATTTCAATTGGCACAAAAAAGTTCCAAAAGAAAATATCTGTCATTATTGTGAAAAGTAAATTTGATTTTTACAAGCGTAATTTTTTAAAATAAAGTTGGTAAGAAAAATATGCTTCTTAGTAAAGGTTCAACATGCATGCAATGCTTCTGTAGAAATTAGATTCACATTTTAAACTGAAGTCGTTTAAGAATTTTTTTTTTTAAATAAGCATTTATCTGTTTTTCTATAATTACCTAACATGGCTGATAAGGGAAGTAATCTTCTTTCAAAGTAGGTATAAATGCTTAAAAAATGTTATACCAAACTAAATTTTTTGGTGTTTAGACACTGAGGAAGGTTCTTGTTTATTGATCTAAAACTATAGTATGTCCATTTCATCATTTTCATTAATGCTTTATTCATGTTGTTTTTATGCTTTAGTCTACCTCAAAATAGTCACCAAGTTTTGTCAAAAACCAGCAGTCGCACATGAGAAACTAAAAACATCACAAACGGGGATTAGCTCAAAAGGGAAAATTCATAACAACCTCAACCCAAGACAAAACTCTACATATTCTCTTAAATTCTCTAAAATATAAAAGTTCTCCGGCACCTTTGCAATTGTAGTTGGCATGAACATTATAGAAATGCCCTCTTTCATTTACACCAGTGAGGCATAATTTAATTATTATGTTACTACTTAAGTTTGGTAATTTAAGTACTATGTTACTAGATTTGTAATAGCTACCATAAGTACAATTGCTAAGGTGCCAAAATGTTTTTATACATAAAATTAAAAACATAAAGAGAGAGGATGGTTGTCTGGTGAAAGTTATGATTTATACCCAGGTGTTATATCCATATTGGTACCTACTCATGTAAACTACTAACACCAAGGCGTTAAAAATTTTTTTGTACTCACAAAATACTTGGCAATGATTTGCTTGCGGCTGGTTGCGAGTTATACCCTTTGAGTTGGTCCCTCATCTAGATGCATTTTTTTAGTTTTTCGCATGTCACTTCCTGGTTGTCTCCATAATATGTTTCAAACTTGCAATTTAAAAAAAACAAGAACATGTAGATGTTGGCCAGGGGGGAGGCTATGAGTTATACCTTTCGAGTTGATCTCTTATCGTGATATTGTTTTTAGTTTTTCATACGCCGCTGCCTGGAAGTAGCCAAGACTTGACAGTTATTCTGCCAAAGATCACGGTATGAAAAATCTCCTCATTTGTTGAATTTTTCTCTTTTTGTATTGCTACTGATACAGAAATCTTCTCTATAAAAGTTTGAAGATATTTAACAGCCCCCTGAAACTAAAATCTTCGAACTTACAAAATCTACAGCCCAAGTTGGTCTCTTTCTGAGATACATATTTTTTTATCTTTTGCGGGCCGTTTCCCGGAAGTTGACAAGATCTGGCGATTATTCTGACAAAGATTACCATACGAAAAATCTCTTCATTTGCTGATTTCTTTCTTCTTTTTTTTTGGCATTGCTACTGATACAGGAATCTTCTCTATAAAAATTTGAAGATTTTTTTACCGCCCCTTGATTAAAGAGAAATGTCTATATCATCCCTATTCTTCGCTATAAAATTTTTACAGTTGAATTTTACAAATAAGTTCTCAATAATTACAGCAATACAAATATTATATTCATAAAGGGAAAATTTGCTTACTGAAGGAAGAAGATGATCAAAATGAGAATGCAAACAATAAACAACCACATTTCCGGGTTAACTATTGCATATAAACATGGTGAAACAAATCAACAAAATTTTCTAGAGTTTTCTATAAATGGCAATTAGTCTACTTCAAACAAAGCATAACTATAAAAGTTGGACAAATTTTTTTAACATATAATAATAGTTTGTATACATATTTTCAAAATGTTAAATAATATTTTATTGTTTTCCGGCTTGAAAAGGCACTGTGTATAAATTAAACTAATTCAATAGACAAAAAATACTCATAATAAGATCAAACTTTTATCAACTTCGAAACTTCTGTTTTTGATTAATATTTTGTTTAGGTTTCTGCTACATATTACAGGTAACACATGACTTTAGTACAATTCGTACAAATTTCTCAAAAACTGTGGCAGTCTAATGTATTGTTTCGTTTTCTGCTATAAAACATTTTAACGGGAAATTTGATTAGTGAACAGGTAATTTAAATCTCAAATGCTTAAAGTGGATTGGTTTATTTTAAAAAAAGTCAATATGTGCAACTCTGATGCTTCGTTAAATTATTAAAGCAACCGAGAAATTCAACAAACTTCTTTTGTAACTTTAACGGATATGAAATAAAGTTTTGGATGCATTAACTTATTGAATTTTAGAGTATTTAAGAACATCCCTAATTTGTTGATTTCGTAAAGTGTCCTAAGGCAAACTGTAAAACAAAGCTAGAAGCTAATGGAACTCATTCTTGACTTCTAGACACCAATCATAAATGATAAACAATTAAATGCTCCGCCTACTTTTTATACCACGCCTTTTTTCTATCAGCAATTATTTACTACAACTTCCAAATCGAAATGTTAAGTTTCGGTATCACTTCTTTGGAATCATTATATCAAAAACCTTTTAAAATAATTTCATTCCTACAATTTTTCTGCTTATAGAGTCACTTATAATCAATATCTATTAATGGCAATAATAAGTAGTTTTTTTTTTCGAGCTATTAGTAATTCTTTTCTAAAAACGATTTCACAATTTGTTTATTTTCTCCTCCAATGACGTCAGAGCAGACGATTCTTCTCGAAAAATTCTGCTTATGTTTACTGATCATTAAAGAAAATAACGATAGATTTTTAATTAAGAATAGAACATAGCCTTCATTTTTTTTTAAAAAAAGTTCAAACTAAACGTTATAATGCTCGAGAATTGCGACCTTGAAATATAAATTAAAAAATATTTATCAAAATCTTGCTCCTGATGATAAATAATATTTGATAGAAATCAGCAATATAATGTAACCTTTATCAATAATTTTTAGGATTCACTTCCTTTTAGCACATTAATTTAAAAAGACAAATTTTTCTCATCCCTTTTTCATTTTTTCCTGTTATTTGCAGCCAATCCTTTAACGGAACGATTTTCTTTGCATTAAAGTTATATTAGTGTTAAGAAAATTGTTTAATTTTAGTTTATTAAGAATTTATTTCGCAGTTCAAAAAAAGAAATTCATATTGTAGGTGGAGTGAAAGAAAAACTGTCCTTTTACTGCCGTACCCCTTACCTCCATCACTCTTCCCCTCCGGTATCATACTCGCCATGTTTTGTTACGTTACAGGCGAGTATTGAGTTTCCTGATATATAATTTCTTATTATTCAATTAATATTTCAATATGGGTCAAAAATGACCCATGTATCGGATATAACTAATGGAGCGAGCCTTGAAGATTGTCATACTAATTTCTTTGCACTGGTACGTATATATTTTTTCGTCACTTTATAAAATTTGTTTACCTGTGATTCCAGTTACAATTTTTATCGTAATACATATGCGACTGTCAAGTTTTGTTTTTTTCTAATGTCAGAAATTTAAAGTTAAGACTGATGTGTATTTTTATGATAAAATATGAAATGTCACTTGTCTGTATGTTAAATTTACATGAAATTCTAAGCTGGTTTAAGCATTTATTCTGATCAAGTAATATTTGCGCGCTATAGTTAAATTTAGCCTAGACTCAGACTGTAAAAAAAGATGAATAAAATAACTTATCTATTGTTACTACGTCTTGAGGAATGAAAGTTTAAGTATATATTGAATTTTATCTTTTATAATCGTCTAAATTGTTGCATATAGGTACCTTTTATTGACTCAAACAAATTACCTATTTACAAATTACAAGTCTTGCATCAGCGATGATGATTAAATTTTTAAGTGTTTTAAAAAGGACGCTGGTTTTTTAAATTAGACTTTTCTTTTTTCAGTTAATCACAAAAATATATCTATTTAAAAGTTAGGTAGCTATAAACAAATGTCATGTGATTGCCTTTAAATTATGTATCTACTTTAGATTCATATTTAGAGAAATGACTTTCTGTTTGTCAAAATATTATTTATGTGGTTGCTTAATATTTTAAAGACTAGCTGTTAATTGTTAAAAATAGTTTGTAACAGATAGCATTTCCGTATTTTACGTAAATAGGCTATACTTCTTTTTTAATTAATTATTTTTAAATTACAATTGGTCAGTAGATTATTTTGTCTTTCCAGCGCTTTAATTTTGCTTTGTTTTTATCAATAAATTTAAAATTGCTTGTTGGACGAGAACCTGGCAAGCAATCTTGTGGACTAGAGCCTGACGATGACTTCTAATAACAAATTATTTCAAATTACTTTTATTGTGGTGCATATGACAAGGGTTCACACTAGTAATGAAAATTTAGTGCTCACATGAGACCATCTAAGTCCTATGTATTCATTTAGTGGTCAAAAAACTTAATATGGTAAACAAATTCCAGAAAAAAAAATTTTACAATTGTATATTTAATGTTATGGTATACATCAAAAATTAGTAATTGCCATCTATTACACCTTAAAGCTAATTAGGTCCATTACCCCATAATTATTAAAGATTAGTTATTGATTGAAATAAAATGAAAAAAAAGCTAAAATAATTTTAGTAAATAGATTCAACATATGGATTTAAACGCTTAGACCAAATAAATGAATAAAACAGAGAATGTAAGAACTAACTAAATATTACTATATTAAAAATTACTTATCTAAAAATTATGAATAAATTCAATTCTAAAGGAGTAAAAAACATGGTTTTAATAATGAACGATTATACTGTCAGTGCATGAATGCAAAGCACAGTATAACTTGTAAATTAGAAATATCAACATTTAAATTTAAAACTTATTGTACCAGACCAGGGGTCCGTCCAGACATTTTGCAAAATTGTGAAAAAATTACTCGTAATTTGTGAATATAAAATAAACATTAAGTCATATTCTTTCAACCAGGGTCCTGCTTTTGTGAATTTGTGCAAATAGGGTCCTGTTATTGCAAAGAACTTTTTCAAGGAGTTTTTAAATTGTAAAGACATACAAGATTATGCTCAACACTGTAAAATTATGATTAAAAAAATTAAATTTTAAAAAATAAGCAGCAATTGCTGCTACTAAATTAGAGATGCAACATACAAATATTTGGTATTTAGCCTATACTGCTGAATGCAGAATATTCATTTCGGACGAATAAAGGAAGAAGCGTCTGTCAAAGATGAAACTTAGTTCATTTACATTTGTTCCCCCCCCCCCATCCTTCTTGGGAAGGGTTTACTTGATTAATAAAACAATAATGAGATAAACAAATTTGTGAAGGGTCCGATTGAATGATAAATTATTTTGTGAATGGTCCGTTTTTAAGTTAAATATTTTGTGGCGGGTCCGTTCTTATGAAAAGATATTTTGTGAAGGGTCCATTAACAGACCCAAATTTCTTCTAAACAGACCTCTGCTGACACTTTCAATTATTCCATTTGAAAAATTTTGAAACTAAAATCTAACCTACACGTAGAACAATAAAACTAGTACAACAATTAATTTTAAATGCATGGCATTCTATACAGAAAACTATTTTCATTACTATTGTGTAATTTCAAAGCATATTTCAGGCAGGGTTGGCAAGATTTTGCCACAGGTGGAAAAAACCATGGTAAATACCGGTAAAAACCGTCCTGGCAAAAACAGGTTTTTGCCAAGCAAAGTGGCAAAAACCTATATTTTCCAAGATGAGAGGACAAAAACACATTTTTGATACAAAATTATTCCTAAAATTGAAATATATACTATGAATATAAATAATTACAAAAAAATTAACAAAACTATTATTCCATAATTAAATGATAATGTATCATTTTAGTAGTTTAAAACATTATTGATTGGAAAATTTGTGATTATTCTCTTTTTTCCAGTGAAATGAACTTATTTTTAAATTAATACAAATATAATTTAAAGCATAAAATATCTATCAACATGTGTAGTTAATTATTGTACAAATAATAATTTTTTATAATAAATAATAGTAGGTATTATACAAATAATAATATTTATTTGTAAAAAAACATTTATTTTAGGATTCTAAAATGAAAAGAGATCAAAAACTTTCAATCTTTTAAAAATTATTACCCTTAGGTATATTAATTATTAATATGTTAAAAATAATTTTTTCATGTAATGTATCAAAATTATTATTCCTTATGACTGTTTTAAATTTGTTTCAAGTATTTTGTAATAATATTTAATCAGCAATTTCGATAATTTGGTTTTTGCCGGTTTTTACCAGTTTTTGCCGGTTTTTACCAGGTTTTTGCCACTGTCCTGGCAAAAACCCCTTTTTGCCGGCAAAAACTCCAACCCTGATTTCAGGACAGTAATTTTGTCACCAAAGCGTCTGATTTTCGCAACATTTGTAGAACATTAGGCGACAATTGTCGCCATACTGGCGTCAACCTCACATATAGCGATTATTTCACAATATTTTTTTTGTCTTTTATTGTAGTTTATATATCATGTTATGATCGAATTGTAAGCAAACCTTTTTAATTATTGTGCATAAAGATATTCCAATTCATTACTTTAAATGTTACTAAAATAGGAAATATACTGTATTCATGGCGATGAGATTAATTAATTGCCATATACTGATTAAAATTATCTTAACTTATTTCATAAATGTATTTTAATAAATAAATTTTTAGTCGTTAGAGCAATGCTAAAATTTTCTATTCTAATCAGTATCTCCTCCAGGTTTATGTCCTTAATTTTTATTCAATATAAATGAATAATCATAATAATAAGATAAAAATACACAATTATTCAAAGAACAATTAACGTGTTCAAAACTAAAGGAAAACAGCATATGTAGCTCTCTTGTGGAACATGCCTCATTCACAGCAAAACCAGGTAATCTTTGACATATTTTTAAGCTTTTCCACTTGTCAAGAAAATACTCTCCATTCTTATGATGTTATACTAAGATATTATAAAAGTATTAAAAATGAAAGTTTGAATATTACTTCAGATTTTTACCTTTGTAGAAGTGCAAAATAAAATAAACTTTTCAATTTTACTTTTATTATTGAATAAAAGTTCTCAGTTAATATTGAATTTTAGTAAATATAATATAGTAAAACTTAAATTGATCATTTCTCAAGGAACCATTATAGAGCGAAATCCCCCCAAAAGACCACCTCTATTACCGACCACTTTTGGTGGCCACTGAATTATTTCCATAGACTTTCTGGTGAAGAAAACCTTTAGGTGAGACCATTAAAACCTCTCCCAGTGACCGGGCAAACATCTGCACCAAATGCGGTAAAGGTCAAATAAGGAAACATGAAAAATATTAATGAAACAAATAAGAGGATTAAAATGTATTCAAAATATTTGTGTGAGTCTCTTATTTAGAGAGCTCTTTTTGAGGATACAACCTCATGTTGCTGTCAGAGTGCACTATAGATGATGCTATCAATGATTTACTTTTAGAGTTGAAAGTTAAATTAGAAGCAAAAAGCTATTTTAGAAAAAACATGCATCTCAAGCAAACAAACCTCTTTCCATCTTTTAAAACTAACTAATTTTTATGAAATAACTTGAAAACATTATTGTTTAGGTACTTATTTAAAATAGGCATGTCAGTGTGTGTCAATAGAGTGTCAATATAAAATATCAAATAATGACTTAAAAATGTAAGGAAAATAATGAAGTTATGAACTTGAAAATGAATAATTCATTATTTACAATTGGTATAAAAAGGTTTAATTGAAAAAAAAAAAACCCCCATATACTTAAAGCTGTTGAGAATATTTGCAACCAGAAGCGCTTGAGGAGCTCCCCTATGTCATTTGTATTAGTGAAACACATTATGTCTTGAATGTTTGTGTTAATATGTTTATGTTTGTGTTACATCCGAATAGATTTTGTGAAAGTAACAATTCGTTTCGTATATTTGAAAATGGTTAGGTTTGTAACAAAACTATAAATATTTACGATGCAAAAGAAAAATGAATAAACACAATTAATTTGAAATTTGGAAATTTTGGTTTGAACCAGGGTTGGCAAGGTTTAGGACAGAATGGATTAATCCACGGTTTAAACCATCCTGTCCAAAACTGTCCAAAAACCCTTTTACTCAAATTATGTTACAATTTTATCTGAACAATATTTAAGAGGTAAAATAAATCTAGAACTAATTACATATTGATAATTAAATATACTAGAGAATATTTGTTTTTAAAAGTAATAATGTTTTATTAATATTGTTTGACTCTTCAATTTAAACAAAGGAAGATTAATCAGTAATCAAGTTCAATTGGTCCTCTCATTCAATAGTACATAACTGAAGTTTGGCCTTGCCATACAGGTTAAAATATTAGGAACTAAGTGCTTGGTTCGTCATAAACAGGTTTATTTATCTATAGTACTATTCAAGAATACTTTTATTTCATTCATGTTCAATTCTTTTAGCATAGTGGTAATACATCACCAGTGTCAGTAACTGAAACTGATGTTATGCCCTTCAAAACTGTTAATACATTTTTCAGTTATTTTGTATTTTCAATTTAAACTAATATATTTATATTTAAAAACAATTTTTTTTTAATTAGATGTCTTTTTTATCATCCTGTAATGCAGAAATTATAACACTTTTTTTAAAAAATATTGTGAAAAATAAAAGGTTAATTTTTGAACAAATTTAGTATTTTTTTTTTTTAAGAAAAATTATTATGTTTTAATATTGCCATATTTATCCTTATGCAAAAATATTATTTATCAGTATTAAAAGCATATTTATATTTAAAGGATTAGGTATCACTTTTGTTGTTCAATGAATTGTGGAACTTCAAAAATTATAAACCTTTTTTTATTATATTATTTTCTTTTAATGAGTTATAGTAAATTGTATAAAAAATATCAAATATTTATTGATACATGTAATTATTATGTGTACAATGGTTACACCTATAGAATTTTTACCTTTTACCAAAGTTTAAGGTTTTGGACACTTTAAGACAGTTTAGGACAGTTTTACCCAGTTTAGGACAGTTTTACCCAGTTTAAGACAGTAAAACCCACGTGTCCTGTCCAAAACCAGTTTAGGATGTCCAAAACCCCAACCCTGGTTTGAACATTCTCATTTCTACTCAACTTACACAATAAATTTTTGATAAATGTAATACATTTTTGTTCATTTTTCTATAAGGGAAATTCTATTCACTTTGTACTTCTCCAGCTTTTGCAATCATTTCTTAAAGTGACACCCCCGTGGCAGAATCAATGGCGACATTGTCGCAGAGTGACACAGAGCTCTTGCAGAAAGATTTTTCTTTTGAAAAATAAAAAAAAACTTACTTTTCTTTTCTACAGAAATTTTCACATAATATTTGAATCATGCATTTAGATAATTACTTTTTGGCGCTCTTAATTTACGCCGATAGTATCATAAATCGATGTATTGTTTCGATTGTATTTTCGGCAGTTATTGATTTTAAATATCCTCATGCATTTTAAGCAGTAATTCTATTGAATTGTTGGCATTTATTGCTATTGATTTCTCCTAGTTTTTAAATCCAATATTTTTTATAAGATAATTACCTATTCATTACAACAGCCTAATCTCCAAACGAAACACGCATTTGATAAATCCGTTTCGCGCAATTTTGTCGTCAATTTTTTTTTGGTAATTACTACTACGAATTTCATTATTTTTTGATTGTGATGATTATGTACAAAATGCAAAGTAGGAAATACTTAATGCTTCCCTGCCCCCAACAAAATGTGAGAATATCACCCATAATATTAGAATAAAAAAATTATTACAAGTTCAATAATAAAAAAAATAATTTTTTTTTTCTTATGTAAACACAGCATTTTTGATATTTTAAATTAGTAACATTTATCTTCGTTATTATTAAAAGTATTTTGCGGACGATAATAGTGCTGGAGAGTTTTGTTGCAGATAGCTTGAAAAAATTCTGCTGCAGGGGTGACACTGATTTCAGCATTTCCATAAACTGATGCCATTTTATCAAAACTGTTTAAGTCAAACTTTAATTAATCCTTATTTTCTTCTTCATCACGAACATCCAGGAGATGCCACTTTTCATCTTGAAACGAAATAACTTTAACATTTTTTAAATATCAGTAGAATTTCTGAACAATAGATGTGGAAATCTGCTGGTATTTTTGCCGTTAAACTTCTTATTTGGGCTAGAGGGATGAGAAGTTGAAAAGTTTTAAAAGAGAAATAATTGTAGCCTGTGCCTCACTTTTCCCAGGAGATTCTTAAAAACAATGCATTATTATCAGACTGGTTTTTTGCAATGAGTGGTGTTCGCATCTATAGCATGAACATTTTAATGGAAATATTGATAATTTTGACAAGTAATCAGTCGGATCTTTCCTTGTGTTACACTTTCTCTAGTTTAAATTAAATTAGGGGGCTTTGATATGTATATATTTTTAGTAAAGTAACATACTTCCTTATCAATTTATTATGTAATTTCTTAAATGCTCAAAATGCTTAGGAAACTGATCTATGGTATCATTACATTTTGTATAAAAGGTAAAAATTTCCTAATATCCTTGTTGGCTTGTGTCTTCTTATCATGATTTAATTTCCTATGTGATTGAGTGCTATGACACACAATCATTTTGTTAAATGAAATATTATAGATTTTAGCTAAGTCATCTTGCTGCCTTTCATTATGCACAAGTTTCTGAATCAACCAAACACATTTTCTGAGATCCATGCCACTTCATAGATTACGATTGCACGTAATTCGTGTTGATCATTAAAATGTTATTTAATTTGAATTCAGAAATTTTTTTATTTCTGAGGACTATATATAATTATGTGTAATACTTAAAGATATTCTATATAATGTTTGCAAGATATTAATTGTTTATTGAACGTTTTAAATCTAGAGATCCATATTAAAATTAGTAGCAATGCTATATAAAGGTCTCTGTTTTGCTTAGTTTCTATTTCAGAATTGTTTCTTGCTTAAAATACAGGTTTTTATGGAGTCAAGTTTAAATTAAATGTATGTTTTCATTTTTTTTAACACATATGCATTTAGCTGAACAAATACAAGATCAAAACATGTTGAATTTTATTAGTTAACTAAATTGTCATTTTATAATCATATTTAAACATTAAATCTACAATTTTTTATTAAAATGAGCTACACAACAATAAGTTTGTTCATCAAAATAAAATACATGTATCTTCAGTAAAAAATTATTTGTAGTATTTATTTTAAATTTGACCAAATAGAGTGCCTATCAATTAACCACTCTTTATAAATGTCTTAAGAATCTTTATAAAGTTAAGTTGTTAAAAGTCAATTTCAAAGATTAAAGCACATGGACAGTTTAAAAAATAGATTAAAATATTATCATTTATTAATCGTCTCTATCCTGCTATCTGCTTTTTGAAATTTATTACTAGTGGTTGATTATGTTTTTAAATTTGTTGATCTGGGAAACACAACTTTATGCATGTTTATTTTTATCATTTAAAAAACGTTCTATTGTTTTTTTATCTCAAAAGATGTTAAATTTGCGAGGAAGGTGAGTTTTTATACACAGTTTCTGTTGACCGAGATTTCTGATATCGAGGTTTAATTAGCTCAGATAATCAAGGTTCTACTGTATTGTTTGTTTGCAAAAGTGTATTCTGCATGTAATAAGATCATTGTATTCATGTTCTATAGGCTGATCTTAATGGTATCAGATGGAGACGATTGTCCTGTAATGCTCTCTCTGTAGACCCATTAGAAGATCCAATTTTAACATCTTACAGTCAGTGCCTAACTGCTGGAATTCTGTCTGTGTGGAGAAGAATACAGGTACAAAAATCTGGAGGAATTTCCCTTTCTCATGATACAAGCACCTTGTCATATCAGAAGGAACTCTGGATATTCTGGTACGGTTCAGAACCAGACTTTTCCAAAGTTGTTGAGCCCTCTCTCAGTGGTAGGTTTTATTTATGTACTTTCTATGTTAATACAGTAGCAGAACTTCTCCAACATGGCAGTGGGTACTTTGTTACAGTATCTGCAGATTATATTTTTATTTTTTAAGTTTTGTTTTTATTTTTTAGAAAAAGATGGAGAAAATTGCGAAGACTCTATTAAAAAAAAAATGTTAATTTTGTTTCGGTCCTGTGGATTATCCTGTCGACCTGTCAATACTCACGGAAGTGCGCAAATCCTTTGGCGCCATCTTAATTTAAAGCAATTTATGAAAAAACAACATTCTAAACACATTAAATTTATCAAATAATAATAATAAAATAATAAAAAACTGTAAGGGCAAAAATACATAATAAGAAAGTGCAATAAAAAAAAGTGTGAGCCTCTTTTTTTTTCATGGTGACACATTGAATTATTCTTGAATCTAACCATCTATATTATTATAAATCATTTTGGCCGCAAAAACTTGATATATTTTAATGTGCAAACAAGCAAGTCATTATCCTTGTGCAGTCGCTGCCACATAAATTGGTTTAAATACAAATCCAAGTGTTTTCAACATGTTCCGTGGTGTTCTCTTCTGTTAAATAATAGTAATCTCTTCGGTGCTAGGCAAATCCGAAATTCAAATAATTTTGCAGTGTAGTAAAAAAAAAGTCTATTTCAACGCGCTTTTTGGCAAAAATAGTCGACAGGATAATCCCAAAGTAATTGATTACTGTCTTAACTCTATAAGGATTTATTCTAGTCTTTTTTTTTTTTTTTTTTAAATAATTGAATAAAATTCTTAAATTTAAACAGCATAAATTATGTGTAAGGACCTCATATTTGCAAAGTTTGCTACATGTTTCTAAGATTTAGTTGAATTTTTACAACAATAATCATTGAGGTTGTAGATCAATTTGAATTCATAAAAATAGTGTTGCAGAATCACTCCATAAATTTTGCTATCACAGTTTTCGGCATTCTCCTGTAAAATAATATGTGAATGCATATGTTATTTTGCAGAAAATGTCTTAAAGCAATTAGGGGTGGTTGTATTTCCGGGGTATCCCGGAATTCTGGGTTTTTCACATTATCTTTCCGTGTGAAAAAATTAAGAGTAGGACATGTGATTTTTCTGGGAATATCGCAGAATTCTGCCTTTCTCAAAGCCATTGGTTCTCGGACTTCAGCTAATCGAAACCTTTTAATCTGACGACATTTTCACGGCATTCCTCAATCTAAAATCCAAATTTTGAAACTTTCCCTAATTCGCGCTATTGAGATACTTACATGCACGTTATTCTTCTGCCAATCCGCCAATTGATTCTTTTGATTTGTCTGATTTCTGTCATTTTGAATATTTAAAACTGCCCTGGAATAGACTAATATTGTAATTCGTATTCATATGGTTTGAATATCAAACATCGATTTTCATATTTACCTAATTTAAAATTTACTCGTTGCGATTCGTATTCACATGGTTTAAAAATCGTACATTGCAATTCGTAAAATCGTACATCGTGATTCGTATTCAGGTGGTTTAGAAATCGTACATCGCGATTCGTATTCATGCAATTTTAAAATCCAATTTCCCATTCATATTCACTCGATTTTAAAAATCCAACGTCGTAATTCCTGTAAGAACTAAGATTAGTTACTATAAAGGTGTGATGTTTCATCATAGGTGGGTAATTTAATTATAAATCTTATTGAAAAGAAATTATGTCAAATATGAAACATGTATGGTATATAAATTGATATTGATTTTTTGCTCATGAAATTTTCAGGGTTTTTCATTTTGTGTCACAAGCACCCCTGAATTAGTTATTTTTATTTCTAAAAATTTTATTCTAAAAAAAATCCTTTGACTTTCATTTATATAATAACTTAAAAAATCTATGCAATCTATGTTCAATAATTGAATAAATTAAAAGCTGAAAGAATTTAGAAGTTTGCCAAAGAAAAATATGAAGCACATTATTTGCACCAGATTTCAGAGTGATGCCAGATTTCGTAATTATTAAATTTATTTGAAATCTGTCGCAGTTTAGTTTCTGAAAAATTAAATACTATCATGGATTTCAGTTGAATTCTTTGTTCGATATTTATTTTTCTAAAGTGTCTTTTAATTTTTCAGAGGCTGAACGCGGCTCATGGGAAATTGGTTTGTCATATGAGTGTCGCACTCTCCTGTTCAAAGCATTGCACAATTTAATTGAAAGGTAATGAACAGTTTTTAACAATCATGCTTTTTTTTTTTTAATCTGTTTCGCACTCTTCATATATTTGTATACATCTTCATTTAATTTAATACTTTAAATATTAACTATTAAGTGGTTCACATGCATTGTGATTTTTTGACCTTAGGTTTTGACTATTGTCCTAACTGTTTTAAAACAATCTCTTTCAAAAAATAGTTTTTGACGTGTCTCTGACTCTGTCTGAGAATGATCCTATTTAGTATCTCATTACTGCAGGAGATTATAACTCGTAATATCTAATTTTTATATTTATGTCCATCCCTATGGCAGAATCGCGGCGACATTGTCGCAGAATGTTAGAGTTCTCACAGAAAGATTTTCTTTTGGGAGAAGAAAGAATTTGGAGTTTTATTTCTGGAGAAATTTGCGCATAAAATTTTAATTGCACATTTAAACAATCACTTATTGAGGCATTCAATTTACGCCGATAGTATCGTAAATCCATAGAGTTGTTCGATTGTATTTTCAGTAGTTATTGATTTTCACGTGGTTTTAACTATCCCGATATATTTCAGACTATCTGGGAAATTCGAATCGTGCATTCGAGTATTTACTTTTTAACGCTTCTATAATTTTTTCAGCAATTATTGCTTTTGTCTTCCATATAGCTTTTAAAATCCGATATTATTTGTTACAACAATCAAATCTTGAAACGAAACAAGAACTTAAGTAACCCCTTTCGAAGAGTCCTATTTTGAGTGACTTCGTCGTCAATTTGTTTTTCGGTAATTACAGTAGATCTTCATGATTTTTAATTATTTTTTTTAATGTGATGATTTTCAAAATGCGATATTGGAAAGAATTAGTGCAGTTTTCTTCCCAACAAAGTGCGATAATATCGCCCAGAATATTAGAATAAAAAAAATATTACATATTGAATAAAAATAATTATATGTTTTTTTCTTTTTGTAAACACAGCGTTTTTTGTTAATTTAAATCGGTAACCTTTGTTATTATTGAAACTATTTTGCGGAAGGATATGGGTGCTAGAGAGTTTTGTCGCAGAAGGCCTGAAAAAATTCTGCCTAAGGGATATCTATTTAATGCTATGAGTCTGAAAATCTATCATAAAGGGAATCATATATCTGAAAAGTAGCTTTTTAGGCAAAAATTATAATATTTTATTGTTGCAATTGCAACCTTGCATTTGTCAGATTGACCTAAAATATTGTTTTTTTTTGTTGACTGAAACAAGATAAGGGATGAAGCTAAATTTTTTAAAAGTTGAAAAATACACGGCACCATAATCACAAGTATTTTCTTCTTATCTGTAGTATTTTTAATAGTTACTTTTATTTCAGGAGCCTTCTATCACGAGGTTATACCCGCCTTGGAAAATTCTTCGTAGAACCTCAAACTATTCCAACCACCGAAAACAATAAGTAATGTCATTTTTCTTTATTCTCACTACAGCATGATTGTATTCCGGGTGCACCCCGAAATTCAGGGTTTTTTGTATAATTCTTTCTGGTCTAAGAATCAGAAGCAGAGCCTGTGATTTTTCCTCAAATATCGCCTAATTCCGCGTATTTCAAGACCATTAGTTTGCGGGCTTTCGCGAATCGAAAACTTATCTGACGAACTTTTAAAACTTTTGCTAAATCTCCTTAATGACTATTATATACTCTTGAGTCTGCTTCCAATTTGATTATTTTTGTTTCACGGATTTTTGCCATTTTGAATCTTCAGAATTGTGCCAGAATCTGCTAATATCGCAATTCTTATTCGCACGATTTTAATGTCAGACATCAATTTCATATTTACTCAAGTTAAAGAGTTACGCTTTGTGATTCATATTCACGTTATTTAAAAGTCGTACCTTGTGATTCCTATTCGTGTGCATTAGAAATCCAATATTGTGGTATTATTCATGCAGTTGTAATATCAAAAATCTATTTTTGTATTTATAGGTGACTTAAAATCTACGCATTGCAATTAGTATTTGTGTGATCTAAATCTTATGCATTGTGATATGTATTAACGCAATTTAAAATTCATTATTGCCATTCACATTCACACAATTTTAAAATCCAATATTTTAATTCATATTCATGCGATTTTAAAATCCAATACCGCAGATTCTTGCAAGAAGTAAGTTTTTTCTTGAATTTGTTATTATAAAGATTCAATATTTTTCATCTGTTGGTAATAATTGTAAATGCATGTTAAAAAAATTATTATAATTTAAAATATGTTTGGTATATTGATATCATATAAAATTTTCATGGATTTTTCACTTTGTGTTGCAATCATCGCTACTATAGTTTCTCAGTTGAAATTTCATTAAGCTTAATTTATTTTCATTCCAATAGAAAACAAATTGCCTTTGCCCTACATTTCTTCATCCATGGTGACAGTACTGTTTGTGCCAGTGTAGATGCAAGATTCACTTCTTCTATATATCTGCTAGACAAGTGTCACGTGACAGCAGCACAAGCAGGCCAAAAAAATGTGCAAGGTAATGTTTTCAAAACAGTGCATTGATTTTAGAAATTGTCAAACAGTTACAAACCATATAATAATTTGAAGGAAATTTAAAATTTATTAAAAAAAATAGCTATGGATTAAGTATGCTTAGGTCTGTTATTTTGTTACAGCTATTATTTTTGTTTTCCACAATAACCTTTATGGTTATCATGAAAAACAATACAATAGATTTTAAACTGCATCTCAAAAAATTTACTGTGTTGGCATTTCTCAAAGTGTTAATTCTTGACTAAGACATTTAGGAACAATTCATCTCATAATTAACACAAAATTTTCATAATTATTATATTAATACAGTAGAGAACCAATTAACCGGGATGATCGGGACCATCGCTATCCCGGATGTCTGAATTTCCCGGTTCCAAACGCAGTGGAATCAGAAAAACCGAATCAAAATTAAAAAAAGAAAACTGTTATCTGCTTCATAAAATAATAGTCTGCTTTTATTAACAAATAATTATATGCTTAAATTAATAAACAATCTTCTCCTTTTATTTTATTTTTTATAAAAAGACTTTTTAACGAAAGCAGATGTGATTCCACATCAAGAAAAACTTGCCAATGATACCTCATTTCTGAAAAATCAGAATTTATTCAGAAAAAAACTATATATATATATATATATATAGCCGNTTCTAAAAAATCAGAATTTATTCAAAAAAAAAATATTGTTTTGTTAATCGATGTCAAATAGATGAATATAACTGGTGATTAAAAAACGTTTTGCTCCTAATAATAATGCATTATCCGAAATAATAAAACAATTCATCATGATAAATCAAGGATAACAAAAACTGAGTAACTAAAGTGTATTTAAAATAAATCTCACTCTCACATCTCAAAACTCTTAGCTAGAAGTTTCAAATTACTTAACTTGGACATTCATTGATATACGTGTGCAATGCATTTTCCCCACCCCCTCGTAAATCAAAGAGAAAACAAAATTAGCATGCCACTCCTTTAAGTTTGATTGACGACAGCTTATCAGAAAAACAACTGTCACACAGGAGAAAATAAAACATTTGTCCCTTCCCTGCCCCCTCTCAATCTAATGATCTTCAAGGTCAGGAGAAGAATTAAAGTTTTTCTGGGCAAACCAGAAGAATCCCCCCCTTTCCCTCTACTCAACTTCAACGATAAGTCAAATTTCTGCTTCTCTTATAATCATTATACTTCAAAATAGCGGGAAAACCATGCAAAATTCTCCCCGGTTTTCTGGATGCCGGATAAATGGTTCTCTACTGTTGTATGCATTTAAATATACAAGTTACTGTCAATAAAAAAACTTAAAATTTAATTTTTATATTTCATTTAAATTGTTTATAGTTTAGAAATAGGTCGAAATTGGCTTTGGTGACACTTTTTAAATGACACATAGTTTCATTTTTGTACATCTTGTACATGCAATCGATAATGTATCCAAAAAGATCAGTAATAGTTTATTTATCTCTTTACTTGACTCAAAGTTTTATGAAGGTGCTTAGTGTTTTTAAAAAGTATTTAGGGACCTATTTTTTATTTTTTGTTATATAAAAGCCTTTAAAGGTTCTTTTTTCATGGAGTGTGTGTAAAAGGTGCTAATTTTGTCTTTTCCAAAATGACATTTTCTTTCTTTGCATGTTGATTGTCTCTATGAATAGTGCAGAAAGCTTGGTTTTCATAATCTGTGCAAAGTTTTTACAATTCATTCTACATCCGTTTCAGCATGCTTTACTGTCTGACCGTAGCGTACTAAAGTCATAATAATTTTACGCTTCACATGAATTACTCGCAGGTCCGCATGCATGTACACTGAGTGAACCAGATTCTATGGAAATAATTATTGTATTTTTTCCAGAGTTGCACAGGTGTTGCGCAACTCTGCTGGATTTCCGATTTCAGTATTCATCTCCCGCCCTCTAAAATGGAAGTAAAAATCTTATAAATTTTTCTGATCTTTAGGACCAACTAAACGTTACCAAAATTTTTCAACATTAGCAAAAGAAAATGTTTTCCCTGTTTATTTCTACCCTGATGAAGCACCAATCACTGGCAAGCTGATGACATTCTTGCACTGTTCTATTTCTAGATCAGCACCACAATCCTTAAACTTGACTTGGAGATTATTTACTAATTAAACATTTCCATGTGCATTCAGAGCAGTCTGCAATTACAGAACTTTCATCTCAAACATTTTGTCTCCCTTTTATTCATTTGATTTAATAAAATTAGAATTTCACAATTTTGCCGTCACCTAATTATATACATCATTTTGAACTTTTTATATTGTATTGTTTTTTATATTGTAGTGTTATTTCACAAAAGTTCTTAATAAAATTTTCAGTGCTCTTAAGTTATTTTTGGAAAGAAAAAAAAACAATAATTTTTTGTGGAAAAATTTATTTGGAAGCCATTTTTTAATTTACATTTTGTTAAGGTTTTCGTAGTTTAATTCTTTGTCAATTCAGTATGATCAATTTATCTTAGTAATGTTTTTGATAGGTATACATTAATAAATAATTTTTATTTAAATCTAAAAAATACATCTGATAATTTTTTTGAAGTAAAATTAAACTAGTACTTTTGAAATATAGTTTATATATACAGTGGTGGCCAAAAGTGTGGACATTTTTTGAAAGTCATGTTTTTCAACTTTGTGTGCTTGTAGAATATATTAATTTTCACTTAAATACAAACGTTTATATATCAAATTGAAGGTAATTTAATAACAAAAACAGAATTAAAATACCCATACTACAAAAAAAGTTATGCTTATTTTAGTAGAACAAGCAAACACAAATCGTTTTGAATAAGGACGTGTTTTGTAATAAAAGCGTACTAGCCAATCACAAACACTGTTCTTAGGACCAATAAAATGTCTGTAACTATAGTTTAGGTTATTTGGATGGTAAAAGAGTTATTGTTGTGGAAATATTTTGCGCAAAAATTGTGAAATTTCCCTCACTGCTATTTAATTAAAAATAAATAAATGAACAGAAATGTATTTTTTATTATTCATTTTTTACTTGGTTTCAGGCTGTATTTTTTAAAAAGTATTATTGTTTAAATTTCCAATTAAATTTATGTAAGTGATTTGTAACATTAACTTTGATTTTTGTTCATAATTTTATTTTGTTTTATATATGTTGCATTAAGCCTAATTGTTACAGTAATAGCCTTTTAAGGACTATGCTGGGATTCGAAGACATATTTAAATTTATGAAGATGGTGTTGCAGATTGACTCAGTAAATTCTGCTACCAGTCCCCTCCCTTTAGCTTTCAAAAATTTTTCACAAATTCTAAGCCTATAATCGTAAATATACAGTAATCACTGAATGATTTTGGAACATTAAAAAAAACTATCGATTCTTTTTAATTTTTAGATGCAACTATGGACCACACATAATTGTGTAGTTAACTGTGAATAACTGTTGTATGAAATATTTATGAACTGATTCTAATCTAAACATCTTTTGAAGAATTGAGCTTTGGGATTATTTTTGATGGATGGGAAATTAATTTGTTTATTATTATCTTTATTATGGAAAATCATTGGTAAAGCAAGCCTTTTGTGTGTTGTTCATAGCTGCAATTTTAGTTGAAACACTATTAAATAAATGTGTGCGTATATATTACTGTATATAGCATTGTGATGTTAACAAGTTCTATATCTAATATTTTTCAGTGATTCTGAGTCCATATGGTCTAGAAGGGAAACTGACTGGCGTCGGTTACAAATACAGTGATCCAAACATGGCTCGATTTATGAATAATTGGCACATGTTTTATCCTCATCCTCATAGAAAAAATAGAAAACCCATTGACACTGAAGTGCCTAACATTGTTGAAGTGTTAATTGGTCAGTTGGATTTCCTTATCTTAGTTTTTTCTCATCAATTTTTAAAAAAATATTTATAGAACAACATTAATTAAATGTAACATTAAAACTATTGCCATCAATTTTTCAGTTAGTGAGAAGTGATGTGCAACTGGCAAAATAATGAGCCGTGGTTCAGTCAATTCGGCCTATAGCAATTTATGTTGTGAATATTCTTTTTACTATAATTATTATTATATAAAGTATTGTCTTTTAAGTTATGCACAATTGTTTTTTATTTTAAAATTTATTTTTAAATGTCTGTGTGTATTAGCATTGAACCCTTGAAACCAACACCCCATTTAATAACTAATAATACATTCTATTTAATGTGAAAGTCTCTAAGAAGTAACTTAGTTACATCTACCTAATTTAAAAATTTCATTCCCTTCAAAAATATATAAATAGTAATATTAAGTTGCCAAAAGATGGAAAAATAAAGGTAGGAAATAAAAGTAGAAAAACGACAGTATCTGAAAGGGGGAAAAGTTGAAAAACAGAACAAGGGAAACCACAGTGGCTTTTCTCGTTTTGTTTTTCTATTTTTCTTTGGCAACTTTGCTTTTTATTTCAAATCATTTTTATTTCTTCTCATTCACACCTGACAAGTCTTGAAACACTTGAAATATGTCGACTGTTTGTTATTTATATATTTTTGAAGCGACTGAAGTTTTTAATCAGTTAATATCTTACCGCTTTAGTTTCTTGGGTTTATTTATTTATTAAGTTGCATCTAGTTCATCATGATTGTTCAGTTGTTTTAAAATTAACCTATTAAAATATTGCTTTAAACATTTTTAGCTTTGACACTTATGAAATCAATAGTGACATTATTTTTATTATCTACTTGGGCAGATGTGCCAGTAATGGGCAACATTAGGGAATTTCTTTTAAAATTATATTTTACTTAATAATTATTTTAATTTTTTTAAGTATATTTATCTGTCCTTTAAATTTAGCCAAATTCATAGTTGTTGGTCAATAAAGCCGAGAATTGTAAAAATTCAAAAATATATAAACCAAAATAATAGAAAAGTTCATATTGCTTGCAGATTCACCCTAAAACTAAATTCTAAATATTTATTATCTAAATATATATAAATATACCTGTGCTATCAAATTAATAAAAAATTTTCTAGGTTAGTTATTGTCATGTGATAAAATGTTTTCTATATTAATAATTGACATACTGTACATTGCCTTTTTTTTTTGTTTATTATCATTCCATTATACACTGAAGAGCCAAAACATTATGATCACCAATTCAATAATGAGTTGCTTCACATTTTGTCGTCAAAATTGCTGCAACACTCTTTGTCATGGATAGTACAAGCTCTGAGTAGATAACTATTGACGCATTATGCCAAGTGTCTAAGTAGCGGTCACGCAATGTCAAGATATTCTGTCATTGTGGGGTTTGATCTCAGAACTGCTTTTGTATGATATCTCAAATCTGTCCCTATCTATTGGATTAAAATCCAGAGAATTAGATGACCAGGACAATAATTGGAATTTATCATTACGTACCACTCCAATATGAATTGAGGCATTACGCTGTTGTAAGATTCTATTTCCAGTTGGTTAAAAAAGATGCAATGTATGAACTCTGGGAGAAAAGGTTGCAATTATGTTCAGATAGTCTACAGTTTTCAGAATCTGTTTTACCACAATTATAGGCCCTGAAACGGCCCTCAAGAAGGACTGCAGAAGCTTAATACCGTCATCACCAGCCTGTGTGTGATCTGTTGTGCTTGTGGGGAGCATTTGTTTGATCTGGAAGAGAGTGTACCCTGGTACGATCGCTGTGGTGAAAAAAAAAATTTTATTCGTCCTACCAGACATCTTTCTTTCATTTATTCCTGGTCCAGGTTACGATTGCAAAGTTGTGTGGTTGATGATGATGTTTGGTCAACAAAGACACACAAGTGGGATCTCTTATGCATAGTCCATATCCAACAGCATTCACTGAACTGTGTGTTCCAAAAGACTTGCACTTTGACCTGCATTGTATTGGACTGTCATGGCCGATTTTCATAACTGGACAGTTTCTGACGTCCTTTTTCTTAGATGATGTATGGACAACACCTTTTCCAAGCATGCAATGCTAGTTGCACTGGCATTTATCCTCCTTGCATAAATACTTACAATTTCATATTGTGAACAATCTACTAGTTGTGCAATTTTGGAGATATTCATTTTGAGTCTTCGGGCTATTATGATCTATCAAACTCCTAATAATTACTGTATCAAAATCCCATCACTTGCAAAAGTAAATGCAAGAATGATTTCTTATCTTTATTCCAACTTAATCACACATTTTCCGTGTCATCCAGGCAAGTTCATTGGAAAATGTGGAGGTAGTCATAATATTTCAACTTGTCAGTGTATGCATGGTAATTAACCTTACTTTGATCATTTGTCACTCAAATTTACTTTATGATTTTAAAAAAAAACTGATGTTCTGCATTTTTTGGAATGTCTATTCCTTTTGTCCTCATAGACATTTGCAGCTTTGGAAAATAAACTTTTATAAAATATTGTTCTTAAGAATTCACTCTAAATTCAAAAATTTTACCTTAAGAAATTCTAGATATCTACTATAATAATAAGAGATAATTTACCTAGTAGCTAATTTCTAATTAGATTATTCTATGATTTAATATTGGATCATATCAGTTAACTATGATAAACATCATATTAATTGGAGATCACTCTTTTATTATTCCAAATAATGTTTCTATTACTCATTTGCAATAAAATATTTGAAATGTATGCTTTTATGGTACTACCAGTGCAAAGCAAAAATAAATATAGTGAAAACCCGAAGAAAGACCACCTCTATGTAGCGACCAACTCTATTTAAGACCACTTTTGGGAGACACGAAATTTTTTCTATAGACTTCGTGTTGAAGAAAACCTTTAGGACAGACTATTAACCTCTCCCAGCGACCAGGCAAGCATCTGCACCAAATCAACGAACAAATAGACTAAAATCTATTCCAAATATTTGTGTGAGGCTCTTATTTAGGGAGCTCTTTTTGACAATACAACCTCTTTTTGTAGACAGAATGCACTAAAGAGGATGTTATAAATGATTTACTTTTAGAGTTGAACGTTAAATCGGAAATAAATTTTTTTTCTTCAAAAAACAAGCATCTTAAACAAACAAGCCTATTCTCTTTTAAAGCTAACTAATTTTTATCATGTAAAATTAATTGCAAATTTAAACAAAAAACATAATTGTTTATTTATCTAAAATAGCTTTATCATTCATAATCGATAAATTTGTTTTTACACATAATTTTATCAGTTGGGATAATTTTTTTAGACTCTAAATTTTATTCATTGATCTGTTTTTTTTTTATGACGCCAACAGAAATGGCATTTCCGCACCAATAAAATGATACTAACTAAAATTAAAATTGTTGGCGAAAAGTCACGTACCTTTGATAACGATTTTGAAGTTAATGGAGGTAACCTTTAAGAACGACCCACATCCATCAAGGACTGTTTTACTGTGGAACGAAGAGTGGCTAGCTCCCGAGAGGTTACACTGTACCTTTTTTTTAATGATGTCAATTAAAAAAAAATAAACAGCAATCTATAAATGTTGAAGGAAATTAATAAAATAAAAACGAATGGAGTATAATGTAAAATTATGTATAATATTTTGTGTGTTCAAAGTCTCAATGTGTGCAGCAGCCGATGCTTCGGTTTCGATATTCACTGCCTCTACTATAGATATATTATTAATTGCAGGTGGGGTGCGGATGAAATATCCCACGCCATACGTGTTTGTGACAGCAGAAGACCACGAAGAAATCTTTCCTTACTCAGAGCAATCCAGTTGGATAGAATCTCGGGGCACCCATTTACGTACTGTTTCAAAGGCAAATGTCTTGCCCACTCCTGGGCTTCTGACTCCTCCCATGTCTCCTACAGAAAACCACTCCTCTGGAGATTTCATCCCCAGATCAGCAGAAGGCTCTGCAAAGCGTAGAGAGTGTTTAGGAGGTGTTCCTAGAAATGGTGTTTCTCAGTTGGTGCAGTATTCAGTTTCACAGGATGCAGCTATTTCATCAATTCCTAATAAATCAAACGACAGTCCACCTTTGTGGGATTATCAAGATGTTTTGATGGATACGTCCAATTGTTCAAAGTAAGTACCTTCTTTTTTTCCCCACATTTATTATGTAGCAAATGATTTATACTTATAATAATATTTTTTAATTTTCAAGACTATGCAACTTATGGTTTTGAATTCTATACCACCAAGTAAATTCTCTTGCAGAAAGTGGAGCTCTTGGCAGCACTGTGTAGAAAGCAAAAATTTGAAATTTTTTATTTCAAATTTTTGGTTTCTACACAGTTCTGCCAAGAGCTCCACTTTCTGCAAGAGAATTTACTTGGTGGTATAGAATTCAAAACCATAAGTTGCATAGTTTGTTTATTTTACCAGCACTTAAAAGACTCACCACAAGATAATTGAAATATAGTGGTGCTATGTATGAACTTTTGAATTATTCATCTGTAGTGGTGGGCAAAATAATTTTGTTAAGTAAAAATCATACTTTAAAACACAAATTTTAGTACCATTACAAAAACTTTTCCCACAATGCAGAGCAAGTTGGCATCTCTGTATACATTCTTAAACTGAAATATTTATTGTAAATTTGCTTTTTTCAACCGTGCTTCTTTTTTTTGTTCAAGATCGATATATTTGTTTAAGTAATTATTAAGTGAAATGCTACAAAATTGTTTAGAATTTAAACTAATAATGATGTTTGTTGTTAAAAAAGTTGTAACTGTTTTTTTAATAAAATTTTCTGATATATTAAGTAGTTACCAAATAAGTTGCAGATTTGTTACAAAAAATTAAACAATTACTACACTTTTATAGATCTTATTGTTGTAGAACTTTGGATTGGAAGTATTTAGCTGCCAATTAGTATGATCACTAAAGAATACATTTCATAGTGGTAGCAGCATTTTTTTTTAATGTACAAATCTTGTTTTCTAAAGGATTGAAAAATATTGTTTACCATAAATAACAAATCATTAATTTTAACATAAGCACATAAAAAAGTTATTAGACAGTTCTGATTTTTTTTTAAATTTTTTTGCAGCGTTGAAGTAGCTTAGTTTCAAATAATTCTTTAAATATCAGGGACTTCTCTTGAAAATAGTAAAAATTGAAATTAAAGTATTTTGCTGCTAGCGGTAAAGCATTGAACAACAACAAGGTGGTGAGAAAATTTGGTTAATACCGTGGGAAGTCCCATATCCAGAATCGTCGGGACTTGCGCAAGTCTGGAAAATAGATTTTTTGGATAATAGGTCTTTTAAGGTGAACAAACATCAAAACATCCTTATTCCATAAAAAATAACAAATAGATGATAATTAAAGTCAATTTCAACTATCAATAAATAAATTCACATGGTTGTGCAATTTCGCAGCTTTTGTTACAGATTTCCACATGGTTTTTAAAATCTTGGTATTATAATAATATGTCATTACAACATACCTCAAATTCCAAATCACGCATTTTGGTTAGCAATCATTTCTCGATTAGCGACGATACTACAGTGAATTGGGATGGTTTTGATGATTGTATTTTTGGTAGTTATCAAAATGGATTTTTATTGGTTTTTAAATCTCCATGTTTTAATACGATATTTCATTTTTCAAGCTTTGAATTGCGCATTTTGCGCTCAGTTATTGTTGATTGTATCCACAATCCCACATGCATTTACGATTGCATTTTTGTCATTTAATGCAGCTGATTTTCATAGTTTTTTGATGCTGCATTATCATACATAGGAAATATTGAATTACTTTTTGATACACGCTATTTGTGACCATTTTATCGTTTACCAGCGTTGTTTTCTCCATTGCACTTCAACGGTTAAGGATTTCATATAGTTTTTAAAATTTTGAATTTATTTTCATTATTAGGATCCACGAATTTCGAATTGTGCTTTTGAATAATCACTTAATGACCCACTTTAATCTGTACAATTTCATCTAAAATCCACAATTTTTCCAAAATATGACATTTTTGCTAAATCTGAAACTGGTGCTAATAATCTTTTTTTTGCGAGATGTGAGGAAAAATAAGTGATTTTTTCATGCTGTAGTTAAATGAGGGATTTCGTATCTCTGATATCCAGTTTATTTTCATATTATAGTAGAAATCAGATTGAAATTAAAAAAAAAAAGTAAGGTAAAAACCATTAAAAAGTGGAGAATTCTCATCCATGCATCCTTTTTTTTAACAGCTCACAAATGTAAAAAAAAAAAAATTTAAATCAAAGAGTTGTTTGTTTTGATTGTTAAAAAATGTCGGGAAAAGAGACCCTTCAGGTAAACGAACGACCTAATATGGGACTTATATGTTTAAAACTATGTAATTAAGGTGTTAGGATTGTAGGAGGAATTGAAAATTTAGCATATTCATTAAATATTTTAAGTGCTATTAAAACATATTAAATATATAGTTAAGTGTTTACCAATATTGAAGAATAATTTGTTCTCCCCAGGGAAACTTATAATAATTTTTGTTCTTTTATTATTCTGATCTAAACTAATTTACTTTTTCTTTGGATATTTAATTGACAAATTGCCTCCTTGTCTTTAAAATTTTAATCAAAACTATGATTATATTTTTTAATTTAATTTATTCAGTGATTAGTTTGTAGCTGTCAAATAATTTTAGGAACATTTTACTTTAAAATATCAACTATTTTATCTGTATTATCATTTTTAAATAATATTGAATGCTATGCAGATGATTTGGCTGGTAAAGATTAGGAAAAAAAGAAGAAAAAATCTGATTTAAATCAAACCTGATTTTTTTGTTGATTTATTTTTTGAAAAAATTCATGAATTTTGCTAACTCTATTTCTAAATAAATATTACCAGGTTCATCACTAAAATGAAGAAAATTTGAATGAGGAAAAAAACAAGAATAAAATAAAGTAGTTTTCAGAATATTATAAAATGGGTGTATGTTGGGTTTATGATGGGTATTTTCGAAGAAAAAAGTGGTGGTCAGGTGTGTGACTGGTTGACAAAATCCCCATTTTGTTATTTTGAGTCACCCTGTGACCGGTAGTAAAAGTCAATTTTACCTTATGCCACCTTTCACATAATTTTAATGACACCTACTATAGAGTACTAAACTACCTTTGCATTAAAGCTATAATGCTTACATAACTTGGTAGTAAAAGTTCATTTTACTTTATACTACCGCTCTCATAAATTCTTTAAAATTTAAAGAATTAATTTCAATTGACGTAACTTTAATGATACCTACAATAGACTACTAAACTACCTTTACATTAAAGTTATAAGACTTACATAACTGGAGGAAAAAAAATTGGTTTTATAAGAATGATCAATGCAACATGTAGATCCAATAGATTTTAAAAATGAAGTGTTTCAATTGTATAATGAAATATTCAATGAAATTTGTTGATTTTTGTAAATTTTTAGGAGACACAGTAAAGCTTGGAAAAGATCAGCTGGTTGTGCATCCAATACGGGTTTTTCTAATACTATTGGTACAAATACCCAGAGCTTTACAAGTGATGAACTTTCTTATTTTTACCGCCTAGGCGTCCCTTTCCACAGGCGTAAACCGGAATCGAGCAGCGTCGAGGAGTCTGCTGTAGCTCCCAAAAACAATTCACAAAAGAACTCTGTCGATTTCAAAGGCCATACTGTAACCAGTTTGCCTCAACTTCATACGCCTTTCTCCCAAGTGAAGAAGGAGTCTCTTACTGTTACTGGGGAGTTGTGTTACTCCTATTCGTCTTCCTCAGACCCCATCATGCCTACCCTCTCCCCACAGCCTCCTGTGGCCAAGGAATTCTATTCCCAGGACAGTGGGGACGATGGTCTCTCTAGTCTGAATCCAGACCCCACTCAGTTTGTTGTGTTGAAAGCAAAAGTGACTGAGGAAGTAAGTCAGATCTTTGTGTTATCACTAAATTGAAATCAGTTTTGGTGTCTCTGTATTTAGTGGCAGCGAATGTTCAGCAGTTCTTAAAAGGTTGTCCCATGAAATTCTGGGATAGGGGTATCATGAGATAGTCTTATAAGTAATGATTTTTGAAACCTCTAATTATTTATATCTAATCAATAATCCATTACTTATTTAATACTTTGGTTGTTTTGATGAAATTATTTAAGTTAAGTGCCCGTGGAAAAAAAATAAAGTAAGAAATAGAGTGCTTTGGGATTTTCCATTCGACCTGTAGTTTAAGATTATCCCGTCGACCTGTACTCTAGGATTATGTCGTCAATGCTTTTGAAAATGTGTGAATCCTATGGCGCCATCATAATGAAAAGCAGTTTTCAGAATAAATATGCTAAGCACATTAAAGTTATCAATTAATAATAATAATAAAATACATAATGAAAAAGTGTAATAAAAAAATTAAAATAAAGTAAAAACCTCTATTTTGTTTTTATAATTACACATTGAATTATACTTTAATCCAACCTTATATGTTATTATAAATCATTTCAGCTGTCAAAAATCCTTGATAGCTTATAAAGCACAAACAATTGCTTAGCACTCTCTCTGGTGCTAGGCAAACCCGAAATTTGAATCATTCGGAATCCAAGGGGAAAAAAACTTAAAAAAACAAAAAAAAAACACCAGTATATTTCAACATGCTATAGAAAATTACCTCGCGTAGTCAAGAATTACGCAGTAAATATAATAAAATTGTCAGTTATTGGCGCAGAAGCTACCTTTTGCCGATAATATTGTGTTTGGCGAAAATGGTCAATGTGATAATTCCAAAGTACCAAATATTTTTACAAAATACATACATATATATATTTAATAATGTTAGAATTAAAAATTATTTAGAAGAATATAAATTATGGAAAATTACATCAGTATTTCCCATTTCCAGTTCGAAATAAAATTACTGAAATTCAACAGAACAGAATTATCAACAATGTTTTTCACCGATACATAAAAAAAAGATAAGAATGGATTTTGAAGTCTGGTTTCTGCCAAAAGAAAGTTAATCATTTAGGGTTCCATAAGTGAAAAGAAATTAGAAACTGCTGCCCAAGGGTATCCTTAGAAAAATTGCGAGGGCTCCGAAAGTTAACATTTTTGAGAACTGAAATTGTATTTATATCTACCGAGGTCTGCCCTGTCCGAATTTACTACCTTTTAGCGGTACCTTCACAAATTCAACTTTGGAATGTTAATGGTAGGAGGAAAAATGGTAGTTTCACAAAATACGTTTTCTTAAAATTTTATTTTTGTATCCCGTAAGAAACAATAAATCCATATTTTTACCATATTTTTGTGTTGATTTTTTAATATAATTTTTAATTTTCAGAAATTATGTCTAAATCTTCATAAAATAGGAATTTTGAGGTACCTCTCAAAAAAACCTAGACAGACCCCTGATCTAATTAACCCATTATTTATTTAATACTTCATTTTTTTAATTATTTAAGTAAAGTCCAATAGGAAAATTTAAAATGTTTATTAGATTGATTATTCTTATAGCATGTTGATGACTTACGGTTTAGTTTTCTCTCTCTTTTCATTTAACCGTGGGATTGATTTAAATCTCAACCATTGTATTCAAGTAAATGAATTGTTTAAAATAAATGATTAAGTTGCCTGATTGTAATCAAGTTCACTTGATCTCGTTTTCTTGCTTCAGTCAACAAACTGAATTAATTCAGTGTCAAAACAATGATTTACCTCAACAAATCATTTTTGTCTTTGGAAAACATTAAATTAGTTGTACTTAAATTTGTTTTTATTTCATATTAATGTTCTGTTTCCCACTATATTTTATTTTATGACTTTTTGTAATAAACTTTAAATCTTGGCTTATTTATTTTATCCAATCAAATTTTAAGCTGTTTGTCCCAATTGTTTTACAAGATCTTATTTTGCATTGGTTACAAAGTTCTTATGCGTCACCTTTTTATAAAAATTATAAGTTAAGTGCTTACCATTTCATTTACCTTAGAAAGAAAAAAGTTACTATATCATAATTTTGATATTGTTTTTCTTTTCTTTTTCATATGAAAAAATTTTATTTTCTACGTCATCATAAATAAAATTTTTTTTTAGATGCAGTTGAGTTAATAACTATTACTTGTTAATTTTGTCATTATCTGATACTGTGCCTTTTTAACATTGCTTGACTCTGAAATTTTTTGTATCAATTCATTCAAGTATCTTGACAGTAAAAATGCTAAATTTTAACTAAATTATAAAACAATGCTCATGGTTTTTTAACAATAAAAAAATGCTAGAATTTTCATGATATTTCTTAGTTATTATAATAATGCATTGCTAATTTTTCTGTTATTTTAAAAGTATAATGTATAAGTCTTAGGCTAATTATAAAAATTTGGCTCTTTGTAAATACTGCCGTTATATTGCTATGTGTCATCATTATGCTTGTCATTTTTGAGGCATTAAATAAAGAGGTAGTTTTAGTTTTAACTTTCTATTGAAATTAAAACTTTTTGGATTTTTTTTAGCAAGCTATCACTTGACTGATTGTGCTAAGCTTTAAGTACTCTGAAATAAATCAGGCTAACTAAGTAATGAATGTTTTCTTAGTAACTTAAAGTATATGGGCTCAAAGTATTAATTAAAGGGAAAGTTATATACACTTTGTGTTATGCATGCATAAAACTAAGCAACATGACTAAAGCACAAATAATGACACAAAAAGGCACGTGATGTAATCACAGTTCTGCAAACAAAATCTTTACTTAGTGTGTTAAAGCACAAAATGTATCAGTCTGGAAAACATTTTGTGGTTTTGACTCTGAGGAAGATTCTGTTTATTGAAGAAAAACTATGTGTGTTCTTTTTTGCTCTATATTTTTCATTAATTATTATTTACAAGAAAAAGAACGGAACAAATATTTTGGGAGTCCATAATAATAACCATAAAAGCTATTAATTATTAGCTACTAAGAAAATTAAAAGCTACTAATTAAATTCACAGAAAAAAAACACTGCATAAAACTAAATATACAAAAAATGCAATGCATACAACATACTAGTGGCTATCAGGGTGTTTTATACATGTGAAAAAATTAGCAGTCACTTTATCTTGTGTCACATTTTATATACTGGGAGAAAAATTTAAACGAAGGCTGTGGAGTGGCTATTGAAACACCTCGAGAGAACTACACTCTTCATCAACGCAATACCGATTTTTGTTCTGTCTTTCGAAGCGAACTAATTGCAATCAACAGGGGACTAGAGAAAATCTTGAGTAAAGGGCACTTTGGAAATACTTGGATACTATCTGACAGCCATAGTTCAATTCAACACCTCAAAAATTGGGCCCTCATTGGAGATAAAACCAGTTTTTCGATCTTACAAAAAGTAAAGCTCATTTCCCAGCAGCATGTAGTCCACTTTCAATGGATCCCGTCCCACGTCGATATCCACGGAAACAAGTTGGCTGACACTCTTGCAAAGAAGGGACTAGACCAGTCTGCCCCCTCCACCTCAGAGCTTACATACCTTGAACTTTTCGCAAGTCAAAAGGCCCATAACAAACAAAAGTGGCTGCTTCCATCTATTCACTACTGGTATAAAGCAAAAAGACCAGGACTCTCTCTATGCCTTCCTGGTGACAGACAGACCAACACTTGCTTATCCCGACTGGCCAGTGGACACCTGAAAAGTCTCACATTTTCTGCTAATCAAAAGATCTTTCCTCTTTGCCCTAAATGCCAACAAAACCAGGCATCACCTGAGCACATGTTGAACTTTTTATGGCTGGACTGGAACTACATTCATTCCTCTCCCCTTTTAGTTTCGGACTTCCTAAATGTCAACGGATTTATTGATCTGGTCTGACGGAGTCAGACCAGATGGGAACTAGCAACAACAACAAAAGTTAAATGAGAATCTCATTATTATTAATTATATATAAGAATTTCGTTAATTTCAGTTTTAATGATCCTTTATTTAGAGTATTCTGCAAATAGGTTGTGTAAATAGTTCTTGCATAATATATTTTTGTGAAGCATTAGTATTGAATACATTTATTCCTATTGTTTAGCTTTATTTACTGCAAGAAGTCTACAAAAAGGGATGGGATGAGTAGAAAATATTGGGGACTTTTCCTTATTAGCCTGGGGCATCGCTAACAGCCGTCAGCTGTAGTTTCTATGAAAGCGATTATTCAATCAACCCACAACACATTGGTGATTGTATTCCGGGTCTTTCGTATCATTCTTCAGGTTTAAAAACTAGAAAGCAGGGCATGTGATTTTACGTAAAAAAAATCACGACTATCTAAAGACCATAGGTTTGCGGACTTCCGCAAATCAAAAACTTATAATTCAACAAAATTTTGAAACTTTTACTGAATCATGCTAATGAGACGTTTCCATACGTGATTCTTCCGCCAATTAGATTAATTTCGTTTGGCAGATTTTCGTCAATTTGAATATTTGGAATCTGCTAATATTACAATGCTTATTCATGCGATTTTAATATCAAACATCAATTTTTGTATTTACCTGATTAAATAGTTACGCGGTACGATTCGTATTATGTTAATTTAAAAATTGTACATCGTGTTTCCTATTCACACGATTTAAAAATCCAATAGCCCAATTTGTATTCATGCAAGTTTGAAATCCATAGGCGATTTGTATTCCCCCGTTTATAAAATCCAATATTGCGATTCATATCCACATAGTGTAATATCAAACATCGATTTTCGCATTTACAGGTGATTTAAAAACTACGCATTGAGATTTGTATTCACATGATCTAAAAATTATGCATCGCTATTCGTATATATGCATCACGATGATCAAAAAATTATGTTAAAAATTCAATGTCGGAATTTGTATTTTCATGTTTTTGAAGTCCAATATCTGGGTTCATATTCACAAGATTTTAAAATCCAATATCATAATTCTTGTGAGAAGTGAATTTTTTTTAATTAGTTATTATAAAAGTGTGTTATTTTTCATTAGTAGGTAATTTCATTATAAATGTTTGTTCAAAAAATTATGTTAAATATAAAACATGTATGGTACATATATTTTTTTATCTTAATATCGATATTTTGCTCATAAAATTTTAAGGGTTTTTCACTTTGTGTCACCCTCTGACAACATACATATCATTAATAAATGAAATGTTGTTTTTCCTTTTATGAAGCATCTCACTCCTTTCCACACTTCTCTTCTGGATTCTTTTGAGGCCAAAGTAAATGAGAAGGAGTCAGCAGCCATGTACGATGCTGATCGAAATGAAACCACGTGTGCCATCCTTGCCCTTGAGGACAGAGCTGGAGATGTATTAGAAAAGCCACAACTGTCTAAGAGGCCTCACGAAGAAACTGACAATTCATGTGTTCCCATGTCTGGTCCTCTCTACGATTACAGGCATCTCAACAGCACCTTATGGTATGTCTCTTTCTTAATAGGTGCCGCCAGTGTTTTCATCATAGAAAAAAAAATGGGTGAGAATTTCTCACCCTTTCTCAAAAACAGGGTGAGATTTCAAAAAGTTAAGTGAGATTTCTAAAAATTAAAAAAACACAAATGGACTTGAAAAAAAATCATTTCTTTAATTATAATAAATTTTTAACGTCTTCTAATTTTTAAAGCATTGAATATTTTGCTTTATGATATTTACTGAATCATCATAGAAGATTTTGCCTTTACAAGGTATTTGTCCATCTTACATTAGTGGATAAAAAATTTTAACGTCTTACATGAAGAAACCTTACCTACGGTAAACAGGTGGTTGTAGAGAAATTTGTTCTGGAAGGGATTACGTGGTTCGGAAGGGTAGTGTTCTGTTGTTCGAAAAGGTTCTAAATGATACTGGTAAATAGGGAAGCTAGATAAGGGGGCAGATGTTGAAAATAATGAAAGATCCAGGTAGAAAAGTGAAACGGATTTTATTCTAAATGGCGTAATGCGAAGCTTTTTCCCAAATGCGAGAAATTCGCGAATTTTGCAATTGATTTATAGAATGCGTGACTGTGCCACTCTTCCTGGAGGCTGAAACCAATCTTTGGGAATCTGTGCTTGTGCAAACAAAATTTATATCTGCTTGAGATAGTAGCTTTTTTTTCTTGATATTTTAAACTGCTGGTAAAAGTTATATTCAGATTATTTATAAAAAATTTCTAGAGCTAGAACATTAAACAGTACTGATGAAGAGGGAAATAGCGATATGAATGGTTCCAAGTAAAAGTTAGTAGTGTATTATTCTGTGATTAGTATTAAAAATACACAAGAATAGCTGTTAGTTTTTTTTCATTGGTGTAAAAAATAAACTTAGAAAATGAAGAATGAATATTTTTTTCCAGAAAAAATAATCAAGTCTTTGATATTATGTAAAAGTTACTCTGATGGAAAGATTTGTGAAGTTAAAAAGCTATGAGTTTCTGTAAAATCTAGTAAACCATGCTGTACATTAATTGGTAAAAAAATATATTCAGTCTTAAAACTTTTTTCGAGTGGCACCCATGCATTAACAGTTTTTGCAATATTTTCCCCTCTCCATGTTAATAAAAACATGAAAAATGTTTTCATAAAACAATTTTAATTTAGTTTTCTAAGAAGTCTTAGAATAATGTATTAGATTTTGCTACACTTTACCACCATTTCGGGGCATTGACTGTTTAAGAAATAATGCATTATTTTTTTAGTGATAAAAAGTAGTCTTATTTCTCTATATGAATATTACCATCTTCTGTCAAAATTAAATAGCCGAAAAATCTCAAAATCCAAAAAAGAAAAGAAAAAATATCTATACAATTTCACTATTTTCTATAAATTTCCAAAATTGAAAGATAGAAATCTTTCAAAATATTAAATATGTTATGAGGAATTATGTTTTTGCAGAGATTTAAAATCCTTTTATTATTGTAATCACAAACATATTTTTGTCAATTTATAAATTAATATAATTAATAGTAAAATTGGTAAAATGAAATCATTGTTCTTAACATTCCTTGATTAATCAAATTCAATACAACACTATTTGCCAATTTGAAAGAAAGCTACCACTTGCTTTAAAAGAAATAATCAAGTACTCTCTGACAATTATCATTGAAAGTGCTATTACTTAGGATGGGAGCTGACCTTATGGTTGGCAGACTATAACTTGCAATTATTTACAAATAAGTCCTTGTGGTACACTTTGGAAGCTATCAGACATGAGCATCTCTGATTATAACTGTGAAATTTTAGTTTTCCTTTGAGTTTCATTCAATGTAACCTCTTCTCATTAAATTAATTAATAGGCAACACCCTAATGCCAAAAGAAAGTGTCTTTCAAGTCTGCCAAATCTTCCTGACTTCATCAAGGTTGAACCGGATGAAACTTTCTGTGATATCGAGAGAAACAACGTATACGAGTTCGACGAAAACGTGCCTTGCACTCCCAGAGATCCCTACGAATTCACTGAATTTGATGAAACGGCACCCTCTGGTAAAGGATTTCGACACAAGATTGAAAAAGTAAAGAATTTTATTATGTCTTTTTATTAAAAAAAATTGAAATCACAAAAGTAATAAGAATCCAAAAATAATTGAAAGTGACTTTACTTTTTTATGGTAGCAGATATACATTTTTCTAAATGTGCTTTCATTTGTATATGTAAAAAAATTGACAGAAATTTTTTTTTGTTGAAATTTTTTCTCTTTTTTTTTTTTTTAATTGATGTGGAATAGTCTGAAAGTATACTAATATAAATTCACATTTTTTTTAAAAAATAAAAACTTATTTTACTGCATTTTAAGCTTAAAAGTCTTGCAATTACTTTATCGCACACAGTCGAACTCGTTCATTACGAGATTGTAGGGTATTGTGACACTTTGCTTCCTAAATTTGAGTTGGCCGAAAATTAATATCTGAAACAAAAATTAAATTATAATGTATAAAAAAAAAGAACTAGAAACTGTATAAAATAGTTTTTTTTCATTATTTTTTGTTTTTGCTCATCTGAAAAATATTTGAGATTCTTTTTTTTGTAATCAATATATAAAACAAAATACATTATCTGTAACTTCTTTCGAATCAAGAAAAGTTTACGGTCTAACATCTTTATTTATGGAGGATTTGAGTTTAACTATTTCTTCCCCATCACTGTCAGATTCTGTGTTTTAAAAACATTTGGTTAGAAACATGTCCATAGTTGCATGTGCAACAATTAATGTGAAGTCTATTAAATGCTTTGCAATTGTGTGATTTATGACAAATCATTTGAGGAACTTAACGTTGTTTCTGTTCATCGCTTACCTCCTGTCAGACTCTATTTATTACAATCAGATTATAGATGATGTTGTGATATGGAATTAAATGGTTTGAATAGCTATAAATTATTACAATTGTGTGATTCATGATAAGAGGAATGTTCTTTCGATTTGTTGTTTACCTGCGCAATCTGAATGAAATATCCACCAACAGCCTAGTACTTTTTTCTGACAGCTTCAATAAAATAGTTTTTCAAGAAGTTTAAGAAGAATGCTGTATAAATAACATGGTTTTGTGTAGGCTTTTTAGCATTTAGCCAGTTATTAATAAAAAATTTCTAGTTAAATCTAAGAACTGGCTTCGATCAGAGCTCGTAATAAACGAGTTCGACTGTATTAATATTTTTGTAACAATTGTTTTCTAAAAGAATGTATCGACATGCAAACTTTCAACAGATATATTATTGTTGTTTTAACACTTTCTCTATATAGAAATAAGTTTTTAAATAGACCAGTTGTAAATTGTGAAAATTATATCACCTAAAAAAGTGGGTGCTTAATGATATTGCAGATTTTAGATTATTTTTTAAAAAAAAATATTCTTTATAAAAAGAATTATATAAAATTTAAGTATTATATTGCTATTAGTAAAATATTATGTTGTTATTGGTTAAATATTATATAAGTAATGAATACCTTAATGTCTGGTATCTGTCATTTTGTTCTAAATTTGATATTTTTTTTTAAATCATGAGATTTTGTGTAACCATTACCAAAATGTTTTTTTTTTCTAGATATATTGAGCTTTATTAGAATTGTATTGTTTTCACATATTTATAATTGATAACATAATTTGCTGAGTTTTATATTTATATGCCTACTGTTTGTTTATTTTAATCCTGGAATATATGCATACAGTGCATACAAATCTGAATTGTGAAACAATTATTAATTTTTAATACAGTGTGATGTAGGGCAAAATTAACGATCTACACTAATTAAATATAAAATATGGAGTTAGAAAATTTATTTGTTAATCGCTAACCCATCACTACATTTTTGCCCACCCAATTTACTCCAAAATAAATATTTTTAACTTCTTGTATTATTTTTGATGTAAAAAAACCTGTAATCGTGCATGAAAATTGTATTTTACGCTGGTTCATAATTGCAGAAGGACTGAATATGATTTTCAAAGGTTTTGTTCAAGTTAATGGCATATTACTTTTTTTTTTAATTTATGGTAGATAATATTTAAAAGTAATCTAATTAATATAATTCTATTTATTTCAGTTTTATTTCATAAGGGAAAAAAATGTATCTTTGTTAATAAACAAACAAAAAATTTTATGTGCTACATTGTTGGTTCAAAAACTCAAATCCTAAATTCTATTAGTAAAAATTTTACATGAATTTTTTTAGAGAGGTTGGGAAAGTTTTTCTTCTTTTTAGAAATGAAAGTTCTAATGTTTACCATATTGTTAGAAATACTTTACATTGATAACAATAGTTTTTTAAAATTAAAGTTAAGAATTTTTATTTTTGAAAAAGTGTTCACCACATTAAAATCGTTATTACTGAGCCCTAGTTTGTGACAAAATTTCCTAATTTTGCTCTATACAGTGTGATATATTTTGCTCACTGTAATTGAAAAAATATATATATATTGATTCCTGTGTGTTTCAAGGATGAAAAATTCAGTTTACCGAGTATACCGTCTCCACTTTCTATTCCAACTCCCATCACTCCCATCCCAGAGATGCCTTCTCAGATGTCAGAAGATGTAGAGCAGACACTGTCTCCAGCTGCCTCCAAATCATGTGGACCAAAGTTCATACGTGAAGAAGACTTAGCCGTCTCCTTACACGATCTGGACAACATTTTTGATACTTCTTCCTCTGATGGAGAAGATAATGTAGGCTATTTTTTTTTTAAATAACAGTGTATTTAAGCACTGATTGTTTAATGTAGCACAGTAGAACTTCAATTGGTCTTTTTTTGTTACACCACCCTTGACAAACAATCAATACTAGAAAACAACAAATACGGTCAACATGAAATATAATAAGGATTTATAAAAGTATAAGAAATAATGAACTTGAAAACTAATTAATTTGCAATAAGTATGAAAAATTTAACTAAAAACATTTTTGCAAAAGTATTTAATGTAGAATATTTGAAAATTTAAAAATATTGGGAACTTCTTCTTTTCTCTTTCATTTTGTACCTCTTCTGCTACCTTTAATCTAATGGACATTACACCATAAGTTTAGTAATTTTATCAGCTTATATCTAAGCATCAAACATAATGTTTAAGGTTTTGACCCTCAACCGTAACAAAACTAACAATTTCTTCATCATATCAGTGTTCTTAATTAGCTTCTCAAAACAAAATACCTTCAATTTTTTTTCCTGCTAGTTTGAAAAACGATCTGAAAAGGTATAACTAATGTTAAAAGAACTGAACATTTGCAACCTGACCACATTAAAACTATATTCTATATGTGGGAAAACAAATGTTGAAATGATTAATTGAGGTTCAACTGTACTTAATTACTTTTGAGCAGTGCTTTCTTTGAAAGTTTTGCTCAGATTTTTTTCAATTGTTAGTTTCTCTTTTTAATTAAATTATATTATTTACCTATATTAATTGAAAATATAAAAACATTTTGAAGAAAAATAAATAGTTAGAAATTATTGCAACTTTCCATAAATACTAGTTTAAATGATAGATCACAGATAATCATAAAACAGCTTTCATTCAAATAGAACAATAATAAGTTTTTGTGTAATTTTTTTCTAAAATTTCAAAGTATTGCTTTTGTATTTTTTGCACTGAAAGTATTGTTAATTGTATTTTAGGCACTAAAATCAGTGTTCATAGAACATTTTATAAATCATTTTAATGTAACTTGTTAAAACTTTGCATTGTTGTAGTCATCACGAAGCAAAAATAATCTTTCTAGTGCCATTTTAATAAAATAAAAAAATTCTATTGTTAATTTTCCCAGGGCTTTTTTTCTTAGTATTAACTTCTATTTCATTGAAAAACAGTCAATTTCAGTTTTTTTGAGCATATGTTTATAACTGAAAAAGTATTGAGTGTTTCAAAGTCCTACAATCAACTCGTACTATTTGAATGTTGAATTTTTGCACGTCAAAAAATTTAGACAAATCCCTGTAATAATCATGAAAATATGCAGGCAAACTTGTTTACTGTGAGCTCTATTTAAACAAGTTTATTTTTTTATAATTGGTTTGTTTGGTGTTGATAAAACGTACATAAAGCCATGTTGTAACAAGCATATATTGGATTTAACAGCAAATCTTTCATTAACTTCTTGAAAATTATTTCTTCTAAGAAAGTATATGATTGCTTAGGGAAATTTCATTTAATTAGAAAAAGGTTTAAAAACACGACATAGGTTTGAATTAAATTGATCGAAAGTTGTATGTAGATAAGCAATAACAGGTACAAAGCTATCAGCTCAGACGTTCTAGCTGTCCACAATGTTTTAAGCCAATGTTCTTGGCAAGTACTGAATAAACATAACTTGTTTATTAAGTCTTTTATATATATATATTTGAATTTTATATCAAACATTAAAGCCTAAATTTGAATGCTTGTGAAGAAGACTTTGTTAGATTCAATTCAATTATTAATCATCGTATTGGATACAGTAACATCAACAAGATCAGCTCAACAACAAAAAATAATTACTTAATAACAAAATAAATGAAGGTGATATTGATACTTCCCTTCCTACAAGATCTCCGTTTATTGCTGGCCCTCTCAGTTAGTGGGTTTCATGAGATGCATTGTGAGATTTCTCAGTTGACTTGTTATGAATCGCTCAAAATTAAAATTTAGTATGCATTTTGGAATGATTTTACTAATTAGAAATATAATTAAAAAAACTTGAATTTGAAGGAGTGTGAAAAGGACACAAAAGAAGTTTCCTTAAAATAGTTTCATGCTAAAAACTGGGCAGTTTTTCGATCAATCAAAGAAAGGAGTATATAAGAGGTTTTAGGAATTCCGAGTTAATGTGTTTAAATGGTAGAGGTTATTTGATATTCTTGAAAAAAATATTTTGTGCATATTCAGAACATTGTATTTCCTATGAATACAAATGCGTATTTTAAAATAATTTATTTGAAGAATCAGAGGATTCTAATAAATTTTCTTTTCTCTAAAGTCTGTTGTTTAAGCTTAGGGACCGTTAACTCATCATAACCGCAGGCTTCATTATTTTAAAGTTTTTGAAAGTCAGTGTTTTTATGAAAAAAATGTAAATACTTTGTATTATCAAATTTTGATGGTAATGAATTCAGGTATTATATGCTCGTTTGCTATTTTCAGTAAACGCATGTAGTACTGTTGTACTAAATATTGTTGTACAAAAGTGCTAAGTGGCATATGAATTATGTTTTAATTTCAAGATTATTGAAACCGTATTTTAAAATCATTTGATTGAGGAAATCTTGACCCTGAATGCCAATTTTTAATTGAATATTGGTCTAAGGGAATATTTGCCATGGAACAGTATTATAAATTTTTAAAATATTTTTATCTCAAACTCTAATGGGTTGTTCGGTACACTATTTATAAAATTATTTTGAAAACTGTTAAAACTTTCTGTCCTGAGCAAGTAACTCTAAAATTAGAAAAAGCTTTTTTTTATATATTTTTTTAAATTCCTTTTTGATAAAATTTTGCCTTTTTTATTTAAGTAGATAACTTTTTTTTACTTTGTCATATGCTGTATTTAAAAATAGTATGAAATATTAAAACTATACTAAATAATATCTGTTCTGTTTTTTTTTTTTTTTAAATCTTTGGTTCACTATGATGCCTATATTAAGCTTTAAAAAGGGGCGAAATAAGGGTTGAAGCAAAATTAGTTAATGTAAAAGCTGCATTCTAGTTGAGTATTTTTTTTGCCTAGTTTTAGTTTGTTTAGGCTTACTGACTTAAGATGTGAATTACCTTTGTTCTCTATAATTTCATTGTAAACAAGTTTGGATGTACAGTACAGAACCCGTTATCCGGAAATCGGAAAACCAAAAAACCGGAACGAAATTCGATAAATTTTCCTGCCATTTTAAAAAAAAAAATTTTTTTTCCTCATAAGATTTTAGGATTTTTTGTTCTTTTTTGAAAGATGTTTACCTTACCATCATTTTGGTTTTGATTTGTTCATTTACGTCGCACAAGAGCTGCACAATGGGCTATTGGCGACGGTCTGGGAAACATTCCTGAGGATGATCCGAAGACATGCCATCACAATTTTGATCCTCCGCAGAGGGGATGGCACCCCCGCTTTGGTAGCCCGACGACCTGCACGCGAAGTCGAGCACTTTACGGTAGAACAGTTTAACGAGGACCAATACCGCACACCCTCGGTCCCTACGCAGACTGATCAAAGTGGTCACCCACCCGCAGCCAGTGATGCTTGACCTCGGTGATCTGCTGGGAACCGTGTCTTAACGATCAGTCCACTGCGGGACACCATCATTTTGGAAATAATCATTAGTGTATTACTCTATCGTTTTTTCTTCTTTTTAAGATTATTTCCAAAAAAAAATTTTTTTTAGTTGGGTTTAACAATAAAAAAACGGCTTTTTGTAGCGATTCAGAAAACCGGAAAAATCAGTTATCCGGAATAGCGATGGTCCCGATCGTTCCGGATAATCGGTTCCCTACTGTACTATTAAAAAAAAAATTACATAACTTTAAAATGCCTAATTTAATTTACTGTGCAGTAAGTTTTTTTTTAAACTTGCTTTTCACTCTCATTATGAACTTTTAATTTGATTTAAAGATTAATTTGATAATGCACACTTTTTCAATATATTTATTGCTTTTACAAATATGCATTTTATGCAATTTTCATATTCTATTTATTTTTGCTCTAAGTTTTTAGATGCATTTAAAATTTAACATAAAAATAATAATAAATAATCTTGTTGAAAAATGATTGATAATACTTGTTTGAAAAAAATTATAATGATGCTCTCGGATTTTTCCATAGGTGGAAATGCCTCATACTCCTTCAAAACTTATTTCTTTTGATGAATATTCAGGAAAAATAGGTAAATAGACATTTTATTGATTTATTATTATTTTTAATTGTGTCTGTCTTTTTAATACTAAGTAAGTAAAACATTTTCGTTCTAATTGGTCGGATTCAGATTGTTTAAGAGTATGGGAGGATGACTGTTTTTATGTTTCTTTTTATATTTGATCTTCAAAAATAGCGCTTCTGCTGCATGGTCGGTTAATGCATCACTCACACCATTGGAGGAGAGCTATGGCCATGAGTTCAATCTTTGACATTGACCGAACAACACTTGTTACAAGGTGCATGTTAAAAAAAATCTGTTTTGGCTTAGAGTGTGGACTTTTGATTTTGTCAAAATTTGGAGAGAGGTGTACTATCTCAAGCGTCGTCTACGTCATCTTTCCCAAGTCAAAATTACATGGTATTCCTACCATGGCGATTATAAGACAGAGCCTTGAAAAATGAGAGCCCTGAAAACTCCTGTACCATAGTTGGGTGATGTGTGTACCTCAAAATTATCTGAAAATCTGGTTCAGACCTAAAACTAAATTGTGATTACGTTCTTGAATGATTAATTTTTTTAAAAATAAAGTAGTTAAATACTTTAATTTTTTGAAAATATGTCGAGTCCTGTTTATTTGAATCTTTTTTTTTATTAATGAAAAAGCATTATATAACTATGTATATATATATACTGGGTGATGAAAAAGTCAGTTTAATTTTTAAAACTTTATAATTTCTAAACTATTTACAATAAAATGATGCAGTTTGCAAAGAAATACTCAGAAACACTGGGGATTTTTTTAATCATAATTTTTAAAACATATTCAAATTAAGTATTTAAATAAACATTAAACAAAAAGCATCATTTCACCGTTGTGCCACCCGTTCAACTAGTCTCTTTGTTTCAGATATAATCTTAAAAGTAGTTCAATAAAACTGGTACTTGTGGCGTTTTTCAAAACCAACACTGCAGTGTTTGGATTTATAAAAATTTTCGAAAATTTAGAACTGTTGATTGATTATTAATTAACATTGCTTTTAATATACATCTAGATGAGAAAATCTCATCAAATTATAATTTTTTTTTTTTTAGCTTAAATGTTATTCCGATTTTTAAAGCCAGCTAATTATTTTTATCTAGATATAAATATGTAACTTAAAAATGGAAAGGCATTTAAAGTGTGTCTTTTTTTTCTATTTTTGTGGGTGAAATAGCTTAGTCAAAATATGCTTTATTAAAAATTGTGATTTCAATATTGTGTTGTAGAGCTGTTGAGAATGTACCCAACTCCGCCTTCTCTGGAACAAAATGCAGTGCCTTCACCCTATGGTCCTCAGGTAGGAACTGAAAGTGCCACAGTTGATTTCGGTGATGCCTTAAAAGAGGAGGAGGACCACAGCATTTTCCCTTTCCAAATCGAAGTAAGTGCTCTTCTACTTGTTTTGCTTGACTATGCTATATGTATCAAACTCAATGCATTTTAAAGAAGGAATGATTGCAGAGGTGCCAACTTATATGATTTATCACATTGCGACTTCATCCTCAAGCTTAGTCCTTATCGTTGAGTAATAAAAATTATGATTTTTGAGAATTTCTCTGATAATCTGTTATTTCCCTTAACTACCGAGAATTATGAAATTTTGTAGTTTGTAACAAATCTACAATATTTTTTTCCTACTCCTTAAACAATTCTAAAAAAAAAACAATAAATAAAAAACGAAAACGAATTGATAGAAACAAGAATTAAAAAGCAAAGAAATTTAATCTTTTCTATATCCAACAAGCTGTTCTTAACCTTTATCTTTGCTCCTTATGGAAAAGAAAAATATCATGAACTGAAATGGTGTTGGCGAAAATATTTAATGATTCACATACAGATTGATAAAAAAGCAACAGGGGCTAGTTCTAATTAAACCAAAAAAACAAGAACATAAATTCCAAGTAATCAATTTAATTTTATAATGAAGTGTATAAGTTCAGCTTTGAATAATTTTTAATTTAGTACCTTAAGTGTTAATTTTTTTTTTTTTCAAAAAAATTTTGCACATATTTTTATTAGTATTATATACCTATATAAAATTATGTTGTATACGCATCTTAAAATTGTGCTATTTGAATTTCGTAAACCCTAACTATATACATATCACTTCTGTATTATTGTACTTCTGATTGCTGTTAAAATTATTAGTAAGTCTGCTAGCTCTAAAAATTACAAGTGACAAAACAAAGGATTATAATAGCATTTTTTAAAGCATCGTCGCCTTACATTTTGCAATGCAGAAAATGTAGAATCATTACTGTGTAATAAAATTGCAATATAAAATGATTGCTGAATGATAAACGTTAAATATTTATCTTTGCATAAAAATGCAAATAATATAACTGTATACTATTTTCATACTACAAGATATTTTTATAAATGATTCACTAAATTTGACACATTTGGTTTAAAAACAAATTTTTACATTTTTGTTTCATTATGGATGCACTTGATAAAATAACTAATGTTACACAAAGAACAAAAGGACTTTATTTTGGCATAGTTCAGAAAACATAGTGCCACTCTTAAAATTTTAACTTGTGTACCCTTAAAGTTTTAACAAGAACTTTTTATGTTGAGTGGTCCAATCAAAGTAAATTTAATTTTACTGCTACGTTACATTTGCGAGATAACTTTGTCTTTTCATTGCACCACCTTAGCCTTGCAAATCATGTATTAAGGTTGTTTCCTATTAAACCATCGCCCAATCGTTCCAAGATCATAAAAGATTTTTCCAGCAATATTTGCTAATATGTTTAGCTGTATCTTGTATTTGAGTTTTTTTTTTTTAATCTGGGTAGCCACAGAATAGGCCAAAGTCAGAGAACTTTATCATTGTGTAAGAATTCGAAAATTGCCCGGAAAAAGTTTGAGTTTATGGTACAAATTGTGAAATATATTTTTATCATCTATTGCTCAATTTTAGTTCAATTCATATCAATAGACATCAGCTAAATGTTTTTGTTTTGTTTTTTGTGCTTTGTTATTACAATTTTATTTATTATATTTAATAAATTATATAAGAGTTTATTTAACATTTACTCAAAAAATATTACACAATTGAATCAATTGAACAGTTTTTTAGTATGGACATTTATTTTAACTGATAACAAATGTTTCCCACATTGACTAAAACTTACTCTTATCTGTTACCTTTGTTCTGGCATAAATAGCAGCAACATTAAATAAAATGTGTGTTTTCACCATTATATCTTTTTACTGCTATATATCTGATTCCTTTCGAGCTATGTGTTTGCTTAGGTTAATAATTTTATTAAGAATTATTTATTTTCAATTTCAATTGTAAGTAAAAGTGTATTTTATGCTCACTAAGAAGCAAAACTGAAAAATTAATAATAAAATTTAAATGTGTTATAAAATTATTAGGGAAATTGATAAAATGAGACGGAGAAAATAAGAATATTTTTCTGTGTATTTGTGGCCACCCTAAATGAACAATTTGCTACTTGCTGGGGATGAAATGGTACATTGATTGTTTGGATTTAGATTTACTTTCGCGGATTTATCTTTAATCTTCAACAATTTAGCAGCTTTGTTTATACTAATAAATCTCTTTTTTATAACTTCATAGTTTTTATACCAAAAAAGAGATACAATATCTAAAGTAGGGGTGCACAACCTGCGGCCTGCGGGCCAAATGCGGCCCTTCGACTACTGAAGTGCGGCCCGCGAGAGCTTCTAAACGCAATAAAAAAAATTTTAAAAATTTCAATTTTTAATCCCACTTTTAAGTCATCACGTTTTGACACAATCAATTTTAACAGATTCTTTAGTAAATGTACGTTTAACACGCTTTCTTTAAGCCGATTTTATCGTAAATATAAATTATTTTTTTTAAATCCCGAATTTTTATTACGACGCGAGTTTTAGATCGCTCATTTAATTAATCACTTTTTGGTGCACTTTATTTGAGATGATTTTATCTTAAATCTAAGTGATTTTTTATCTTTTTTTTTTGCAATTCTTTTTTTTTTCAGCAATTTTTTTAGACAGTTATTGCTATGCGTTCCCACGTATCATAAAAAATTCCAATTATTCTATTATGGCATGCAAATTTTAAATCGTTCATTTGACACGCTTTATTCGTGCTGAGTTCAGCATAAATATAAATAATTCCCCCCCCCCAATTATTTCTATATTTTTCCACGTGATTTTGACGATCCCGTTATTTAGCTATGATGTTATTACGACACATTATTGTTAATCGTGCAATTAAATAATCACCTTTTGATACGGTATTTCGGTGCAGTTTTATCGTAAATCCTATTTATTTTTCCTTCATTTTTTTTCCCGCAAGGAATATGATTTGGTCGAATGTGGTAATGAATTGTGATTTGGTCAAAAACCAAATATTCGGCAAAAAAAAAAGAGAAAGAAAAATCGACTGAACGCCGTACACTTGGGGCCAAATAGCAAAATCTTTTAGCAGCATAGCCACACTGAAACTAAAATTTCAATGCTCAGAATAATATTTCCTGGAAAAGCGTATTCATAAATTAACTCTAAAAAATAAGGCCAATCAAGAACGATTTTGAAAATGTCGAAATGCGAAACACAGAACATAAAAATCAATCTTAATTTTTGAAAGAAAATTTTAAAGCTGAGCATCTCAGTTTTCCAATTACTAAAAAAAGCCAAGAAAAAAGAATTAAGTCAACAGAAATGCTATTAAAAATTACTGCTTTGTAATAAAAACGTCTAAAAAAAGTTTTTTTTATTTAAAGAAAATAAAAAGTTAAAAAAAACATTCTTAATTTTTTAATTGAAAATCTTATGCTGAAAATCGCAATTTAAATTTTTCTCTTTGCCATAATTTTAGAAGAAAAAAAATTGCTGTAAAAAAATTTTATTAATAACTTTATTTTTAAAAAAAAATGCTGAGTCATAATAAAAATGCCTAAAAAAGAAAAACAGAAAAATACAAATTTTTCTTAGTTCCAAAAACAAAACTTTAATACTGAAAATCACACTTTTCTATGTTACTGGTTATTTATATTTCAGTACAGGGAAAGAGTGATAATAAATTAATAGTATGAGACGTTCTGTTAAAATGCTGGGTTATAATAAAAATAGTAAAAAATGGAAAAAATCCTTCTCAATTCTCAAAGTATCGAAAAAATGACAAAATTGACTTGTCTGATTATATTTTTAAAAAAAAGTAATATCTATAAAAATTCAAAAATAAAAAAAACTTAGAAAAATGCATTTCTGAAAAATATTCTGCCGAATATTTGACTGATCATTCAACCAACCGAATTTTTCACTGAAGGCCAAATACTCGTTACATCCCTAATTTAAATGCAATGTTATTGCAACTTGAGAAATTCATAAAATGGCGGAAAACATGAATTTTTAAACTGCTCACTGTTTGTAGTTTAGATTTCAATTTTTTGTTGCTTAAGTGATCTTTTTCGATAGAAAAAAGGAAAATTTTTACAATATAAAAAAATCTAATAATTAATAAAATGAAATAATGAAGTGCATTACAATTTAATAAGCATTGAATTTTATTTTCCTACACTATCACAGTTTTGTTTTTATTTTAGGCTTTTGTTTAAAACCTATAAATTTTCTTCAATTGAAATATTTAATTTGAATTTATATTACTTAATTATGACTAAATTTTTTCCTACTTTCATTCTGTGAGCATTGCAGTTTTTTTTATTTATTAGAATTTACGAGACGTATCCAGAAAGTAAGTTTCCCTATTTTTTTTTAAAAAAAGATCTCATACTTTCAGGAACATATTTTTTGGCAACAAGTACAGCAATGTTTCAGCTATTTTTCAACATAGCAACATAGAATTGAGACACTTGTCGTATCATGAGTTCAACTTTTGTATCCCTCTGCCGTAGAACTCTGCCGCCTGTGAATGGAACCACGTCATGAAACAGTAAGCGCTGACCGTTACTGTGAAACACTGCGGAAATTGTGACGTGCCATTCAAAACAAGAGGCGTGGAATGCTTACTGCAGATGTTGTGCTCCTCCATGACAATGCTCTTTCACATACAGATCGACTAGGAGGTGATGGCTCGTCGCACAGCAGCTGTTTTGACGAAATTTGGCTCGGAGTTGTTTGATCATCCACCCTACAGCCCACTCCCAGCGATTTTCATGTTTTCTTGCACCTCAAGAAATTCCTGTCCTCCGGTGAGCGTTTTGGCAACGACGAAGAGCTGGTTCCATTTACAGGCGGCAGAGTTCTACGACAGAGGGATACAAAAATTGATCCCACGATATGACAAGTGTCTCAGTTCTGGTGGTAGCTATGTTGAAAAATAGCTGAAACATTGCTGTACTTGTTGCCAATAAATATGTTCCTGAAAGTATGAGTTCTTTTTTTAAAAAAAAGAAAATAGGGAAACTTACTTTCTTTATGCGCCTCGTAATTCTAAAATGAATTTTCGTATTACATGATATGATAAAAAAAAACGTTTTTTTTCAATGTTTATTTATTTTGATAAATCTATTGTAAATATAATAAAAATAGCAATTTTTTTTTTTTTTTTGTAAAAAAATAAGTATAAGTTTTTTTATTTTTGAATGAATTCTTAAAATGGAACACCTTTTAATTTTTTGCAAATATATTATTAAGTTTATTGATAAAAAAAATAGAACGCTAATGTTTAAATTAACATTACTACATTTGTCATTAACATGGCTCAATACATGTGCGGCCCTTCATTTGCCAACCTGCTGTGCAAGTGGCCCTGCACTCAAAAAGGTTGTGCACCCCTAGTCTAAAGTATAGAAAACTGTTACTGTGCTTTGGAAACTTGAACTTTACCAAAGAAATAAGAAGCCAATTGGAAAAGAAAAAAAGATCTTGCAAACAGTTTTTGGCAGAATCAAAGAAGGTAATGGCTAAAAACGAAGAACAAATACATATATTTACAAAATTTGTACTGACATTATTGTAATAAAATTTATAAAGTTAAACAGAATGAGATTAGTTGGGCATATTTGTCATTTAAATATAAATAGCCCAACACTTGAACTAGCTAAACAAAAAACTATTTGTAGCAGACCTGGAGGACATTCAAAACTTTGATAGCCATACTCCATTAATACGGATTTTTAAATAATCAGGGTATTCAACTGGCAAGACAAGAAGGAGAACGACATGGTTGAAGAAATATTCTATAGATTAACAATGCCTATTCTATGCCAATGATGACTGATTTTAATTTATTTAATTTGTAGGATGCTTCGTAATGATCGCTTTTAATAGATTTCTCATGGAAACCTTGTAAAATTTATATGTGAGGAAAAAAATTTAACTTTGACCAATCATTTTTTAGATGAATGATAGAAAAGCAGATTTATAATGTAAAACGAACACATTCCAATCTTGCAAGATAAATTTTTTATTTTTTAATAATTTTAAAAATTGAGTATGATTGTGGATGTTGCTTTCAGGAAGTGGATGTGTGGAATCCTCCTCTAATTCACACATTTCTTGAATCTTCTAAATATGATGCCTTAACTACATGGCCTTTTCATAACTATGCACTAGACGAACACTTAGTTTACAAACCATCGTGGTCAACAAAAGCTCCTCTTCAAGATGATCACATAGAAAATCATCATGCCTCTTCATATAAGTGAGTTCATTTCTTCTTTGTGTGTGCATTTGTCAAAATTGAAGAATCTTTTGTGCCTCAATAATTTGAAGTTATAAGCTTGTATGTTCTTAATTTTGTCCCAAAGGATGAATGTGATATTGTGTCACGTATACTCCACTTAGAATAAACCCTGATGTATAAATGAAGGATTATTCAGAAATAAATGACTAAATCAGCAGATTCTTACAAAATAGAATCTTTTATACTTTATTCTGTTTTCAAGTAATTGCCATTTATCTTGTAGCATGCGAAGTTAAATTTGAAAAACATGCATGCTAATGTGAAATCCCACACAATTAAGGATTGTCGTGTGTGGGATTTCACAATCAACAGATTCTGACTTCTGCAAATTATTGTAACTTTAATTTATACATGGTTTGTGGAGACTCTTAAAATTTTCAGCTTTATGCTCCGACTTTCTTGTCTACTATGACTCTCTGAATTGCAAACTTATATGCTAATCAAAGTAGTTTTTAATTTAATTTTTTGGAAGATACTACTTATTGTTCTTAATCATTATTATTTTTTTCAGTCACTCACCTGTGCCATACGATGACCAAAACAGCAACTTTTACTCTCAAGAAAACACTTATGACTCTCGTTTAATCTTACCAAATTGTGAAGCCGTCTCTCCGGCCTCTAGCACACCCTCTTACCTCAACAGAAACCTCCACTCTATAGGCCCCAACTCTGCCATTGAAGTACACCCCTTGATTGTCAACATCCTGCTGTCAGATTCACTGCTCAACGTATACAAGGATCATAATTTTGATTCTTGTTGCCTTTGCGTGTGTAACATGAACATCCGAGGCTCGGACGCCGGCATCAACTTGCCCAACACGCTGATACCGACGTGGAATGACGAACCACAATACAAGTGTACGTGTGCTTTTAGTGCTGTCATTCACCGCCATAAGAGTTCCGATTCGGGACTATTTTACGAGGACGAGTTGGAAGTGACCGGTTCGGCCTCGGACAGCGTGGAGTACTCGTCTGTGACTCGAGGTCACGACAGGGAGTCCCGTGGTGGACGTTCTCACTTGGAGAGTATGTCTCCATTTATTATAGACCTTCTCCAGATTCAATGCAAATCATTTACTTCTGCATTCAGCCTGTTCCACAAGTTCAATTTGTCTGAGAAAAAGGAAGCTCCCAGCAGAAACAATATAGAGCTTCTAGATGGATGTGAAGTGTGTTTCCTTGCTTTGGAAGAAGCTAAGATGTATGTAGAGAATAACATGTTGCCATGTAAGCTTGATGAAAGTATGAAGTACTCTTGCCTACACAAGTGGCCTTATAAGTCTAGTGAGTAGTTTAATTAAATCTCACCAGTTAAATGAGTTTTTTAATTTTATGTGACTACAAAAGATTTTCAGTTCATTTTAGTATATTTATTCTATGTAATTTTTATCTAAGTTAGTTTCTTATCTGAGACCAAAATCATTGTTCTCCCTAAGCATCTGCATAGATGCCAACTTGCTCCGCTTTACAAACTAGTATTTTCTAGCGGTAACGAAATTTAAGTTATTTTTAGTTTAGTATTTTTAATTTATTATTCCACCACTAAATATAAAAAATTATAAGAATCATATACAGGGTTGCCACAGGCGACTAAAATGCAACTATTAGCAACTATTTTTGGCATAGGGCGACTATGGCAACTTTTTTTGCCTGAAAAGGCTAAAAAAGCAACTATTTTCAAGAAAAGGAGACTATTGGGAGTATTGTACTCCTAGAGATGTTTTTTTTTTTCAAGCATAAATTGGTGAAAAATCTGCGCCCCGCTATATAGTTCCTAAACACACTGAACGTTTTTTTTTTCTTAAAAAATAAAAAATGTTAAATATTTTGAATTGCAAATTTGAGTCTTCACTTTTTATTTCGTTCAATCTGCAGAAATTCCATTGTAAGTCTATTTCATTTCTTGATCACCTTTTAAATAATTATTGCTAAAAAATTATGCATAATTTTTTTAATTTTTAAAAAAAAAAAATTTTTTTTAACGGTATAATATATATATATATATAAACATTTATATGAAAATTATCATATTTGCCACCTACTTGACTGAATGGATGATGGTATATGACATTTAAGTCATTAACAAAATTTTAGTCATATTTTTGATGAATTTTTGTTCTACTATTTTCCTAGCAATATTTTCCTAGTTTTTGGCTACTATTTTAATGCTTTAGGCTACTAAAAGCAACTATTTTGTTAATTTTTTTTCTGTGGCAACCCTGCATATAGCATGCAACCTAAAAGCATTAACTATTTGGTTACTGCTTTTTAATGTAAGCGTAACTATGTTTATTTTGCAAGTTATACTATTTAATTCGCTACCAATTTATTAAAACTTTTCCAGAGAGGGGAGCAGTTGGCATCCCTGCATCTGTCCCACCTGCCCTTTTTCGTAAAATTAAGCTGCCACCCCTTAAGAGCGCTGTCTTTTTATTTTATTTTTTCATGAGAAGGTTGTTTTTTTAACTGCCCGTTTTAATAAAAAGCCTGTTTCAGATTTATTTTTTTAGTTATTGATAATTATTTTACTTTAATTTTATTCCTTTATTTTAGTTAAATTTTCCTTATGTTGTCTAGTTTTATAGTTAAAATTTGCATGATGTTCGGCCCCTGAGATAATTCACATTTTCTGTGATTTAAAATTTTACTATTATTTTTTTGAATTAATACTTTTAAATTTTTTACCTTTAAATGTTTTTTTTCCTTCATAATTTTCAGTTTAAAATAAATTTTAAAAGAATCTTTCAAAATGTTTATCAATTAATCCTTTTTTTTAATTTAACTTTTTTGTTGAAGATTTAAACACAGAGATTTTTTTCAGCTTGCCTTTAGTTATTTTTCAAAAGTTAAATTTTTCTGTTATTTGGATAATGAGTTAGGATTACTGTGCTAAATATGCACATAAAAAAGTAAAAGAGGGTAATTTCAAAGTTGAGGATCAAATTCAATTATTACATAATATTTCACATTTTGATAAATTTCAGTGGTAGTGAGTGCCCTTTAAAAACTTATGTGTCCTTTTCTGTGAGGAAAGTGCCCTGATCTTTTTTATTCCTAGGGAGAACTCTGCAACCTGTTATTATATAAAAATCAACTCAAAAATGTATGTGTCTTGTTGTTATTTAAATGTAATTATTATTTAATTTAATTTGCCGACATCCTTATTTGTAACTATATATTGTATTAAATGTTATACCAGAGCTTATCTACATGGATCGAACATTGCTTTCTTTATCTTAAAGTCATTTGCAAACTTCCTGAAAAGATTATCATACATAAATGAAGTTGTGTGTGAAATTGTAGGTCCTTTACCCCATTCAAGTCATGAAATGATGCTCCACTTGGACAGTTTGAAGCCACTCCTACAGTTAGCTGTCCACAAGAAAAACAATCAACGTCTATGGGATGTGACGTACGTTGTGTCTGGCCCTCTCACATGGAGAGAATTCCACAGATTAGCTGCACGAGGTATATTTCTCTCTCTCTTGTTAAAATACTCAATGCATTTCAACATTTTATGACTCCCAAGTAATTACAAATGTTCTGCAGCCATTGCAAAAAATTAACAACTCTATACAGTTAAATGACTAAAATTTTATTAAAATGTGCAATAATTAAATTTGGTATCTAGAAATGGAAGGGAAAAAAAACATCTTTTGTAAGTTACATATCAAATCTTGTATAAATGCTTACATAATTCAAGGCACACTTTCGGCCGAACACTCATTCAAGAATAAATGAAATGAATGTTTTTAATCAAGGTCTTACTTTTGAGCGAGCAGAAAAAATAGCCTTTTTAAATCAGTTATCTTTAGATGGTTCTTTCTTACTATTATGTCTGTTGCATTTTGATTAATATTGTTTTTGTTTCTCAGGTACTGAAGATCAGTGTGAGCCCCAACCAATTCCATCTCTGCTTATGGGTTATGCAGGAGAACAAATAGCCCTTTCACCCTTTGCATGTAATTATTGGGTAAGTATTACTCTTTCACTCAGCTTTTAACTGTAGTTAGTAAAACACAGAGTTGACATTTAAATCACCTGATTTTTTTGAAAAACAAAATTAATAATTTAAACCAAATAAAATTTTTTCTCCAAAATATTACTGTTAAGTTTATAACATTTATTACATTCTTCTCTTCAAAACATGACATAATAATAGTTTGCCCAATAGTTCATATCATGTTCTTTCCTGAATTTTTCAATTCTTTTGTTGTATGGATCATTTATACAGTGGAAAGTTCTATATCCGGAATCGTCAGAACTTTAGCAAGTATGGGGAATAGATTTTTCTGAATAACAGGTCGTTGAGGTAAACACATGTCAAAACATCCAGATTCATTAAAAATAACCAATAGATAATTAACATCAATTTCATTCAGCAACATATAAATTCATGCTGTTTGAAATTTGCTATTTTGGTAGCTATTGTTACAGATTTCTACATGGTTTTTAAAATCTCGATTTCTAACATGCCGTGAAATTCAAACTGCACATTTTGGTTAATCATTGCTTGACCTACTCGATTAGTGACGATTCTACCTTGAATCCGCATGGTTTTGTCGCGAAATGAATTTTCATATGATTTTTAAAATCTCAATGTTTTAATACCTGATTATTCAACTTTGCGAACTTCAAATTGCACATTTTAGAATCACTTTTTTACATGCATTGAATTCACATCAAACTGAAATTGAAAGTCGGGAAAAAATCATCAATGCGGAAAAGCAGAGGATTCTCATCCTTGCACTGCTTTTTTTTTTTAAGAGATCACATACAGGAAGAAAAATAATTTGAGAAAGGAAGAGGGTTTTGTTCATTTCGATTGTTGAAAAGTGTTTGAATGATAGACCCTTCCGTTAAACAGAAGTCCGAATATGAGACTTTGCTCTATAGATATTTTTTTAGTATGATAAAATAATCTTTTTCTTATTATTTTCATTTCAGCACAAATTGAAACTGGAACCACACTCTATGCAAAGAGATGTGGCCTATATTGTTGTGGCACCCGAGCACGAATCTAAGCTCATGCTTATCAAAAGCTTCTTCCAGGAGCTGCGTTGTGCTTACGAATCTCACAATCTGGGAAAACACAGGCCAATTACTCAAGCGCTCAGGGATGGCATCATGCGTGTGGGGAAAGTGGCAGTCTCTAAAGTGGCAGAGGAACCCATCAGCAATTGGTTCAACCTACTGGAAAACACTGATATTGCAAACAAACTGAAAATATATGCTCGTGTTTGCAAACACAGATTAGGTAAATTCCTTCGTCGTATAGGTAAATGATTTTGTGTGTATATTAAAACACTTTAAGTAGAATTGTAATCAATGCTTTTATTAAAAATGCATTTAAAGTGTTTGTGGATGACTATGAAGTCCTGGGGAAAAGAAAGCCTATTACTTATAATGTATCAGCAGTTCAGGGGTTGGAATGCTCGCCTCCCAATGAAGCGCCCCAGATTCAAATCCTAGCTGCGGCCCATCATCACAAATTCCTCACCCCACTCCTACCGACCACAGTGCTGGCGTAAAATATCTATAGTAGTTGATGGATCCTGGGTTAAAGTCCCTTTGTCATCAAGCTTGCTGTGGGAGGTTTTTGTGGTTTTATTCTCCATGTAACCCAAATGCGGGCTAGTTCCATCAAATAAATTTCTCCCATTGCTTGATCCAAGACTTCCTTTGTCTTCTGGATTGGATTCACAATTAGAAGGCTATGTAGTTGAACTTTGTTAGTTGTAAACTCAAAATTGGGTCGGCTGCTCCCCGATGGTTTTAAAATAAAATAAAACGTAACTGCAATATTGCAAAAGAGGAAATATTTCCAAGAGTGTTCGTTGTTGAACTAACTTAGGTCATTAAGAATTGGTATGCACTAAAAGTATACAAACCCCTCTCAAGTTATTTTTTTGCAATATTGCTACTTTAGATTCGTTTTCAAAAGTGTTAACTCTAAATTTGTGAGTCATAATAACATTGCATTAAAAGCATCCAAATTTGAGAGGCCTGTATGAATGACGGAAAAATAGTTGACACTGCTACAAAAACGGCAGGGATTTTCAAAGGGATCGTCACAAAGTGGTTACTCAAATTCACATTATAATTGGCTGAATTTGGGGGGAAAAGCATAAAAATGCCTTAAAAAGATGATAAATAAACCACTAGAAAAACAATCAAAAATTGAAAACTGAATTGTTGCAAATTGAGCTCATCAAAAAGTGATTAATCAAATTTAAAATTATGTGTCATACTGTATTAAATGTATCAGAAGTTCAGAAAATTAGATAAAAATTGCAACAAAAAAAACATCATGAAGCTAATTGGTTTTTTGAGAGAATTGCTAGAATTAGATTTTTACTATTTGGTATTATAGATATTTATTATTTTTTTAAGCATATCATTCTCATAATCAGTATTGAAAGGCATGCGAGATGAGAATTTTTATTATAAAAAAGTTTAATGGGCGATATTCTCAAAAAACTAGATTTTTTTTTGTGACTAATTTAAAGGATAAAAAGAATTTAGATGACAGAGTGAAGAAAACGAAGCTTTTTCAAACTTGTTGAATAAGCAGAAAATGTACAGATTTATTATTTGAAAAGCTATAAGGGTGTGAAAACTGGTTTAAATGAAACTGAATGTTTTCTCTGTGTTTCTTTAAACCCACAGTCAAGATAAAATGAAACTAGCTGAAAAACGGAAGGAAAATTAAAAACTGTTTTCAGTCTCTCAAACAGAATATAAGAACTTTATTTTGCTATAATGTACAATTAAATGTATTCTTATGCAAATAATTGTAGATTTTTTTTTTTTTTTTTTTTTTTTTTTTTTTTTTTTTTTTTTTTNTTTTTTTTTTTTTTTTTTTTTGATGGGAGAATGTATTTAATGTATAAATGAATGTATAAATTTTTTGATTGAACATTTATCCCTATTACCCATTAAACAGTTTGATTTGACATGATGTATTTCAAGAACAACCATTATCTTGTTTGCTTGATTGATTCCTCTATCCTACTCAACTTTCAGTAACCTTTGTTGTTTAGAAATAACTTGAGCCTAATTTTTATTTTTTAGCTCCCCACCTTGGGCAACTCTCGCTTGATGATTCTCTCTTCAAACATGTTGTATCCGATTCATCAGACAGTTACACCTTTCCACAATCTTCATATTACTCGGACACTTGTGATCCTTCTGGAACTCCCAAATACTCAGATGCTGGTAGCTATTCCTCTATTCAGTGTATATATTCAATAGAACTGAGCGATGTTTCTTTTCTCCAAAAGCGTCATATCTCAATATTTCGTTACATTAATGTTTTATTTTTGCTAGTGCATTATTTTGAAATCTTCCTCTTTTTGAGCACTTTTAATTGAATGATTGATTAAGACAATCATATTCTTGTAATAAACTCAAATTCTTGGTTACCTAGCAAATTAAGTGTCAAAAAATGCTATAAATTTGTCTAGTTACCAAAAAAATTTGTATTTTTTTTAAATGGATGAATCATATCAATAACATGATACATCAGGGACGTAACGTACAACACATTGAAAAAACTACCTGAGCAAAAGGAAGGATTTGGCAGAAATTAGCCTACTACAGAATGTCTTTAATTAATAATTATAACTTTCAAATCAAAATTGAAACGCACATTGAGAAAACATTTATAAGAACCTTCATAAACAGAAATATTTAAAACTTGCTGAAACTTGACGTAAGATTGAAAACTTAAGCTTCGAAAGGCATTTCTATCTTTGGAATTACCCATGATCATAAATTTAGTACATTACTATCAATAATTAAAAAGAAGAAATGTATTAAAAAGTAGAATAAATCACGGAATAAACAGAAAACATTAAAAGTTTGCAAATACTTGATTGCAATTATTTATGAACATTGTATTTTTTATGTTTTCTAACAATGTTGTTTATTATTTCTCAGTCATTAAAGACTTAAATGTCTTTGCAATATCCGGTTAAAATATGATTAACTGCTGCATTAATGGTAAAAAAATTATCAGACACTTTGCACAGTTAAAAAAATTAACATTTTGTTAATTAGGAGATTCAAGGACACTTCTATTCACGTTTGAAATAATTGTGTTAGCAAATCTCTACTGGATAAGTCACAATAAAAGAAACATGGGAAAAGATAATTGGCGCGGTAATCACTGTTCATTTACGATCGTAGAAAAATACTCTTAGTATGAACTTGTGGTTATTGATGTCTGATCGGGAGAATCGCTCTTCATCCATGAAGCCAGTGGTGTGTTAGTGCTTTGCTGGCCTCACGCACTGAGACCATAGGTGCATTATCAGGAACAACGCTCTCTGTCGCACATGTCGACAATTCGTCAGGAAACAGCGTAAACATTGTAGGTACATTATAATTTTCGTTGTTTAAAAAGAATCCCTATCCGATGATTACACAAAGTCATTTATATGCATTAATGTACTATGCCCAGTTCTAGTATTGCCAGTAACTCATCAGCAGTGAAGATAATAATCAGAATAAAAATGATTTATAAACTGAACTTCAAATACATATTTATTAAAAAATAATCTTCATTATTAGTAGTTGAAAGAGAAAATTGAATGAGTATCTTAATACATTTTTATATTTGCTTGATGCAAGTGATCAGCTATAATTAAGAACCTTGTTTGTTTAAATTTAACTTTACTGTTCTTTGACATGTCTATCAGTTAGAAAAATTATTATTGTGAATATCATAAAGGGTTAGAAAAGATGGATAAATCATATTTCAGACTCTCTTTTAGTAAAAAAGAATCCAGAAATATGGAAGTCCAGATTCCTAAGGACCCATAATTTCATAAGTATAGAATCACTAGAATTGCAAATGTGTCTTTCTTTTCTTTATGTTTAGAAATGTTTTTGAGTCAATTACATTATAATTTAAAAATTTTTTTTTTTGTTTTTGTAATTAATAATTTTTCTTTCATTCTTTTCAACCTTCTGATTTTTAGGTTTAAAACTTTATATTTAAAGCACTTGCTTTCATACAGAATATTTATTTGGATAAAAAATCATAGATTTTGGCCATGGTCAAAGTGTATATAAAGCTATGATTTTTTGTAAAATATGATCTAAAGAGGAAGAAATAATTAGATTTTGAACTTAAATTGCTCTACAAAACGATAGATGTTAACTTTCAGCTATTTAGACAACCTATAAATCACTTCTATAAAATAATGTAAAATCTCCAACTGTTTTACAATGAAAAAAAAAAACCTTTTTTAAAATTTGTCACAAATAAAATCATTTTCTAAAAAAAAGGAAATTTTTCTCACTATTATAACAGTTTTTATGTTTGAAATGTTTCTACACTAGTTTGTTATTTGTGCAAAATTTAGAAGCCATTTTTAACACATTACAAGTAAGAGATTGGGGGGTGATGTCTAGAAAAGACCAATCTCAATTATGTTTTAGATATGTATAATGTATGGGAACACTGTTTGTGAAATTTTTTTTCAGTTTTACTCATGATAAAAAAAATGATGATTCTTTTAAAATGATTATTAAATGTTAATTATAATTATTATTAGTAGAAATGTTTATGAAGTGTTTGTATGGAAATGTTTCTGAGTAATTACTTAACTCAATACACAATAACTAGTCTTATATCTTCATAAAAACTATTAAATTTATCAAAATATATGCTGATATCTATCAGTGTAAAGTTATATAAAAGCTAAAGTACTTTAAAAAAAGTATCAGTTATTTTCAAAAACATTCCTTCAAAATTAAGTTACAAAAGAGTAATTACGTGATAACAAAAGAAAAAAGGACTACTTCCATATATTATTATACAAAATTTAAATGCTGAGTTCTCCCTTTATTTTTACATTTGATAAAAATAGACTTAAATTTTTTCTCCCATAATTTAAGGGCAATTTATGACTTAGAGGGAATTTTCCCATCAATTAATACTTTTGCTAATGTCTGTATTTAAAGTGTTTAAAAAACATCAAAATTTGGATAATTTCTGTTCATTTAGATACTTTGTTTAAACCTTGCAATTCATTTTCTCAGTTATTTTTAATATTTTAGTACTATATTGTGATAATTTATTTTCTATTTTAATAATTATTCAGTTTCATATATTATACATTAAAATATAGCGCTGAATTATAAATTTTATTGTTAACAAATTATTCTGATACCAAAACGGTGTTTCCACAACTAAGACAATTCAATTATTGTGTAAAAAAATATGAAATATTTTTCAGGATTTTGTGAATTTCAGTTATTAAAAGCATTTGAGAAAATAATTAAATGATTAATTGTACGAAATTCAGTTATATAAAGATGTATAATTTAATATATACGGGGAAAAATTTAAAGCAATATAAGGAAAATAAATGTCAAGTCTTTGAAAATCAACTATTAAAAAGGCACAAAAAATTATCCTGCCTTGTTTTGATACCTTGCTGGACTAAATGTTTTAAAAGTGCAGTATACCTAATAGAAATAGAATATTTCTTCTTAATATCAAAAATTTGTTTATTCCATGCAAATGTTGCCTATATTAAAATTGTATTGCTAATCTTTTTGCCATTTTCAGAACATTCAACTCCAGAATCTCAAAGCAAGAGCCAAGATCACATGACTGGTGAGAGTCACGAAGTACCTGCTATTGTTATCTACATGGTCGATCCTTTCCTTAAAGAATCTGACCCTGAAGTGCAAAAAATGATCACTCTCGGATTGGTGCAATCCTATGCTGACATGCTCTCTGTACTCCCAGAAGAAATAAAGAATGCTATGCATTTACAGGTGAGCTGCTTTTGACATAAATTGTTATTGTTTCAGTGATGAAAATATTGTTTCAAAACACATTTTTTTGCATCAAATTTATTTGAAATTGCCTTAGTAAATTTTCTTTAAAGAGTGGGATACCTGGTTAATTAAAAATTTCCATGTACAATTATTTAATCACGATGCTACATTATTATATTATAATGTAGTAGATTAATGTTACGTAGAGTACAATTGTAATATAAAATTATAATTTTTCGTTGAAAAGTTAGATATTTGGTTAACATAGTTATTGATTAATGCATGCACAATTATTTAATTATGATGCTACATTATTAAATTATAATGTAGTAGATTAATGTTACGTAATGTGCAGTTGTAATATAGAATTATAATTTTTCTTTTAAAAGTGAGATATTCGGTTAATATAGTCCCTGATTAATATATTTTCAGATTTAGATTCTTGCTGCAAATGACTTAAAATGTACTAAACTGTTTTATTAAAAGTACAGAAATGACTGCACTTAGTTGTTCCCAGTACTAATCTCTTTAAAACAACAACATAAGTTTAAAACTTTGGGGATTTAAAATATTTTGACAATCCAAGGCTACTCAAAAATGGAACATTTTTCGTGTATGGTGAAATAAAAGTTTTTCTTAAAAATTCTTATTTTTGATACAAAAGTAGGAGTAGATAAATTTTATTCAACTTATAACATTGTTGAATCATTTACACTGCAGTTAAAATATTTCTTATTATAAATTCAATTGGAGTAATATTGCTACATTGAAATAACTTTAAAAGTAGGAAATTAGTATTCTAATGCAGTCCAACCCCGCCATATTGAACATGGGGTGTAGTGAACATTCGGTTATAGTTAAAATTTTTAAGAATATCCTCTGAACTTTCATTTAACTAATGTTATTTTGTGTGCTTGAAGTGGGAATAGTAATTCATTTATAGTGGACTCATTTCCTCATATTTTTTTGTTTTCTTCAACTTTATATTGGCAGAAGCAAATTACACATATTAATAAGCAACTCATCCCTCTTCTTACCCACCCCCTCACCATATTGAAACAAGAAGAGATTTTGACAACTTTTATCTTAGACAGCGAGATAGACATTAATGGTTTTGATTTTTTTTCCTGGGATAAATGAGGACTTGAAAATAGCGGATTTTTTACAAATTGTTGATACGAAAATTAGTAAACTCTTCATAAATCGAAGTGTAATCAATCGTAGGGTTCTAATTTCTTTCTTAGAATATAAAAACTTATTGAAGCATTTTTCACATTTGATTTATTTATTTATACATCTAATTAGTTAATAATTTCTGAACAAATTATGTACTATTGTAGTAACTATTTCCTACAATATTGTTATATGCTGAAAAGTACTATTTCAAAGTATTGTAGTGAACTACTATTTATGAAGGACTTAATTCTGGGTTCCTGGTTTTCCTCTCCATCTAATGCAAATGTGAGCTAGTTCCATCAAAAAGTCATCCACGGAGGCAAAATTTCTTCCAATACTTAGTTCACTATAATGGATTTCGACTGTAGTAAAAATTACTTTCCTAAGCTACTTTGAATCTGTTTGCATAATTTGAATCATGTTAACATTGTTTCTCTTTCTGTGTTTTATTCAACATTGTGTGTACTTGTAAAATAACTTATATGTTAAAATATTTACAGCTTATTGATTTGAACTCCATTGTGGCAAGGACAGAGAAATGTAAGTGGAAGGATCAGATAAAGAATCTTGCCTTCTCTGTTTACTCCCAAACCTTTGAAACTTCCCCACAGCGACCCAACGTTAAATCCTTAACTGGATTTGGACCTGCTGCTGCAAGGGATGCCTTCTTGAACAAAAATGTAACACCCTTTCTTTCTCTCACAATTAATTTTTGATTTATTTATTTAATCGTTACGTGTAACGCTCTGTTGATGGACGATATCAATTGCACTAATCTACAAATGTTCTTTGTTTATATGAATATGTAGTCTGTCAACAGGGGGGGGGGGGTTGTNACAGGGGGGGGGGGGAGTTGTCGAATGCAACGTCTGTCACAGATTAGAGTTTTTATTTATTTTAAATTACAGGCAATTATAATTATAAAGTGTTGGCATTGTCCTTTTCATTATCAATTACAGGTTAATCAAGTACAGGTTTAAATAGAACTATCACCCATGATTCTATGCTGATTTCTGTTGATACCATTCTTTATATTCATAGTCATACTAAGTTTTTAAGATCTTTTGAAGTTCATCATGCATTTTGCACAGTATCATATTTCTCATTAAAAATATGTTTGAGTCATTGTGACCATCACTGAAGCTTTAATTTATCTAAAGTTATCACTGTCCTCCAGCATATTTCTAATGGTCATTGTGTGTTGTAATCACTATATTTTTATTTTCATGCTTTTAGACGAAGGGATCCATGGAAACCATTTATATAGGGTTCGTACGCAACAGGTATCCTGGGAATTGTCAGAGAAAAGAAGATTCAACAAAAAAGTATGGGGAAAACGTAATTTAACCCCAAAACCTGGAATTATCAGGGAATTTTTCATCCTATCGAATTCATCCCCTTGCAAGAAACATGACATTTCATACTTGTTGTGGTTGCACATTATAATATTCACAAAAATATTAAAGTTAATTGACAAACCAGTGATCAATTGGTGGAATATTGAGATTCTTTTATGCTTTAAAAATTTCTGAAGAGATTGCAATTGATTTTTATCATACTTTATGAATGAAGTTTTCGGTACAGTGGCAGAGCCAAACATACCAACTCTTTTGCAATTTCTGGTTGTATCTTCTGCCCTCCAAAATCAAGTTGAAAATCTTCTTTGAATTTCAGTTGATTTTCCAATCAAATGCCTTGGATAAACATAAAATGCCTTTTTTTCCCCCCAAAATTTTTTTGCTTTCCTTTTGCTCTATATTTTTGTGCTGAAGACATGGACCCATTACTATCCGAGCACTGTTAAGCTGATGATGGTAGTGCACTGTTTTATTTTTATAGATTAGTACCACAATTCTTGAACTTGGGGATGGTTCCATAATCAAGTTTTTCATCTGAACTTAAGAGAGTCAACGACAGAGCATCGTCACTTATCTCTCTTTATCTCCTCTTTTGCTTAAGTACAGAGAAAATTTTATTGAAATTCTAAATTAGCAATATTAAATCTGAAGATCTGTCTACTAATTGCCCAAAGTATTTGAGACTTATCCATCGATTCTGATTTGTGGTTTTTGAGTCCTGAGTTGCTTTATGAAAAAAATTCAATAGAGATTTTAATGAAGTACAAATTAGAGTCTTGCACTTATCTAATATTTCAAGTATGTATAGTAGCAAATCATTTAAATTTGTCTTTACAAGAAATTTAATTGCCTAATATCCTTATGTTATTCCATAACAATTGATATTGAGAATTCGCTGATCACAAAATAATCAAAATAGTGAATTGAAGCGTGGTACCATATTCGAATCTACTTTTGACAAAAAAAGTTTTTTAGTTATTCTCTTTTTTTTTCCAAAATTATTAAAATTCTTTTTTTTAATTATTTGACTAAAGAAATACAGGGTGTTCCAAAATTATCTTTACAACTTCAAAAATTCATAACTTCGAACATAAACTAGATATTTATATTCTGTTTTTTGCATGTATTACTGCAACTAATAAAGTTTTTTTTCAATAGGCTGAAAAGTTATAAGTGAGGATGTGGACACCACAACAGAAAGCTCAATGCGTCTCATGGTTCATAGAGACGAAATCAGATACACAAGTTCAACGGAACTTCAGGACAAATTTCCCAAGAGACTCACCATCCAGACCCTCCATCCGTGCATGGCACACAAGCTTCATGAGCACCGGATCAGTATTGCATAAAAGTGGAGCCGGACGACCCAGCACAAGTCCAGAAAATGTGGAGCGAATACGGCCGTGAGACGCATTGAGCTTTCTGTTGTGGTGTCCACATCCTCACTTAAAACTTTTCAGCCTATTGAAAAAAAAACTTTATTAGTTGCAGTAATACATGCAAAAGACAGAATATAAATATCTTGTTTATGTTCGAAGTTATGAATTTTTGAAGTTGTAAAGATAATTTTGGAACACCCTGTATATTAATTTTTAAATCAGTTGGATATTTTTTTATTCAGAGTTTCTTTTTTTTATGTACATAATAAATTTTCTAGCTTAGTACCTAATTGTTTTTTATTTAAGTGTATGTGACGATTGCATTGAATTAATAGTTCTATACTATAAATTTAACAGTTGCCATTTATTAGTTTACATATGTAACGTGACTTTATGTGTGTCCTCCTTTTCTGTGTTTTTTATAAAACATCCTTAAATGCTTAGTGTTGAAAACAGAGATTTTTGGTTTTAAAGAATACTTAAAAATGATTTTTTAAAGAGCCAATTCTGATAAACCTTTGTGTTTATTGAAACCCAGTACTTTTTACAGAAAAAAAGTAAAATAGTAATCTGAAGTTTTTTGAGCTCATGAGCCCAAAATATTTGCATACCTGTTTTTTGTGAATTCTAAATAGCACTGCTTTTACAGTAATTGTTATGCATTTGAAAATGCTATGTCAGTTTGTTTAAAAACTTGTTGTATTGTAAACTTAGTTTGTTTCTCACTGCTCAAAACTAAAAGCATAACAAATTTTTTTAATTATGGAATTTCGCATCAGTTTTTTAAATCAATTATTATTTTGTATTACAGAAAATCAGATTATTTAAATCACTAGTTTTAATCATCCATATCGTGGTATATATTGAATTTACTTTTTTACTTAATCTTTAAAAGTTTAAATCTTACTATAACCTTTAAAAGTAATTTAACTTACGTAATGTTATGTTTATTTATTTTTTGTATTAAATGTATTTACATTTTTTTAAACAAAATTTAAGTTTAAATTTTTTTAAAAAAGGAATTTAATGTAAATTAACCTTGAAAAGTTGGGGAAGTGAAGGAAAAAATTTCTTCTTTTTGAGTATGTACCCTTTTAACATTAACTTTTAAAAGTTTCTTGAGAAATGATTAAACAAAGCATGATAAACCATTCTCTGGCATGACAAGTTTCAAAAAAAAATTTCTTACTTATTATAAGTTTTGTTATTTTAATATCTATGAAAAATATAATTTGGACTTGTTCAACTGTAGAGAAACAAAATCTAAAACATCTCATTCGGTTTTTAAAATTTTTAATCAGCCTATAAATTTTGATGTCTTATTTTAATATACAAGTATTATAACAATTCTGTATTATCAGGATTTCCATTAACCAAAAAATGTAAGTTTTCTTATTTGATCTAATATTTTAAAACAGAGTGAACTATTTTTAAAAATGTTTTTTTATTTATTCTGGGACTTTATGAGAGAAATAATTTTGAAAGTGTGAAATAAGGTCACAGTTATACATGCCACACTTTGAATTTTAGCCATGTTAGATTTTAGCCACTATTAGAAAACAATCTGGCATTTTAAGCACAAAAAAAGAAGGAAAACAAATTTTGGCAGTGGCATGTGACCTCACCCATACGAACATCAAAATTTATTCTCTTCTTTTTCTTTTCCATACTCTAACACGGTTTGATCACTCAGACTCGCGTTAAAACAAATCTCGGAAGGGTTATGGGTGTGAAACACAACACGTTAATCCTGTGGCTCTGATGAGCTCATCAATAATAGCAAGAATTGTTTTCTTCTTCTCTTTCTTCTCAATGATCATTATTTTCCCACTCCCGAGTACCCTCGCTTGCAGATTCGAGTATAAATTTCCATTCAAACTCCATGTCTTTTCTTCGCCGAATGATTTTTATTTATTTATTTAATTTATTTATTTATTTATTTTTTTGATTTTTGCTATTGTAACATATTTTTTTCGAATCACCAGAATACAAATATTTACTTATTCTCTAGTTATAAATTGGATTTTATTGCACATTCATAGCGGACGTCCATCGTCAATCAAAAACGTGTCTTATCCTGCCTTATTGTAATAAAAAATGTTAGTTAAAAATTAGAAAAATGTACCATTTTGATAGTGGTTTGCATTTGCGCATCAATGTTAGAATATTTTCCAAGCAAATCGATAGTGGTCCACTTCCATTATCAATTTTCAAGCAAATTGATAGTGATCCGCATTCATGTTAAAACATTATTTGTAAAATTTTATTTTTGTTTAAATCCACATTCCTCGCAGAAATTTCCTGTGATGTCAACGGGAAAATGAAATTGCAGGATATGCCATGGTGTATCTGCTGGAAATGAATGTTTATGTGCTCTGAAAGACACGAACATGGTGTAAATATTAAATTAAAAGCAGATAAAAAGGTGAAAAAAACTTTTTAAAGGAATTTTTGCTATTTATTTTTACCCCTTAATTATTTTTTACATATCAGTTCTACATTATCAATTTAGAAAAATATATTAATTATTGTTAAAGTTCAAGAGAAAAATATAATCCAACCATTTCCAGGCAAATCTTAAAATTTTAAATTGCTGCACCAAACTTACAAACCTAGAGATTTTCTTTTTGTAATTGAAAAAATTTTTAAATGCTTAATATCTTTAACCCATAGAACAAAGGGAACTCTCCTCTTATAATTTACAAACAACCCTACATCCTGGCATCATTGAAGGACAAACAGAAGGAGTTGGTAGAGATGTTTGGTGACCGGAGAGAGAATTGTGGCATCCTCTACTGTACATACTGCTTAACCAAAGATAGGAAATATTTGCTCACCTGCTGTACAAACGATAGAGGAGAATTCATGGAGACCAACATAATCAACATTGGAATACCCAACAGGCAAGGAATCAACTTTTATTATTTTTTTGGAATTGCTCCAATCAATTTCATAGTTTATATATTATTATTTAAATTCCAACTTATTAATATAATATTGGAATTTATAGTATTTATACCATCAGATACAATATTGGCAAAAATAATTTTTTTTATATATATATTTTAAGTTCTGGTAAAATTTATTAATAATACTCAATGCCATTTAAAATTACTTTTAATTATTACAAACTAATCACTGAAAAAATTAAATCTTTCATTTCACGCGCAGCAGTTTCATGAATTTGAGAAGACAAAGATACAATTTTTCAGTTTATTTTCAGATGAAAAATAAATTATTTTAGATCAGAAAATTAAACAAATAATAACAGTAATTCTAAATCACTCTTGACTGAACATGTCTTTCTTCATTATTCATATTTAATTAACATAAAACGAAATTGGTATAGTTGAACAATTCTTATTCTGTAGAAAATTGTTTTACTTTTCAGCTATTAAAGAGTTTCATACCATTTTAGTTAATTTGGAACATGTGTCTATTTTGAACATTAAATAATAGTACGTATACATTACCAGCCATTGCTTTTCTGATTAAAACTTTTAATATGCCTGAAATTAGCCTGCAAAAAAATTACAACCTTAATATTCTATTCTGAATTAACCTTTCTTTAAAAAATCAAGTAATATTACTAATGTTTTTTATTATTATTTGCATCATGCCAATCCTGTTCTTATTTCATTTTTGTACTCAGTTGCTCTATAACCAATCAGATACAGTCAATAATTAATGAGTCAGAGGCCATTGAGCCAAAACTATGGTATTTAGAAAAAATATGGAAAAGCCAGAAGTGTAGTTGATGGTGTGGTATTAAAAAATCGCAAATTTTTTGCTCGTTCAATGGTGATAATTGTAGATATCTTGATTAGCGGTAGCCAATGGGTGGCTATTTCATAGAAAACAGCTACCCAAGTATTAAAACCCAGTCACCAAAAGTGCGACCTGGTTATGGTCTAATAAAAAAGAATATACACATTTGCATCGATTCCATCATAAATTCACCCCTTTTTTGATAGTTTTTCTGGCAATTTTTTTACAAATCTCCACGGATTTTGAAATCCAATATTGTTAATACAATAAGACAACTTGCGAATTATCTAATAATTAAAAGTTAATGACTTTTATTTGAAGTGAAATTAATGAGGAAAATTTGAATTCTTAGTAATCGCCATAAATCTGCTGCATATTAATTTGAATTATCAATATTATTTTTATACTAGTTTCATTGACAAAGTTTTCATATTAAAAGTTTTGTTTATTATGTTATGTTAGAAAATTTTTTTTTACAATAATATACAAGATTTATTATTTTTAGTTTCTAATTATTTTTACTTGTTTGCTATTTGCATTATTTAAATGTTGTTTTATTATGCATTTTTTAAAGAAATATAAATTAATATCCAATATATTGTAAAACATAAATTTAATATATTTTAAAAAATTCATTAAAATAAAATGAATTGAATAAAAAAGAAGAATTTGTGGTGTAAACAATCCTGGTGCTGTGCTTACCCTTATCTAAACATATCTACCAAAAGAGCAAAAGTAGCTTACATTTTTTTACTCTGGTAGCCAGTGCTACTATTTTTAATTGCTAGTCTGGAGTTTAATTGCTTGCCTTCTAAGCAAAAATAAATAAAACTTATCCATTCATTCCAATTAGTTTATTTCTGAGCCTTGATAATAGGTGTAAATATTTCCAGAATTTATTTATAATATTTACCAACTTCAAAAATGTCTAGTCTAATTTATATTATTAAGTCTATCATTAAGTCTAATTTATAAAGGAAAAGAAAAGATTAATAAAAAATTAAATATTTTAAATAAATAAATAAAAATTAGCATTTTTTTTCCTTTTATAATGGTGTAGTATCTTGTAAAAATGCTTAACAAAAAAATTATTTTATTCAATTTTAATGGTTTTAGCACTTATTGTGTTTCCATTCTTGGATGCATATTGTCTCACATCTACACAATACTTTGCGACTATCGGTTCTAATAGTTGAGCAGCAGTTATATAATGTCATATACAATAGTGAAAGTATGGAATGCCATTTTGGTAAAGGATTTGGAGGTGAAATGTTGTTATAGTGTTAAATCTTATTTAAAGTGATTAAATCGAAAGCTAAAGCCATCGGACACAGCATTAGTTTGTCATAATAATGTACAAAGAACTTTCAAAAACACATTTTTTCTTCTATTTTTTTTCTTTCTATTTTTCTTTCTAAACAACAATTTGATTGTATATTATATCTCTATACTGACGGGAAGGGTTTATGATGTAAAATACAATTGGTGCTTAATATCTTCCCGAATAACATTTTACGTTCACTCGACGGTCCTATCAGCACTTTTTTAAAGCAGTACACATTTTATTGATAACATTCATTTTCATCTGTTTAGAGTGAGTTTAAAGTGCAAAAGTGATCAGAAAAACTACCTTTTTAGCAATATAACTTTCTTTGTAGCAATGTACAACGGCAACAACTTAATTACAAATATAATTAAGTACAGCTATATTTTTTGAAATGCAGTTAACTGCAAATTAAGAAATAAAAAGACTACATTTATTAAAAACTGTATTTCCCGTTAACTGCATTTAAAAGAGAATTTAAAATGCAGTTAACTGCAAGTATTTTTTTAATGTAGTGATTCTGAAGTACTTACAATACTTCAGAAGATAAATTTTGCTGGAAGATTTAATTTACACATTTGTTCAAAATCAAATGAAGTTGACGTTAGATAGAAAAAAATTAGTTTAGAATGTTAGATTCAATTATAGACATGGGAAATTAAGAAATATCTATTGATGTTCCTTTACACTAGCAAATTCTTTATATCTTTCATGGCAATTATAAAATATTTGTAATACAAAATACCAATTGAGCAAAATATGTTCCTCTTCGTTGAAATAACTTTTAACTTTGAGTGTACAACATTTGTATTTGAGGACATTCATAAGTTATGAGCAAATTGATAAATGAGTTGTCATTTACAACAGATAAAATTTAAAACATTTAGCCATGGAGACATTATCATTGCTGTTAGACTCACTTAACCAGATTCAAAAGAATTCTGTACTAAACCAGGAATCAGTACAAACTACTGTTTTTTCTTTGTATTACTCTACACTAATTGTTTTTTCTTTTAAAAAAAAAGCAATGCATTACTTTACAAAAAGTAGTAACTTCAGTAGTTTCTTAACTCGCAGAGCATTAGTTCCGATCACTGGTTAGATCTGTAAGGAATTCGTGTGTTTTTAGTACTCGTTTTCTAATCAGCTTTATTAGTACTAGTAAAAAGATGGCAGAAAGTATCTTAAGTTTTTTATGTTCTCATCTATTTTGAATTTCTGTAATAAAAGTAAATTCTTTTATTTTTATTTTTTAGGCATCGTAGAAAACAAGCATCCGTTCGAAGATTCGGGCTGCGAAAGCTGCTGGACTTCATCTTAGACCTCATTGCTCCCTCCAACCATCCTTGGCGCATCGTCATTGATCGCTTTGGGCGTTTGGGTCATGGCGAACTGAAAGCTTGGGCGTCTCTTTTGAGTAGAAGATCCCTGCACTCTTACTCTAAGAAACTGCGAGAGCTCTGTCATCAGTGCAGCATCTCAGCAATTGGGGAGACCCCTTCCATCCTCTCAGCATGCCTCGTGTCTTTTGGACCGGATTCGGCTTTGAGGATAGTGTCTGACCAGTTTACCTTTGATGAGCGATTCTGTAACAGCCGTTCTAAAAAGTGTAATCTGAGCACGCCTGAAGATGCCACCTGTACTCACATTCTTGTATTTCCTACGTCTGCCACCACCCAGGTTAGTATTGAAGTGCAATCTTATTTCAGTACAAGCATGACTCAGTTCGACTCCAATTCCTTCTATGTGTGCTCTGATTGGAATTGCTGCTAAACTAGCATCTTTCAGAAACATTTTTCTCAAAACTTGTATAAAAAGGGGGGGAATTTATATTGCTAATGTGCTGTGCTGCATTTTTTTATAAAAAACTTTGCTTCTAGCCATGTAAAATGCAGGTTTCTTTTAATCGCTAAGGAGTTTAAAGTTATTGTACCAAGCTTGTAAAGCTAGTTTATCTCTTTCTGTGAAATAATGCTCATAGAGGAAGCAGGATCTGAGTATTTTGAGTTACTAATTCCTTTGCAGGTTTGAAAGAGGCCTGCATGTTAATCATTATTTCTTGTTTTAAATAGACTAACAATAAAAAAAGGCTAAATGTAGATTAAAGTAAGGAGAAAACTTTAAATTATGAATTTCCATTAGCTATATTTGAAATGCTTTCCTGTTGAATAAACATATTTCAATTTTATCAATTTAGCTTTACGTTTATTTAAATTCATATACTTTTAAAACTTATTTAATATGTAGTCTGTGTGTGTAAATATGAAGAAAGACTTGTTCTGCCAAGAGTAATTTAGAATTATTGATTTATAATTTAATGTTTCCTGATTTAATTTAATTTGCTCTTTTTTTGATAACTAATTGTCAAATTGACTTTTTGTTTTCAATAATTCATGAAACTCTTAAGCTTTAAAAAAAAACAACTATGCTTTTGTTTTTTCAGTGATTAGTTTGTAACAATTATATAATTATTCTCACCATTTTAATTGGAAATATTAATTAGTCATACAATTGTTTTTAAGTTTTTAAATAATATTAAATATTATATTTTATCAATTCTTTAATTGGTATATTCAGCTTCTGTGTGATATAGGGTGAGTAGCAATCAATGAGATAGTTAGAAATTATAATTAATCAGTATACTTTGGACTTTATAGACTTGAAGAAAAATAAAAGGGTCACTGATTTAAATGTAATGTCTTATATAAAAATTAATGAGTATGTCAATACAATTATCATGACCTCAATATTAAGTTCCTAACTCACCCTGGAGTATAAACCCTTTCCTATAGTGATTAGTGCAATTGCAACTGCCTACCAAGACAGAGGTCCTAGGTTTCAAAACCCTAATGCTGGCCTACAAACAAGATCCTTCCACATTGATGACTTTGGATAACAAATGCACAGCTATCTCATTCCTCGACAGATGATTTGCCTTGATTTGACTAACAATTTGCCTGGGTCTACAATGTCAAGGCACAAACTGCACAGCAATGTTGACTTCTTCCATTGTCAGATTGCCTCTCAGTCTCATGAAACGATCACGAATGATGAATTAGATTACTCGATCACAGGTGGGTGTGTGTGTGGTGGCAATTATATAAATAATACTTCCTAACGCACCCGGGTTGGAAGTGTTCACCCTTTTTCTTGATGGTTAAAGCATCTGGCTGCGACCACAAATGTCCTCCATTCAAACTCAATCAGCAGTGAATAAGCAACTCTTTTCAATCATTCACACACTATTCAAAGTGTCACACAATGCTTTACCATATAACAGTTCCTCGCGGCTTAATTTGCAGATGCCGTTAAAATGCTGAAAGTAATCATGTTTAATTTGGATACAGTCAAACTCTTTTTAAGAAGTACAAAAGAGCATCAATATTTACTTGTTACAACAGAATGTTCATAAAAAACAGGGTTGAGAAAACTGATCAATGTTCATATATACTACTAATATCGTATTTATTTATATTTTATTTCTGTGTAGTACAAAATGAATTAATTTGTTTAGTACTGTCTTATTGTCTCTTTGTTGTACTATTGTTCTTCAAATAAGACTGGTGGCTTGAAAACATCTTCAAAAGAAAAGGAAAAAAAAAACAATTTGTTAACTCAAAAAGCATCAAAAGAAAATTTTTCTAAGAAAAAATTTGTTTAGAAAGGTGAAATTAAGTAGAAATTTCACAAAAATATGCTTGATAAAACCAGGGTTTTCCAGTTAAATGCAAAGTGTGCCCCAGTGTTTCCATTTTTTTTTCTTCATAAAAATAAAGCTCATAATAAGCGAGCCCACTATATTCATTAATATAGCATGTGTTGAAACAAAATGAGGGAAATTTCTTCTCAGACAAAGTTGTTGCTTAGCAACCATGGGAAAAATCATAGAAATTTATCAAACTCTGAGTTGCTAAGCGATTGAATTTCCTCTGTTGAGCTGATTACTTCATCCAGTTTCTCTAACCACTGAAGAGTGTTTCCTTAATTGAATGAGAGTTTATAAGACCACTATAGATTTTTAGCAATTTTTTATTTATTTATTTTTGTCGAGTCCATTAAAATGATTTTATGTGTTACCGTGAATGACCGATATCAAGAGAATGTTTACTTTCACCGGTGAATGTCAACAATCACATAGTGGCGTTGGTGAATGTCCGAAATATTTGTTATTTATCGAAATATTGTATTTGTCGATATATTTGTTCGATATTTTAATATCTATGGAGGATAGGTTAGAAGAAACATCAGTGTTCGGAGTACTGGTTAAATGTATACCGGGCACTGAACCTGAAAAAAACATTGTTGCAAGGCAGTGGTACTTAACTAGTATATATTTCAGACATTTACCAAATTGACTGTGATTGTCAACATTCACAAGGAGAAGTCAACAATCACCCATTTCAGTCATTCACAGTGTAAGAAACTGGCCACTAGATGGCGCAGAAAACCTTTTAGGTTTTTTTTTTCTTTCCTGAAGAGAAGAGTTGACAGTAAAAAAGATGGATGGTGGTTTTCTTTGAATGTTGCATCATCGCTAATATTGTTATATGTCTGTGATGTGCATCTATAGCTTTGTGAATAAATGATTTTAAGATGGAAGCTACTAGTCTTTGTGACAAAATTTATTCGTCTTTACAGCAGTAACATATTCATTCTTAAAATGCTTAATGAACTTGAGCCTTCATAAGTCAATATTGTGTGTAGCTATGACAATCAACACACTTACAGTCTATTAAAATGTTTTTTTCTGTTGACTCTTTTTTAAAGATTGGTTTACTTTAAGATTTTATTTTTCTCCATAGTCTTCTCAAGCAACTTTTCAACAAGAGCACATAGATCCGTTGCCTGGTGGCCTTGGTGAGGATCTGTTTGAGGCGCTGGATGATGATGACATAACCACAGGTGACATCAATGACATCTTGATGTGGACGGACAGCCCTCAGAGTGGAGGCAACTCACCCCACCACTCCCAACCATCTAGTCCCGGGATGTCTTTCAAGCTCTCTTCCTCATCCCATACTGGACTGAGCAGAGTGAGCATTTCTTTTACTTGGCAGCGTTTAAATGTATACTAAAATTAAACAAAATAAAATGAATAGTTTTTGGAGATGCCAACTATTATGATATCATTGTCAAGATTAGGCTCTTACGGTTGAGTAATGAATATTAGGGTTTTCGAGAATTTCTGGACTATGCTTAGCATATTTTTTTCTATTTCTCAAGCAATTCGAAAATGATAAATTAAAAAGAAAATTCATCTCTCCAATGAGCTATTTTGAAACTAAAACTTCATTCCTTATGGAGGAGCAAAAGAGCCTAAACTCAAACCTGAAATGCTTTGAACAAAAGTTTTTAGTAGTTCAAATACAGGATGATATCAAGATAATGTGCTAGTTCTAATTTGATGCTATAATTGCTATTTCTAATTTAATTAAAAACTCGAACATTGCTTTCAAGTAGTCAATTTAATTTTATCATTTTATAATGAAGTATAAAATTTCAGCATTGTATAATTTTTAATTTAATATCAAAGTGTTACTTTTTATTTAAAGGTAAGTTCATGCATAATTTTGTTAATATTATAAAACCCATACCTGCCAAGTCTCCTGTTTTTTAACGAAGACTCGTATTTTACGATTACCGCCCGTTTATCTATGTATTATTGAATTCCTCCGTCTTTTTTAAAGAAATTTAAAAGATTTTTTTTAGCAATAAATATCCGTTCATAGCAAAAATACTTCTCTTATTCCTCAACAAATTGCCAGTTTCTTCAGTCCGTGTACTGCCGCTCTGACCAAACCAGATGTAGTGAGAATGCTGTTGTAAGTCATTTATTCAGGGAATTGTTTTTTCTCTGATGGCGAACTTCCTTATTTACCTTCGGGAATCTGGCAATAACTTCATATGTTTGCATTATATTTTTACCTTATAAAAAATATATTATATAAAAAATATATGGTTTATAAAACAATAAATAGTTTATAGAATTATTATATATTATAAATATATTTCAAGTTGTACTAATTTTAATTTCTTAAATATTAGTTGCATATATTTCTGTATTAGTGTGCTTCTGATTACTGATATTTAATTTGGAAAGTTGGCACTTGTGATTTTTAAAATAAACAGAGAGTAAATCCTCCTCCCCAGATTATGAACTTATTTATTTGAACATGACTTTTTTGTCAAAATTTTTAAATTTCTTTTAGTAAAATACCCTGAAAAATCTGAGCTTGTGAAAAACCTAGTTTATAATTGCCAGTATAAACTGTTCTGTTGATTGCATTAAAATGTCTCCTTGTTTTTGTTTTACTTTAAAAAAAAAAATGTAAAATTTCTTCGAAAAATACCTATCTTAATACAATTTATTTTGCTTGTTGCTGTCCTGAGAGTTTAAATGAGTAATGTTAAATAAGTGTAAAGCTGCTAATAAAATTTCACCCATATAAAATGAAAATGTTTCTAATTTCCAGAATTTTTATTTTATTCCTATGTGTTATTCAAGGATGTTAGAGTGAAAAAGAGATTAATAACGCTATATGCAGCAATATTTGATAGTTCAAACTTAGCAACAATCTACTCATTATATATATATATATGATGAAGACATATAGCCCGACCAGCAGAATTTATTTCAAACAATGTAGAATATCCAGTCATGTTATTTTAATTATTTCTTATTTTCAGTAAAAATGTGATAAGTTGCAGTTTTGTCTTTTCACTATTAACAATTCCTGTTTTTTTAATCTAATTTTCAATTAACAATACAGTAATCATATTTTTAAATTGCTAATTAAAGAATCATTCACTAAGTTTTCTTCTCCAGAATTGCTTTGAATTTATTTGATAATGGAAATCGTAAATTTGGTTACAAATTTTACTTACATATTTTTATGAGATGAATATGAGAATATGAACTAATTAATGCTGGATTTTTTTTCTAGTAACAGTTCTATAAATATTTTTTATCCATTGATCTCCAACTGTTGTGTTGTTCAGTGTTTTATTAAGAAAATTATACTGTAAACTGTTAAAATTTTCTGACTAACGACAGTAATTTGGAAATTAAAATTAGTATTTTCCTTTGCAATAAAATTTGGTCTTATTATATTTTAGTCAAGCGAATTATACTTTTTTTTAGTTTGATGTTTGCATTTTGTAAAAAGTTTTCTAGTATATTAATAGTGTACGAATAAATTTCCTGGTTTTTACTTTTGACCACTACTAGGCCTGTTTTTGTTTCTTCCCCAATTAAACATTAATTTGCTACTCTTTCTCTGCATAGTTTAAAAAAAAAAAAAACATTATTTCCAAGGATTCAAAAAATCTATATGTAATCATTTAAATAAATTATTTTAAAATAAATGTGGGAAATTATATGCACAAGTACGAAAAATATAGTACTGCAAGAGCATTGCTGAAGGTCAGTTTCACCGAATCTGCTGTTAAATTTATTTATTTTGCAGTGTGAGAATCTCTTGACCGAGAGCCATGATGAGACTCTACAACTCCTTCAGCAACCTCTAGCCCTTGGATATTACGTGTCCACAGCTAAGACAGGCCCCCTGCCAATTTGGTTTTGGTCGTCATGCCCCCAGCTCCAAAATACATCTCCAATATTCTTAAAAGTAAGTACATATATTTTTAAATCATCTATTGTTTGTTAAAATAACTTGAACTCATTCATGATTCAAAACTTAATTTATGCGTATAGCACATTTAACGGATTTCTGAAGTTACAAACTTCACAATATTCTTATAATTTTATGACAGAAAACCTAATAGGGTTGTTTTATTTTTCTGTTTAAGCGTTGTAGTGAATATGCATATTTTTTGTTTCAGTCTGCCCTTCTTATTAACATCCCTTTCATTCAACAAAGCAATGATGATCTTCTTCACAACAATCCTCAGCAGCAGACCATTTGTCATCCGCTTGACTCAAATTACACTACAGATGTCTTGAGGTAAAATTCTTTTTTTTCTTCTCTTTCTTATCAATGACTCCTGAACACATTTTTCTTGACTTTGCATTTTTTATTAGTTCTTCCGCACACAATAATCAACTTTACTTTCATGTAAAGTTTAATTTAATACTTAAAATTTAAGAGGGTTCTTTTATAAGTGTGCCAGGAGTTTTAGCCAAAGGAACCAATCCTTCTTCTTAATTTGCCGTTTTAAATCTAAAATCTCTTTCAAAAGTTTATTTTATTTTTGTGATCTTAAAATAGTTATAAAAACACAGGTTTCAAAGATGCCGTTAATTGGTAATCAGATAATTGCATGGGTGCTACTCCTCAGTTCTGGGGACTAAAATCAGCTTTGAGAAAAAAATCATGAGACTAAATTTCATCCATTAATCTCTTTTCCATTTGTTCTTTAAATTAAAATGCTTTTTTTTCCCTTAAAAATGTCACTTTGATGTAAATATTACATTTTAATGAAAACATTGTTATTTTTAATAATTATTACAAAGCGATATCGCACCACAATGAAAGAATGGGATGGATTGAGCTTCATCAAATGCTTGCTTAAACAAAATTTATGCTATTGTTGTATTTAAATTTATTTGAGATTTCATTTTTCTCTAGCGTCTTAAAAAGCTGAACAAAATTTAGTTTATTTATTTATAGTGATACAGGGTTGCCACAAACTACTAAAATGCTACTATATTCGGCGTTAAGCGACTATGGCATCTTTTTTTGCCTGAAAAGGCTAAAAAAGCAACTATTTTCAGGAATAGGCGACTATTAGGAGACTTTTTTACTCTAATCGAAGTTTTTTCGCAAAAATGAACGTTACATTTCAGAACGTTAATAAAATAAAGCAAACTTTTATACAATCATTTATGTCCAAAAATTTAAATTTCTATTAGATTTAATAAAGTACTTGTTATATTTTCTCTCTGAGGGGTAGTTTTGTTATTTTTAATTGTTTTTTCCTTCTATTAACATTCATATTTTATTGTAGTTCGACTTCTATTTAGGTCCCTATTTTCTTATATGTAAACCTTTAATATTTGTAAAAAAAAATTTTAAATTGGAGCATAATTAGGACTGGGCGATAAATAGATTTATCACGAAATATCGATGTAACGCATATATCGGTAGGCCGATGTAGTGACTTTCGTTTTAGGCGATGCATCCGAAATCTTATTTAAGTCACTGGAATAAGACTACAATCGCAGTTTTGCGATTTAATACGCAAGGATCCTTGACTAGGCTAACGCTGTTACCACACTGACGAAGACGATTTTGATTTCATCTAGCTGCAGAGATGTAGATAGCGTTGATTCGTTGAAGATGATGTTAGTTTCGTGATGTTGAATGACTAAGAGCGAATTGAATCATAACTTCCGGTTTCATGAGAGGATCAGCATTGTAATATAGAACGCAATACATAGTTTCTTTATGTCCATTTTTGTCTTTGGAATTTTGCATTTTTTGAAGATTATTTTCAACAATGGGACTTAAGTCATTTTGCAATCGTTGTGCATTTTATTTCGTCGGAAATAATTGTTGGGTTTCTTGTAAATTATTTTTAGTGAGACTTTTGCTGCTTAGCAATCGTTTCGTTCTGCATTATTTCATACCATATTTTTTTTCTGTCTGGGTTTAACGATTCTTGTGAATTTTTTTTTAGTAGACCTACTGTTACTTTGCGATTGCTGCACAATGGCTGTTATCTTAAATTTTCGTTCTGAACTCAATAGATCAATGAAAAGAAAATATGAATAAATAAAAAAGATTCTTCTTTGATTTTTTTCAAATATTGTTTTTCATTTTAAGCATTATAATTTAATAGGGGTATTTTGTATTTAACTTAGTTATAAAAAGTTAGATTTTTTTAAAGTTATTAAATGTAGGTAAGTATAATATTTTGATTATTTTTAAACCAATAAATGTTTGGCCATTTTTAATTATAAAAAAATTAAAACAAAGCTTACCTTTATTTAATTTGCTTTTATTTTTGAGAAAATGAAAACAAAGTTTTAAAAAAATTTGGCTATTAGTTAGAACAGCAAGTAATTTTTTATTTTTTAATTAAACAAATAATTTTTTAAAACTAAATTAAGAGTTTAGTAATGTTTTGACGTTTTTTAATTTAATATTAGTACTTTCTAACACTTTTTAAAAGCTTCAGTTATAAGGCTTTATTAGAAATGTTAAAACACCATTTATACATCATACAATTGTAGGAGATAGTTTTTTTAATCTCCCTTTTAAACACACACTACTTGGTTACATTTTAAAAACACATGGCCCCCTCTCAGTCACTCGTTGCCACCCTCAGTAACAAGTGAAGAAAAAATATCACTATGGTGATTTTGGTTGGTTGGTGCGGGGCCGGAGGCTATAGCGATCAACCCGTTTGTGATAACTTAAAGTATTTTAATTTTTATTAAAATTCTTTCAATACTTGTTTGTTTTATAATTTGTGAGATAGTCAGTATCATTTTTAAACAAATAAATCTTAAGTCAATTTTATTTTCAGAAAAGAAAATAATAATGTAAAAATATTTTTACATTTATGAAGTAACGAATTTGACCATTAGTTAATGCCTACCTTTAGCAGGAGTCTCCTGCTTTTGATTAAAATCTTTCCCCTCAGGCCTTCAGGGTGTTTTCTCCTGCTTTTTTCTATTTAGTGCACGATAGAGGAAAAAAAAACAATTTGTGCAATTTCCTTCCCAACTTGTGCTTCAGATCATGCTGGGCATTTATTTAGAAAAATTTTCCCCTATAGCAACATCACTAAAAATTACAGTGAGTGTGAACCAAAACAGCAGCCATAATCGATGAAATAAATGGCAGAATCGGAGATATCTTGGACACCATTAGGCAGAATGTTTTTTCACTTTTTATAGATGGCAGTTTTTTTTAAGTAATGCTAAATCAGCAACATCTGCAGTTTTAAAACAGTAGCAGTTAAAAAAAAAAAAAAAAAAAAAAAAAAAAAAAAAAAATTACATTTATAAAGTATTGTATTCCTTATTGACATATTTTGTTAATTTTGAACCTCTTCCTAAATTTTAAAAAGTCAAAAGATGTGTTTTAATATAACTCTATAGAACCTTATATTTTATAAAGAACACATATCTTTATTAGTCAGTGTCAGAATCTTATTGTGGTCTATTTTATGTAATGTAAATAATATATTTTGAAATAAACTTCTTGTAGGAAGTGTGAATCAGGTTTAATTTTCAATATTGCGCTATGTCGTGATACAGAAAGGGTCTCCTGCTTTTTTATTTTCTAAGGTTGGCAGGTCTGGTTAATGCTACTTTTTATTATTTTAAATGATTAAATAAAAAAGGGTCTAATGATGTTTCAAAAGCATGGTTTTTTTTTCCAACAAATAATTTAAAAAAAATTTTTTTTTTCTGAAGTGAACATTTCTTTGGTTTGTTTCCCACTTTCTTTTTTTTTTTTCTTTTAATTTTTAATACATGTATGTAAAATATTTTGCTACAGTATTATTATTTTTAAAGCAATAAATCTTAAATAATTTTTAATTTAAGAAAAATGAAACAAAGCTTTCGTTTGCTTTTACTTTGACTTCCTTATTATTTTAATTAAAAAAATTAAGAAATGATATTGATGCCATAGTAGAATATGTTTAGAATTTATATTTTCTTTTGTAATAGATTTATTCCTTTTGAATTATTTAAAGATTTCCCATAGGTAATTTTGTAACATATGCTAAATCGCGATACATCGCTATATTGCGATGTCTTAACTGACAATGTATCATGATTTAAAATTTCTGACATCACCCAGTCCTAATCATAGTATTTGACAGTTAAGCTTTAGTATTAGTAACTTTAATATTTAGTTTAGTATAGTCAGTTAAGATTTTAGTTATTTAGCTACTATTTTTGTTCCTGTTCAGGCAACTATTTTCATAGTTTTAGGCAACTATTTCATGCTTGAGGCTACTAAAAGCAACTATTTTTGTTCATTTTTTACTGTGGCAACCATGTGATAGGACAAGAAATAAATTATGACGAAGCAAAAAAAATTAGACCTATTAATAGCTTCATAAAAAAATGAGTGGTTTATTATCCAGTGATTGGTGCAAAAAGATCTACACGGTTAACTATTATTTTTATCTTGTTAAGTGTGTAAAAATAAATTAACAAAATGAAGAAGAAAAAAAAATCAAATTGTTATGGAAAGTTACATTTTGGAGTCAGTGAGCTATAAATTTCTGGTAAACAACACTAGATTGGTGAAAAAATAAGTTCAGTCTTGAAATTTACTTAAGAGTGTCACATTGAAAAGACTATAAATTATATTACTTTGTTTTGAAGTTTCTTTGTGTTTTAGGTATGTGTTAGAAGGTTACAATGCCCTGTCTTGGCTGGCTCTCAATTCAGACTTCCGTGACAGAAGGTCGTGCCTCCCGGTTCACATGCAGATGTTGATGCAATTATATGGCTTTGTCGAGGCCATCTTGTGATCCCCCCCTCATAATGGTGATATTTAGAGAGAGATATAATCTATTGTAATGTTGAGTGTGTACAGAACTATACTTTTAAAATATTTTTTAAACAAAAGTATTTAATTTTAAAGGAGATTTTATATCTTGTGACTTTATATTGCTGTTGATGTTTCAAATAATGTATACAGAGTATATTTTAAAAAAAAAAAAAAATGAACCTTGCAAGTCTTTTGTTTCCCTCTCCTTTCTTTTGTTTTTAAAGGCTAAGTCATGTAAATGCGTAGTAACTCCCCTTATTATATGATGTTGTATATTGAAAGGAACTCCTATTTTAATGCTAATGATAAAAGCATTTTTTGGGGAATTGAAAAGAACTTTGTTGAATATATAATAATGTTTTAGAGCCTTTCGCAATTCTGTGCAATTTTAAACTATGTTGCTGCTAACGAATAGTTGCCTTGGAGTTAAGTTGTTTGAGAAAAGAAAAATGAAATTTATTTTGAGTACTGTTCAAAATATGTGCTTTTTATATCATAGTGTGACTTTAGCATGATTTAAGTGTGATAAAATTATATACTATACATATATATATATAAATAAAATACTTTAGATTTCTAAATACAACTGATTTATAATTTCCTGTAAATATCTCATTCTGTATTGCATTTAGTGAGAAATATTTTACTACATGCTTTAAAATTACATCTGGACCAAACTACTGTACAGTTTTTACTAAAAAAAAAGTTTTTTCATTTGTTTTTAAATATTGTTATTGATGAGTAATAAGCTGTTACAAATATATTAAATTTATATTATTGAGTTTTCATAACTTATTTCAAAATATTGAACTGTAGAATGAATTTTTTTTAACAAAAAAGAAAAAATTATAATTGTTTTAGTGCATTCTAAATTTTAATAAAATTTTAAAAATAATTATAATTTTAATTAAATTTTAATATTTATGAAAATTAACAATTATTGAATATACTTTAAATCTTCTATGCAAATGAATTAAACAGTTAATAATTGCTGTGTTTTGCAAGTTGTTTGAATTTATCGTCAAAATAATTTAGATCTTTGGTTTTGAAACCAGCTCAACCCATTTTTTATTAGAAAAAAAATAGACTTAATATTACATTAAATTAAACTTAATATTAGATCTTTACTGGGAAGGACAACTTTTGGATAATTCTGCTATTAAAACTGCTCCTTTTAAATTATAAAAAGAAGAAAAAAAATTTAAATCATTTTTATTTTAAAATTTTAATTTTTTTTTAAAAATGCTTTTGTTAAAAGTATTTTTTTTTTTTTTACTTTTGTTGTAAATATTAAAAATAATAATATCAGTTATAAATATTGAAGTAATGATTTAAAAGTTTATGTTTAAGAAGAATATTTTGTTTTTATTCATTATCATATTTTAAGAAATACAGCTTATCCATAAAGATAAAGCACCGACCGTGAGCTTTTTGCTTTATTGGAATCAAGGAATATAAAAATTAGTTTTCATATCACTGTAGCTTGATTTAACATTCATTTTTAATTGTAATAATATTTTTAAATTGTGTAAACAGCTAACATTTTTTGTGTTCTTTTCATCAATATTTATCTAAATTGAAATGTCTTCTGAGTAATAGATGTTTTTTATTCCTCTTTTAAAACATGTGGCTGATTTTGAAACCAAAGTTCTTGAATGAATTTAAGTATTTCTTTTAAAAAATGTAAGTTAAAAGTGGTATATTTTTTATTGTTGTACTTTTTATTAATGCTGGGTGCGTTTATTGAAAGCCAAAGTTTTATTTAAAATTATAGTGAAAATGATGAGCTGAGAAAAATGAATTATTGTTTTTAATGAATTGTTTCTGTTAACGATCTATGATTGTTTATGCAGTTTTATCTAGTGACTTATTCCTTGTGCTGGAATTTTAATTTTTCAAGACACATTAAACCTCAATATCTGTTTTTAGTTTAGATTTAAAAAAATAATGATCTACCTCTTTTTCATTTACCTGTAATAGCTTTGTATTATTTAGAATGGGTTTGAAATGCCTGTTTTTATTTTTACTGTTATAAATTGTTGCTTTAATCTAGTTTATTTTTTTCTAGTCTCTTTTATTTGCTGTATTTAAACAAAATTTGTTAAATAAAATAAGCTTTCTTTTCCCCTAGTGATACTAAACTGTGTTATATGCTGCATAACGTTGCTGTGGCATTTGTTAGATTTCTCTTGCTTAAACAAAGTTACACCTTGTTGTGCATGATCAATATATTAAAAGGATAACTATTGCTAAACATACTTTAAGTTATAATGGATTTTGTGGAAAATTTAAATTAACATTTTACTGCAAATGTTGGGCACTTCAAGAAAATTCTTTGCAATATATGAAACACCTGATATGCCACTGCCTTAGTGTTTAGGTCATTCAGGAAATTAGATATTATTTGCAAGCTAGTAAATTGTATTTATAAGTAAACACTCTATAGTGTTCAGGGAAAATGTCTCCTTCTTGGGTAAGTTTATCCCTTTTCAGCCACGGGGAAAATTCACAGAAATCAATGAAAAATTTTAATAAAACTTTCCTTGAACTCTGTTGACAAACAATCCCTGAGCAGTCTAGTGTGTTCCCTTCTTAAAAGTATAAAGTGTAAATGTTTGTTTTAAAAAAAATACTTTAAAGTATGTGATGTTTTATTAAAAAATAGGAGCTGTTCAGTTGTTGAAAAATAGTATTACAATCCAGTTTTTCCCAATGTTACATGATTGAATTTAAAGTGTTTGCTAAAATTATTCAGAATCCAACTAAAAGTTTTATGAGCCTCCTACAGGGTCAGAAATATCGTTTATTTTATTTTCTACTTAGCTCCTATTGATAAAAACCACATTGTAGTTCAAGCTATGTGAAAATTCTCTTACAACACGAGTACTTTAGTAACAAAATTTGTTAAGCACCATCCAGATTATTTATAGCTTCTGCTATAGGCTGATTTCTTTTCCTGTGTTTACAGAGACTGAAAATAATTTTCGTAGTTGAACAAATTGTATAGCCGTATAATGTTAAGCTATAATTGGTTTGGATTTAGCAGAATGGGACTTTAATTTTGGGATTAAAAAAAAAGAGGAATTTTCTGGGAATAATGGGTCAAAACATAGAAAAATCTTGCAACAAACCTGGAAAAGAATTAATTTCAAAGTGGATGGTAACCGTAAGAAGCATATGATGATGTTAAAAGGAAATAAAGCTTCTATTTTAATTACTTCTTGGGAAAATACTCTTTACTTTAGTGTTTTGGTTGCATTGATGTTCTATGACTTTGAGTAATTATAATGAATGAAATTAAATTCGAAATAACATCAAATGAATTTACTATAGGTTTTTAATAAATTTCATAGAATTTAGTATTTGAAAAATTATGCTTCTGTTGTATTTCTTCAATATGTCAGATAAAGCTAAATAGTCGGCCTTTTTCTCTCTTTATTTTACTGCAATTGTTTATTGAAAATAATTTTAATTTATCTAGTTGTAAAAATTGTGTTATGTGTCATATAAAGTATAACTTCCTATCTAATGTACAATTTTCAAACTACTTTTTAGTAAAAATCAAGCATTTTAATTTTGTCCCAGGATTTTTTCACTCGGTTGATTCCACTCTATTTCCCTAATTACAGTTTTAAATTATTTCTTTTGAGTTTGCAAAAATGAGTCCCATAACTACCTAATCGGTTTATTTTTGGATAAGGTAGCCATTTTAAAAATTGTTATTATATTTGCCGTATTCTAAGAAATATAAGCTTTGACAAGGTAAGGATGGTTTATCCAATCCCCTCCGTTACCTTTTAAATTCATTGTTTTAATGTTTATTTGATTTTTTTTTTCAATGGTAAAATCAAATTTAATTTTTCAGTTTTATGAAAACATTTCTTCTTTTTTTTTCAACTGAACCTGCTCAAGTAAATTGACATGCAGTTTTTTTACCATCTATTCTACCCTGTTATCATTTTCATGGTAACTTTATTTAATGTCTTTTAAGTTAGTACTTCATTAAATATTAAGTTTATTAAAATAAATATGGATAGGTATCATTATATTTGTGTGACTAAAATTGAGTAATTTTCAATGCAAGAGCATTTAAAATTTCATTCTGCTGTCTGTTCTCCAATCTGTTACTTACCATTTATTAAGCTTTATTTCCCTGTTTAATTTAACAGAAAGCAATTTTAGTAATTAACAGTGTAAAGTTGATTAATGTGTATCATATTAGAGAACTCATTTTTTATTTTATTTATTTAAACACTTGAGCACTGGTAACAGAGAGAAGCATTATGCAGATTCAAGTTATTATTTAATTTTTTTATATTTTATGTTCCAAATCAAAAAGTGCACTGCGATTTTAAGTTTTCTGTGCAAGAGATATTCCAATTGCAGTTTAAATTTTTATGAGTAGTAGTTCAAATACTTATTTTTGTAAGAGATTTTCTAAATGCTTCTCCAATTTGAGAATGAACCATAAATTAATTTTGATTTTTAATCACAAGATATAAGATGACTGACTGATTTTTGATTGAAATTTTATATTTTTCCTTAATACTACTTTTTTTTTTATGTATATATATATATACTTGAGTATTATAAAATCTACATATTTAACCTTTGACTTGTAAAATTTTGTTTTTTTATAAATTTCAATATTTGACCAATTCACTTTTAAAATGTAAGATTCATTGTTTTGAATTAAAAAACATATTATATTTTTAATGAAATATTACCGTGTATAGCAGAAATGTATTCTGGAATTAAGGGAAATTTTTCCAGAAAGCTTTAAAAAGTCTGGTTATTTTTATTTCTCAAATCAAGTGGAAACCCTGTATTCATTGTCAGTAAGAGTGCTAATTGTTCTTACTTGAAATTTGAAAAGTAAAAACATAAATTCACAAATTTTTAAATCTTTAGGCATAGGGATCACAATCCCTTGTGTCATACTTTTTGTAAAATTTTTTTAATCTGAAAATTTGAAGAGTTGACACTGCAAATATATATTTTGCATTATAAGATTGAAAGTATTGATGAATCTTTATAATAAATAACATAAAGTTTGGCAGATTGATGTAGTAAAGGTTGTCCTAGTTTATTTTATTTGCTTTTAATCAAATTGTTTTATTCCTTAATATTATTATGTAAAAAATTGTTTTGAATATATATGTTAATTAGGTAAATTTTTTAGTTGAATTCTATTACATTTTCCCAATTCACCTATTTGTGAATTTAGCTCTATTCTCTGAATATTTATATTTTTTTTTCATTCATAAACATTTGTCATGAAACTAAAATAAATGTACTTAAAATTTGAAATCTTACCACAGTTAAAATTTTTTTCTTTTTAAATTACTGATGAGATGTGATCAAGATTCATTTTTTAAAAAAATGCATCAAATCTGC